GGCTTCAACCACCAGCACTACTCTGTACCATGCCGAGTCTGTCGAGGACGCCGACACGCAGATGGGCCTGAAATGCAATTCATGTAAGTTTCATTGCCCAATCCAGATTTACACAGCTAAGCCTTCACAGCCACCAGCCAGCCTTTCCGTTCTGAGATGAATCGTGTCATTTCGCACTATCTCCATCCTGGCTCGAGCAGAGAGCTCAATCTCTCAAGTAGGGACCGCGCCGCCGTTCTTCATGCCCTAGAACACACTACTCACCCCTCTGCGCTCACCCTCGTCAGAGACATGGTCGAAGCTAGCTTGCGCGGTCAATCTCACCCGAATTTCATCCGCTGGGCTATCTGTAACGGCAACAAGCCACGCGTGCTCTTCGTCCGGAACTCAGGTATCGCGCATATCGTCGCGGCTCTCATTCTCGGTCTTCTGCTCATTTTAAGCCACGCGTCAAGATGGTGGAGGTTCTTCGTCTTTCCACTCTTTTTCGTTGGCTTCGATATCGGTGTCGCGGCTTACAAGGGTCTTTGCGTCATCATCCACACAAGCCATCGCCGAGCTCTGCGCCCATGGGAGCAATTCAGCGAGGACGTCTCCCTTACCAGCTTCGATAGCGGCCCTGAAGAGGAAGCTAATCTATCTACCGACGACATGTTCAGCATGGTCTCCCGCTCCAGAAATGGTGTTTCACTCGACACTTTCGGGACATCTAACAGCTACAGCCATGAGTTGTGGGTCGAGAAATACAGACAGAAGCATCTGTTCCGGAAGATTTTCACCAAGAGCATCTGGGTGCAAGAACAGGCGGTGAGGTTGTTACAGGACAAGATTGTGAAGCAGAGTCATGCTTGGGCTCTGATCATCAGTGTCTTGTTGACGGCCTTGGTGGTGGCACTACCGCAGGCCAATGTTATCTAGAGAATACCTCAGCATCGGCATCAGTATCCGCATCAGCGTCAGCGTCAGCGCATTCGCAGTCATTCGAGCGTCCAAGTGCTGGACACTCGCTTCCGACTGCTCAGGCGTAGAGTTCGAAAAGAGGTTTGCATGTGCTCGCGAAAGAATTCCCGTTATTTTCGGTGTTGGATGGATCAATGTGGATGTGCAGGTTGGATGATGGATAATCGATTGACTCATTTTCTAAGTGTCTTCGCGTCAGAAGAGAGGAGACAGTCATTGCATACTGGCCTTGTACTCGGAGAGACTGGCTAGTCTTCTTCTTGCCATCGGAGTCATCTCACGTTGGCTAACTTATCTCATCTACTGCAAAGACTCTCAATATCCCATAGAAATTGCATAGCGTTGGCACAGCGTGCGGTCCGTCAACATCAACGATAGAAAATTTCCATGCTTTGAACTTCCCTCGTTTCAATGCTGCTCTATTTAGTGTGACCGAATGAGAGCCTGAAAATCTGACTGTTCAGCCTCGATCATAAGGTTGAAAGAGCCGAGGGCCTCTAAGCATGCAGCCAGTCGATCACCTTCATGGAAAGCATCGAAGTCATCCAGGTCCTCTAACTGTACAACCCTCATACGATCCGACCCTTTTTGACGTCTCACCAACAAAAGCAGAGTAGCTGAATCAATCTGAGAGTCCTTCTTGGTTTCCGCGTGAGCTGCCTTTCGAGGCCTAATTTTCCTTGGAACGAATGAAGATTTCAACAGATCGAGGTTGCGAAGACAGTAGCATGAACTGTTATTGAGAATGTAGTTTGAAATGGCACAACAGAAAAGGTTGCTGCTTCGAAAAATCAAGCATTTTGGTAGAATGGGATTGGCATTGAAGATGTATCGCGATCGCTCTTCATAAATGGTCTACCTCCAAGGGACGAGTATGGACGCTCTATATTCATCAAGACCCTAAATCGTAGGTCTCCAATGCCTTACATCATTTCACGCGGGCTACCTATGGGCTACCCTTTGGCCTTCACCGCGTCGACAGGATGCAGCAACATGCCGGGCAGAAACAACCTGCCCACCTTGTCCAACCCAGCAGGATAAGGGTACGGCGTGTCCTTGTGACCATTCGGACCCATTCCTCGCACCGCAAAGGCCTCCCCTTCAAGTCCACACCGCCGCCGATACGGCGTCCGTGGATACTGCTCGACTCCAGACGCCACCGAAACGTTCTTCGTGTTCGCATTTTGATCGTATCTTGCGCAGCAAAGTCAGTAAAGGTGCCATTCGGCCCGACAATGTTGAAGATTTTGTTGTCTTCCTCGGGCTCATCCACCCCCACTTGGTGGTCTAAGTATTGCGGTACGGAGAATTGGGCTACTTTGAGAGCATGGAGGAGCACCATGGTGTGGGCGAACGTTTGGGACCGTATGTTCATGCTCTGGGCATCATGCATAATCTGCAGAAGCTGCCTAGACAAGCGGACCCACGGAGTGACCATGAGTGAGCGACGAGGTGGATCTTCCCTTCTGGAAACCGTAGATGGTATTCTTCTTGAAAAGCTCCGTGTGATTGAGGTCTATAATAGGAGACCTTGAAATAAGGTCTGCCTCTTCGCCGACGCCTCAGGAGTAATCATCTTCTGCTGCTGTCTTCCTGTGAAATTTAGGTCCGAGAGATCTTGGGACGGCCCAGCTTCGTACAGGACCCCGGACACCACCGTCTGGGTTGGCGGCCTCTACAGTGTCCGAGAAGCTGGCGTAAGTACCGTGGTAAGAAGGGATGTAGAATCTGGCAGCTCGTTCAAACTGAAGCTTGCGTGGCTGTTTGCGAGCCCACGACTCGGCATTCTCGAGAATATTGTACCAGTTCCCTGTATAGCGGACGTCAAGTTCAAATTGCCACAAGAAGACGAAGTCAGGGTTCATATTGGAAAACAATTTTAGTGGCTGATTTTTGTGTTGAGATTGACCGCCTCCTTGATCAATCCCAGGATACCAAACCTTCAGTAGGTCTTGGTTGAAGAGGATCGTCATATTATGGAATTCGCGAGGTACGATATCACCAAGGGCTTCTTAATAGGCCCCAGAACCAGGGCTAGTCCGGATAGATCTGTCTTTGTCTTTGATTTCCACCATTATATTCCAATCCCTGCCAAGCACGAAGGAGAATAGCTGTTTCGTCTTTACACTTCTTCGATGGAGAGAACAACGCACGTTTGCTACTTCTCAACATAAGCATTGTGCTGCGTTTCAGAGACAGAGGCTTTTCAGTCTCAGGCTATGCAAGAACCAAATTTTGCCCAGGACTACGACTAAAGCGAGGTTTGTTTGCTTCCTCACACTGGCCTTGCAATTGGCCCCAATCGACATATCTCCAATCAACATCCGGACTCCCGAAAGTTTGGAGTAGGGGCCGATCTCGAACAATGTCAAATCCGTAGAGGCCAAGTCGACCACTCCGATCAAGCAATGGGTACTATCAAGCTCACTTTCGGCAAAGGAGCCAAACATGGGGTTTGGGTTTAGAGGTTTGCCATCGATGAATTTCGATTCCTCAGGACATGACGAGACGAGGCGCTTACCAATTGGATCAACAACCAAGGCCTCAAGCATGTCGTCTGGACTGCTGTTCACATGTACGCCTCGCGGCCCCAAATATGGCTGCTGAGAGCCATGCCATCTCTGACACCACGCTTGAACATTGTAGTCAAGGTAGACGTTGTAGGGTTTGCGAGGAAATAAATCCCTGGACGCTAAATCGATGTATTCGACCGAAGGCGGTCTGCGCGCTGATGGCTTCTCAATGACGGCATGCCCGTCATTTCCGACACCATGGTCATTGTGGACAAAGTCTGGAACGACGGTGATGTTCCTATACAGCGGAATCCCGAAGTCATGCCGGCAAATGTAGGAAATTGAGAAGGTGCATGGAAGTAATGACACGACTTTGTCTTCACATCTACAAGCGTTTGGGATATAACAAGGTGCTACTAACAAAAGAAAGAAAAAATAAATGTTAGGGAGGAGTATAGATACAAAGCATCGCATGGATCCTGGCACATCAATTCGTCGCAGATCCCTACCGAATTCCCGAAATCAGCCCCATGTCGCATACTTGTATCCTCGGTCACAGCAACCAGTCAACACGGCCGGATAATAACATAAATTGTATGGACAAGTTCTATGACTTGCTCGTTGGTGAATCAGGAGAGAACGAGTCGACCCCAAAAGTGTCTAAGTATTTCATGGCACAAGTACTTTTTAATCTAGAGAGTAAAGACTAATCTTACTTTACTCGGTTTACTCCTTTTTGCAAAACCATTTGCGGGAGCGCCCGTTTGGCAGCCACCCCACCAAATTTTCGCCGTGACCACCGCCAAATGTGCGTAAGAGGTATTTCGCATTACATAGACATAGAACCACATTCAAGTAGCCGTTGCAGTAGTCACTGTAGCTATTCAAGTAGATTACAAGTAGTTACTATCTAAAAATCGGGCAGAACCTCTATACAGAGTGGTGAAAAAAAAATGGGCTGGGGCACACCAAAATGGAGCTCTATAACTGCACTCCCTATATATGGCGTATCAGACGGCTGGACTGTGCCAGAAACACGTCGTTAAACGACTTATTGACAGATCTTTGTGCGCGAGACTGATCCATAAGGATGTGGTGTAGTGGTGAGGTATGCCCCATGATGTAGCTTCACCGGACCACCTCTTGCCAGCCCATGCTGTCTGCAGTGCTCCCAGCAGTGCTCTGTCCAGTGGTCTCAGTAGTAGTGCTCTGTCCAGTGGTTCCAGTAGTAGTGCTCTGTCCAGTGCTCCCAGTAGTAGTGCTCTGTCCAGTGCTCCCAGTAGCAGTGCTCTGTCCAGTGGTCCCAGTAGTGCTCTCAGTAGTGCTCTGTCCAGTGGTCCCAGTAGTAGTGCTCTGTCCAGTGGTCCCAGTAGTGCTCTCAGTAGTGCTCTGTCCAGTGGTCCCAGTAGTAGTGCTCTATCCAGTGCTCCCAGCAGTGCGCTGTCCAGTGCTTCCAGTAGTAGTGCTCTGTCCAGTGGTCTTAGTAGTACTCCCCGTAGTGCTCCCAGTAGTGCTCTGTCCAGTGGTCCCAGTAGTAGTGCTCTGTCCAGTGCTCTGTCTAGTGGTCCCAATAGTGCTCTGTCCAGTGATCCCAGTAGTGCTCTGTCCAGTGGTCCCAGTAGTAGTGCTCTGTCCAGTGCTCTGTCCAGCAGTGCTCTGTCCAGTGGTCCCAGTAGAGTAGGTAGGTAGGTAGGTAGGTAGGTAGGTAGCTACGCAGCAAGGTAGGTAGATAGGTAGCTGCGCAGCAGTGAAGGTAAGTAGGTAGGTAGGTAGGTAGGTAGGTAGCTGCGCAGCAGTGAAGGTAAGTAGGTAGGTAGGTAGGTAGCTGCGCAGCAGTGTAGGTAGGTAGGTAGGTAGGTAGGTAGGTAGGTAGCTGCGTAGTAGTGAAGGTAAGTAGGTAGGTAGGTAGGTAGGTAGGCGCGCAGCAATGTAGATAAGCTCGCAGCAGTGTAGGTAGGTAGCTATCTACATTGCTGCGCAGCTACCTATCTACCTACCTTAATACATAGCTATTTACCTACCTACATTGCTACGCAGCTACCTAGCTACCTACCTACACTACTGCGCACTTATCTACACTGCTGCGCGCCTACCTACCTACCTACCTACCTACCTACCTACCTACCTACATTGCTGCGCGCCTACCTACCTACCTACCTACCTACACTACTACGCACCTACCTACCTACCTACTATGTCCAGTGCTCCCGGTACTACTTCCAGTAGTGCTCTGTCCAATTGCTCCCAGTAGTGCGCTATCCAGTACTTCTAGTACTACTCTCCGTAGTGCTCTGTCAATTGCTCTTAGTACTGGAAGTAGTACTGAGAGCACTGGATAGCGCACTGCACTACTGAGAGTACTGGACAGAGCACTACTGGGAGTACTAGACAGAGCACTACTGGGACCACTGGACAGAGCACTACTGGGAGCACTACGGGGAGCACTACTGGGAGCACTGGACAGAGCACTACTGGGAGCACTACGGGGAGCACTACTGAGACCACTGGACAGAGCACTGCTGGGAGCAGTACTGAGAGTAGTACTGGAAGCACTGGACAGAGCACTACTACTGGGACCACTGGACAGAGCACTATTGGGACCACTGGACAGAGCACTACTGAGACCACTACTGAGACCACTGGACAGAGCACTACTACTGGGACCACTGGACAGAGCACTACTGGGAGCACTACTGGGACCACTGGACAGAGCACTGGACAGAGCACTACTACTGAGAGTACTGGACAGAGCACTACTGGGACCACTACTGGGACCACTACTGGGACCACTGGACAGAGCACTACTACTGGAAGCACTGGACAGCGCACTGCTGGGAGCACTGGATAGAGCACTACTACTGGGACCACTGGACAGAGCACTACTGGGACCACTACTGGGACCACTGGACAGAGCACTACTACTGGGACCACTGGATAGAGCACTACTGGGAGCACTGGACAGAGCACTACTGGGAGTAGTACTGAGAGTGGTACTGGAAGCACTGAATGAAGCACTACTAGCAATATTGGGAAAGCATTGCGATGGCATAGCGATAGCGACAGCGACAGCGTGGCTGTGGAGGTCTAAAAAAAGCTACATCAAGTTCTTCGGCAATTGGACTATACACGGCTTCATATTTAGACGAATCTACAGCTAACCTACAGCTATCTACCACGAATTTGGCTTCTGCGTACATTTGGCGGTGGTCACGGCGAAAATTTGGTGGGGTGGCTGCCAAACGGGCGCTCCCGCAAATGGTTTTGCAAAAAGGAGTAGGCTGTGCCACTTCCTACTTTACTCGAACGCTTCTAAAAGATGGCGCGCGGCAGCGGCAAGCGTCCCTGGCATGAGTCGACATAATGAATCCATGATTGATGACGCATATTATATACTATATGTTGCATGAATCAGGATATATATGATAGAACGCTCGAAGATGCACGCCAATCGACGACTGTAACCCGTCAACGACTTACCCCTAGATAGCCATACAAATGTCCCCACACGAGCGGTATTGGCGACTTTTGCAGCTGTCCGCGCGAATATCGTTGTTTGTAGCTCTTGATAGGAAGTCAATCTTACACATCGGCCTTAGCACCACCCTTCATCATCTCACTGGGTTTTCAATGCCAACGGCTTATTCCCTCCATCTAATACCCCACTCTCCTTTGGCAAAACTACTCTCCACCACTCTGCCCCATTGAACCGCCTCTACGCTTCTCCTCTTTCCCTCCTCCGTCTCGAAGCCAAAAGCCACACCTCTACGTGCGGCCCTCCTCACCATCTCCCGCTCTTTAGCCTTTTGCATGCCCCATTCCCTCAGAGTCTTATGCGGTCTTTTCTCCGATTGGGGCTTCGTAGTAGTAGCAGTAGTAGTTGTAGTAGTAGCTGCAGGAGGCTCCATCTCAGATGGGAGTCTCACGCCGCCACCATCGTCCTCCGCTTCCTCTTCTCCATCACTCGGACCGTCTTCTCCCAGCTCCTCTGCGTCTAAGAGCTCGACCTCCTCATTATCAGATCCGTCGTCCGTCCTAGTCTTCGTAAAGATCGCTCTCTCCACTTCTTCACATTTCACAATCCTTCTTTCTCTGCCATCGCCCAGTAGCTGTACAAAAGCTTGCTCGATGTCGTTCTCAGTGGAAGGGGCAGGACGAGGCCTCTCTCGTCGGCAGCGGTCCGAGCAGTATTTCTGAGGCGTGGCTTGTGTGGTGTGGGATTTGCGGGGAGCTTTGGCAGGGTTAGAACAGGAGAGGTAGCCAAGTTGTATCAGAAGAGAAGTACTATCACATCAAGAGGAAATTTATAGTAGCTACATGAAAGACGAAGTATTGGCTTACAAAGTACACGTCCACATGTGCGGCAGTAGAGAGTATTGGCCGATGGCCCCGGGGCAGGAGCATTGCGAGAAGGCCGAGTGGACATGCTTGAAGCTTGTCCAGACGTCGTGGGTGGCGAAACAGCCCGGGAAACACGACAACCGAGAGAAAGAGACTGAAGTGAAAGAATTGGAAGACGTGGAAGACGATTCAGGCGTCCAATACGGTGCATCAAGTGGGAAGGAACCTGTTAAGCTAGGAGAGGTTTTCCAAGTTCCCTATTTACTTTGAACGGTCAATGGCTGACAAGACGATTGTACATCCGCCAATGCGACGCTTTACTAAACACTTGTTCGTGCTCAATGCCAATTCAATGCACCCTTCAATATCAAAATGGTCATGATTCTCCCGTGCCCTTTTCCCTTTGCCCTTCCACCATTAGACGCTATGCTAGAAAGATAACTCCATGCCTAATACTGCCTGCTGTACATTTCTTCATGCACGCTTGTCTTCTAAACTTTCCCTCATCACAGCTGCCCAGATAAAATAGCTTCCGTCGCTGTCAATGAGTCAGCATATGGATTACTGAGCGCAGTACGCAAAAGACTCACCTGAACCAATGTACGCTTTTTTCGGTTCGAGATTGACGTTGAATCTCCTCTCCAGCTCCATCTTGATGCTCTTCTTTGTCACAGACATAAGATCGGCGGTCTTCAGGATTTCCCTGATCTCCGCCAAGATAGAGTCGTCACTTGGCAACTCCGAGAAGTCAGACATCTCCATGTTCTCTTGATAGCCTCTATTCACTATCTCTGATGGAGCGAGTGAAAGACGTGATCCATATTTCGGCATCTCCATCTGAGACATTGGTCTTGACGGTGGATAGCCATATTCTGAAGCTGCGGGATGATACGATTTCGTGCCGTATGAATAGCCAGAGATTTCCGACTTATCGTCATGCTGAGTTTGAGCGTCCCAAAGCTCAGCTTGGTATTCTTCCCATCTCTTGTGCGGAATCGACGCAGGGTCAAATTTGCCCTCATCAGATATAACTAACTGTTTCCCCTTCTCACCTGTAACAACTCGGGTATTACCCCATGAGAAATCATCCATGTGCCAGAACGAATACAGTGGCAGACCCAGTGAGAAGACAGGCATGGCCAGAATGTATATGATCATCCATCCAATCATCTCCCACTTTCTCCGTAGTATGAAGATTATGGCTTGTAGACCGTAGATGGCTCCTAACAGTACGAACGCCATCAATGGTACCACTGCAGAGTCGATAGCGATCAAGACAATCAGGTAACCAATGTAGGCCACGGTTACAGGCTGGACAATGGTGCTCATTAAGTCGAGTAAGACAACAAAGCGCATACTGAAACAACAGAAACCGCAGAGCTGCTGGAGTGGAATGAGTTCGACGAGATTGTGAACAGTCGAATTGATCCACCGTCGACGTTGCGACATGAAGACGTTCCAGCTGTCGGGTGCGATGGTCCAGGCATGCGCGTTAAAGGTGTATTTGGTCTTGTACTTCGGATGATGCTTGAGAAGGAGCGTCGTCAGAAATCGGTCCTCGCCAAGGTGGAGCAAGTTCTTCATGTGAAGAGTGTCTACACGGATTTCTGAATACGCCTCAACAATTTCTCGGCTGACGAACAGAGGCTTTCCAGTCTCCGCAGCGCGTATGCGGTACATCGTAAAACAACCTGGTAGGCAAGTTACAGAACCGAACAAGCTCTCGAAGGCCTTTGTCAAATTATGCGATATGTAGTATTCGTAGACCTGAATCATGGTGGTGAAGGAGGACTTGGCGTTAGATAAAGCAGTCTCTCCACAGATCCCAATGAGCCTGGTGTCGTGAAGGAATGCAGCTACCATGCGTGAAGCAGAGTCAGGAGCCACTACAGTGTCCGCATCGATCTGAAGCATGAATTCGTAAAATGTTGGGTTGACTCCAATGATATTCCGGATTTGATGATGCATCTCCAGCTCAAGAGGGTTCATAGGATGATTGTAATGCACGCGATTCAGGAATCTCATGATTACCATCTGAGAATCACGCTTGCCTCGATTGCCGGGTCTCGAGACTTCTGAGGGCTTTCCGATCTTGACGACGACCATAAAAGGCACGATATGTCCTTGAACTTCGTACAATCCAGAATAAACCTTACCCATATTGTGCTGTTTCATACCCTCGCCCAAGCTCTCGAAACTTAGTGGTTCAGGATCCACCGTTTCATTCACACCTAAGATGTCGAGGACGATTCTCGGAGTAGGTCGATCGTTGCCCTGGCCGATGATCATACCATCGCAGACAATGACCAATAATTTGCGTTTGTCGTCATACTTCATTCGTGCTGCCGAGTCAATGGCTCGGCGAAGAGAGTCCTCATCCTCAGTGTATGCTGGTACCTGGCAGATGACGAATTTATCGAGGTTCTCAGGTACATTCTTCTTTCCGAATTGCAAGGCTGCAAAGAATTTGAAGCCGATGACAGTAACCAAGAGAATTGAAATGGCGAGGAGTATATATTGGGCGAAGAGACATCGAGCAGAATTCCTCGTGTCTGTCGAACCGACGAAAAACAGGTTGTCGAGACACTCTTTCATGATTGCCTTATCAGATGATGACAGAGCGAGGTTCTCCCAGTCTTTGCTCACGTCGTTACCCGCGCTCATTTGGAAAAGGTTCACCACAAGAGGGTTCATGAAGTCGGGGCTTGCCTCAGATGATACCTTTGTCCCCGGCGGGGCTTGCAGTCGACGACCCCCTTTGACATAGTCGGTAAAGTCATACACCCGACCGTACAATGTCGCGATGGAAAATTGCTTCTTGGTTGCCAGCGTCTTGACATATTGAGGAGTATAACCAACCTCACCCTTTTTGTATTGGGCTTGCAGAGATTTTTGCTGTTCGTACCACCAATCTGGGCGTGAGTCGTTTGTAAAGTATCTGAAATCGTGGTATTTTGAATTGCTGTCTGTGCTGCTGATCACGTTCGCAGAGCCTGATACGTTCGTTGGAGCATAGCTGAGCTGAACACTGGGGTCGATATTATTGGGACAGAGTGCAGAAACCTGCATTGGAAAAAGATCCGTGGCATCGATCCCAGCATACTTTTTCAGGGCCGTCTGCGGAACTATGGAAGGGTAATGATTTGGCATGAAAGCCCCCAAATCATAGACCATTCCTCTGATAGCAATGTATGAACTCTGGCCGTTCTTGCCGTTGTGATTCGAGAGCTCATTCGCTGAGTAGACATTCTGTTTGGGACAGATGAGCCTGGGAAAGAGGATGATGAAGAAGATGACGAAGCCACAGCTGAGCCAGATCATGAGGTTGATGGCAAACTTCTCGCGCCATGCCATTCGAATATCTTTTCGTTTCATGCCACCGACCCATTTGATTAGAAAATCTGGCATCCACCAGGTCAAGAGGTAAATCAGAGCAACCCAGCGCTGTCGACTTCCGGACACGGGAACAACATCGACTTCTACCATTTTCTTCTTGTTGCCCTTCTCGGCCATTTGCTCCCTTGTCTCTAGATTGCGGAACATATCACCGGAGTTGAAAGCAGAAGCACCGGCATCGGACCGACCGTCCACCTCTCGACCACCAAAGTATGCCGCTTGCTTAGTTTCATCACCGTATATGAAAGCACCTGGGCTCGGCATATTCTGTTGTGATGCCAGAAGATTGACTCGGGAGTCACCAACGCCTCGATCCTGAGTCTCCATTGGGGTCAATGCCTCCTCTCCAACATCACTGACGTCTGCGTCAAAGAAGCGTCCGCCAGTAAAACCTTTTTCGCTGGACTTTGCGATTGTTGCCCAGCATCTTTCGCTAAGAAATACGCCGGTGGTGCCTACACGGGCCTCGTTTCCGGGCCATCTCTTTTTACTCAAAGCGGCCTCTACTTTCTCCCTTTCGCTTCCCATCAAAGTATCATGTGCTTCGACAAGACCAAGAAATTCGCCAAATGGTAAGAAAAGGCTGAAGTCTGCGTTTCGTAATCGCTGACTGATCTCAGCAATACCAAATGTCTGAATCTGGGCTCGGACACATTTACTATCGAACTGGTTGGCGATGCGGCGATCATTTGGCTTTAGACAGAAGACAAAGTAAGGATTGGTATCTGTGGACGAGATAGACTTCGTTATATTTTCCAAAGACGACAAGAACTGGCCGGAAGCACCTTGGTCGATGCCGCCTAGACGATCATTACCTTTACGTCCTCCAGCAGCCCTCTTACGAAGATCACCGGCTTGGCTATCAGCATCTTCATTAGATTGAGTAGCACTAGTCGTACGTGCAGCAAGCCTCCCTGGTCGTTCGCCCTTCCTGCGGGCCATACTTGGCATTCGCAGTGGCTTCGAGCTGACTTGGGCCTGCATGATAGCAGTCTTTTCGCTTGGATGCATTACGGTATGAAGCGCTTCTTGCCCAAACAATTCACGGACGAAATCACTCTTGGTGGAGTTGATCAGATTCATCAGATCGCCCGGGATTACTTCTCCGTTCTCCTCGACCAGTCCGTTAATCGGATAATCGACCTCACCAGCAAAATGTCTCACCGTGAAGGATGCGGCGGCATTCTGTGTGACGAAGTTGCTGCCCGGCATCTTAGCAGTAGCACTTCCCACAGTGATTGCAGGATTCTTGTTCTCGAATCGCTTTCTGAGGCTGTCCAAAAGCTGTAAATCTGTTCTGCCACGTCGACTCTGGTCACTGAGTATACTAAGAAGTCCATTGCCATGTTTGAGTAAACCGCGGACAGCATCGGTATTGTCAAAGTAACTCGTTGCTGGCACGCTGACATCCTCACTTTCCATCAGATCGGCCTTGCGCTCGAAGAAACTCTGCAACGCGAAATTGTACAGCGACTCAGCTGCGGCGTTGTTAAGCAACTGGTCTAATACAGAACCTGTTGACGCAGACTGCGCAAATCCCGGGAAGTCGATAATTGATATGGTGTTTGCAACGGAGTCCTCCAGGGCGCAAGTCCTCTGGTTTATCTGCTCAATGACATACGCTACAAGTAGAGAGTAGAGGGTCCGTGCTAGCTCGTCCGCGTTCTCTCGAGCACCTTTAGGATCAAGCATGACTGTGACTCGTTCCCGATGTATCGTCTTTGTCTTGTAGCCGAGACTGGTCTCGAGATCCTGAATGCTCAATCCAAGGAATGCAGCGACTATGCCCAAAACCTCCCTATTTTTCACAGTGGTCACTGTCTCGCCACCTTCGTGGGAATAACCGCCACTATCGTCGGCGGCAGGTAGAGTGGATTGACTAGTCGTGAATTCCAGCTGCCCAATATGGAGGATGCTGGCAAGAATTTGGCAGATTTCTGCTATATCACCTCGTGGAAATTCGAGCTTTCGTAAGGCTGTCTTGAAGTGCTGGAAACCTTCGGCATCATTGATTCCTACCTTGAGTTGCGTAGGGTGACCTAGGTACCGCCACCTCTTGTGACCAATATTTCCAGATGACCTATTGCCGGCGGAGACACCGCTTTCAGCCACCACACCTGCGTTTTCAAGACCAAGATGCGCTTTCTCTGCAGCGCTCGTTCCGGCCAGCAAGTAGTATAGGACGTGGAAGCTTCGCTCGCCAGTCGGGACCGAAGCGATCCTGCTTCGTTCCAATCGATGGTCCAACAGCTTCCCTCCAATGAGCGTAGGATTCATCGTTGACGAGGAATCATATTGCAATTCGAAAAAGAGTCCAGCCTTTGATGCAGTCGGCGTGGTGAGAGATTTCGTGGTCGTAAGTGTGTCGAATACGAAAGCCGCAAGAGAAAGCTTCGTAGAAAGCGGCGTGGATGAGAAGGATAGGATTGAAGAAAGCAGGTGCGAGCGTATGGTGGTCTTGCCGGAGCCAGATTCACCACTGCATAGCCAAGCGAACTTAGCATCTGAGCCACAAAGATAGAAGTGGGCTGCTGGATGACGGTGTCACTTACAGAAAGACCACAGCCTGATTCTCTCCCCGTCCTCCTAATCTTGACCAAGCTCTTCTCGCCAATTCTTCGGCCTCGCCCATGGCACTTCCTTGTTTGCTGCCATCGGGACCCTTTGAGGAGGAAGTGTAGGTGTTGAGGGAGATGAGTGCTTGAGATGATAATCTTGACACTGGCAGGGAGACATGGAAACTTTGGACCTGATTAGCTTTCTTGTAAGGAATCAATCAGAACATGTTGACATACCGACTGGCAAGATGTGCTGTCAAATGCGTATCTGACTGTAAATGGGCGGGCAACGCCGGTAGAGAGGGTTGGGCGTGTGCTGGAGTCGTACTGTTGAGCGAAGGAAGGGCCATGATGGCGGCACAACAGGGGCGTTTCTCAATCCAGAGGGTTGAGGACTTGGTTTGACTTGGGGTATGTCTCTGATGCACCGATTGCACTTTTCAAAGACCAAAGTTGAACGGGTGTGGGTGTAACTGCAAAAGCAAAGTAATGGGCCCGAGGATGATGCTGTTGGTGGGCAGTAACCCAGAGGTGGAGCCGTCAGACGGACGGGGTGTCTTAGCGAGAGACAGACAGCGTAAAAGTGGAAAAGGAAGGGAAAGGATCTAAACGAAGGTCGTTAAGGGTAGATTGACAAAGATGAAGATAAGAAAAGAGGTAGAAGGCGACAGTCTCTGTTGTGGTAAGATACTCGGAGGGAGCGAGGGAGGGAGAGAGAGAGTCTCGACGGAGGTGCTAAGCATTTTTAGAGCCACGGGTACGCGATCTTTTTACGATGTCCAGTGTCCGTTGCCACTAAATCCACTTTCTCTCAGCTGCTTTGAGCTGTACTCGTATTGAACGTCTATGATGGAAAACTGATTGGTCTGGTAAATGTCACAACTTGATTACATATTCATTGAATCGTTCGTTCTACGTCTGACGAGTGTAAAGTCGGATTACCTATGGTGATGTGTTTACATTGTTAGCTTACTCCGTACAGCATGCAGGATTCAATAAAGGGCCATGGAGACCGACTGAACTTGCGGGCGCTAGAAGAAGCCCGCAGATCTCCCTTCCCTTCTTTTGGGCTGGGACCCCAAGAAAGACTGCCATGTGCCAAGTGCCAAATGTGCCAAAATACCTAGTACCATAGGAAAACTGAAATATAATTCAATGAAATGATCACACACATACATGAATAATTCGTCTTTTTCACTGCCCCTATATCGCACAGTCGAACCGGAATGAATGTTGTGGGCGGCCAAAGGATCAAATAATACGAGACATTATTTATTTAGTGCATCTAGTGGAGGGGTGTGTTGCTATTTCCAGCAGTGGCGGCGGCGGGCACGGGGGTTGCTCTAGCGTGTTTTCATCTGTCTCACTGACTCAAGGTAGACGACAACAAGCATCAACATTCGGCTCATAGCCTTGTATCTCCTGCTGCAACACCGCCGAGCAATTCATCCTTTCCATGCCCACAGGGTCACACTCGTTCCTCTCTCGTTGATTGTCACTCGCATCATCGTTCGTTGCTTGCCTATGACACCCTGGGCACCGTGATCCTTTGCCTCCCGAAAAGTGCCATTTCAAAGATTTTGGAGCCATTGCCCTTCACCTTCTTGAGCTCTAGAAAGAGCTGAATACGAACCACGATTTCGACATTCTCGGCAGAAGAGTTCGCATAAATTCTGCTTGGTGGTGCCTCAGCAGACTGCCCAGGGGTGGGCATTAAAGAAGGAGCTGCTGATAATATACCTACACCATGTCTGTGCCCAACAATCGCCTGTCAACCTACTCTGGTGCCTCAACTCCCACCGGAGTCCGTTCTGCAGCCCAGCAGTCGACGCAGGTATCAACGACCACATTGCTCAACGCACTACACACCAGCTACGCTTCGTCACGCCCCTATCGCCTCGATGCGAGCACAAGCCTGGTAGTGAACACTTGGCTTACTGCATCCCACCCAAACGTTGACGGCCAACTGGGAGGTACGATAGATACGGATTTGGCACAACAGGCATGGGAGCATGCTCGTCGACGGGCCGAGGATGGCTGTATCGTCCTGGCATCCTTGCATCACTCCACACCCTCCATTCTTTCGCCATTCATATCTGCCATTCCCCTTGCGGTACCATCTTCTCTCCATACCGCTCTGGCAGTGCTCAGGCCCTTTACCTATTGCGTGACGCCCTACAATCCAGCCACTCCAAGGCATGCAGCACTTGCAGCTACATTCAGTCTTACACTTGCTGGCAACGTCAGCTCGGCATCCCTCTCACTTTCACACTCGGGACTCAACATCGCCAAGGGCCTTCTCGATCTACCGCAAGAATCAGGCTTTCGAGCTTTTGACGTATTCTACTACCTCCTTACATCTGCATCAACTCCAGCTGAAAGAGAATTTCTGAGCCTGAAACACCCATCAACCTACGCATTGCTGAACGGATCTGGCACATACGAGCCACCAACCTATTTGCCTGCAGCCGATGATACGGCTTCCGCTGAAGACTTCCGGTCTTCTTTGAAGGCAATTGGGATCAAAGGGTCGGCTCACCGGAGTTTGATTTCCACTCTTGCGGGGCTCCTTAAACTTGGAGAAACCGTGGGCCTTCTCATTGATCAAGAAGATCTGGAAGACATCTGCGAAGATGTTAGCGGTCTTCTTGGCCTTGAGCCCGAAGTCCTTATGCACAGATGCAATACAGACGAACGCGAAATTTTGATTTCAGGAATATATGAAGCTTTAGTCGATTGGGTTCTGTTGAAAGCTAATAAGGCAATCTCTGCAGAGGTACAAAGAATGAAAGAAGGAGATGAGTCTAGTGAGAGCGGCAATGATAGAGTGGGCGCTCGAACACCTAGGACGGATGAGGATAACGGCGATACTGTCAACATCACCGTGGTAGAAATTCCAGGGCAAGACCTTGGCAAAGCCGTCGCGCTTCGTGGGGTCTTTGACGATAATCTGGGTATCAACGCCGAAATGAAACAGGATGGAATCGACGTGATATCGCCCGGTTCATCTGTCGTCAAAGACATGCAGAACGCCGTTTCAGAAGTAGGCGCAGACCTTGGGCTCACCCACGGTCCAGTCAGCAGAGATCGAGCTTTAGAGCGAGAACGCCAGGAAGAGGTGTTGGAAAAAGTAGGGGCAGAAGCGGAAATGGGCGGCTTCTTGCGAAACATACTGTACCCAACCGACGGGCAAGGCGTCAGAGGTGACATGGAAGCGCGTATGGACCTTCCGGTTGTACTCGACAGCAGCAGAATATGGTACCATTTGTCCCTGCACCCCACCGATGAATCGCTAGCCAGTCTAGGCAATTTGGCATCTACAACTTCAGCCTGGTCAGCGGGTACAGTGTCGAAGCAGCTTCGAACCTGGAGACTTCCGGAGTGGGCCAACTACCGCAACAAAAACCTGGACTTCACCGCCGATTTTGACATTGATGAGTTCTACACTCGATACTCCCGACTTGGATGTCAGGAGGGCCGGGATGGAGTCGAGAGCTGGATCTTGGAACGTGGGTGGAGTAATGGCGAGGTAGTTGTAGGACACGAGCGTGTCTGGATTCGCGAAGGACCATGGTGGGAGGCCGAAAGTATGCTCGATCTCAAGCCCGCCGAAACATCCACTTACGGGCAGCCTCACTTCGGCATCATGGGTGGTGGCGGCATGGAAAGTGGGTACTCTGCCACGACCCCTGGGCCCAATGAGGGCGGGTTCTTTCCACCCGCGGGTGAGGACTATGGAAGCCGGGATAATCTGTTGCAACGGCAGCAGAGCGTAGCAACTATGCCTCAAGCCACCATGGGTGTAGCAAAGTCCATTGCCCCAACTATGACCCGCACCGTTAATACAATGCCCGGCGATTACGGCTTAGGCGCCAAAGGGGACTATAAGAAGGGACAAGTCACATACTACAACGATGATATTGGAGAGTTCACTGGTGGCTTGGATCCCGAGCTGGCCGAGCCGAAGGCCATCTCTTCTGAGCCTGTCGATAAGTCTCGTCGGCTTTGGGTCGCATTGGTTTGGGCTTTGACCTTCTGGATCCCTTCATTCACGCTCCGATATCTCGGCCGAATGAAGCGACCTGACGTTCGATTTGCTTGGAGAGAAAAAGTTGTTCTGATGCTGCTGATCTTCTTACTCAATGCAACGGTCATTTTCTGGATCGTCGAATTTGGCAATCTTCTATGCCCTAACCTTCACAAGGTTTGGAATCAGAAAGAGGTCGGGTATCATCAAGCTGAAAACGATTTCTGGGTCAGTGTCCACGGCAAGGTTTACGACATAACGAAATTTGCAAAGATTACACACGGAGACATTGAACCTCTTGCCACCCAAGCCATGATGCAGCCTTTCGCCGGATTGAATCTGGATGAGTACTTCCCACCACCTCTATCAAAAGCCTGCAGCTACCTGGTCACCGATGAAGCCACAAGATTGCTTGCGAACACTACCGTTCTATATCCTCAGGGGGTTCATACATCTGGTCCCCTTTATCAAACGAACAACAACACAAAATTGCACAGTATCGACTGGTACAGCGACACATTTCTTCCAAAGATACAAGAATACTACAAGGGTGATCTCGTAACTACAAAGGGGTCTATCAGTTCACAAGGTTCTAACCGCGAATGGGTCATCTTGAACGGAAAGATATATGACCTGACAGACTATTTCTACACTAAACAGACTGAGGGGAACATCGCAATGTATTCTTGGATTCCTGACGAGGTATCAGATCTGATTCAACAGAATGCTGGCAGCGACATCACAAGCCAGTGGAAAGACAACAACCCCGACTACGAGAAGACTTTGAACTGCATGGAAAATGCTTTCTATGAAGGGATACCGGATTTTAGAGACACCGCAAGATGTCAGGTCAACAATTACCTCTTGCTTGCTTTTACCATTGTTCTTTGCGCCGTCATTCTCACCAAATTTCTGTCTGCACTGCAGTTTGGTTCCAGACGCAGACCAGCAGCCCAGGACAAATTTGTAATTTGTCAGGTCCCAGCTTATACGGAAGGCGAAGATCAGCTACGCAAAGCTCTTGATTCATTGACAGCCCTCCAATACGACAACAAGAGGAAGCTGATATGCGTCATGTGTGACGGGATGATTGTGGGAGGCGGTAATGACAGGCCAACTCCAAAGATTGTACTCGATATCCTCGGCGTTGATCCAAAAATTGACCCTCCCGCACTTCCGTTCAAAGCTGTTGGACAAGGCAATGAGCAACTTAATTACGGCAAAGTCTACTCTGGTCTGTACGAGTATGAGGGAAATGTGGTACCATATATCGTTGTGGTGAAGGTCGGCAAGGAGTCCGAACAGACAAAATCAAAACCTGGAAATCGGGGGAAACGAGACTCACAGATTCTGCTTCTTAGCTTCCTCAATCGTGTCCACCATCGCTCACTAATGTCACCACTCGAGCTCGAAATGTTCCATCAAATCAACAACATTATCGGCGTGGATCCTGAGCTATACGAGTACCTTTTCATGGTTGATGCAGATACTAGCGTCAAGGAAGACTCACTGAATCGGCTTGTAGCAAGCTGCGCCAATGATGCGAAAATCGCAGGCATTTGTGGCGAAACAAGCTTGGAGAACGAGGAACGAAGTTGGTGGACCATGATACAAGTCTACGAGTACTATATATCCCATCATCTGGCAAAGGCATTCGAGTCGTTGTTCGGTTCGGTAACTTGTTTGCCCGGATGGTGAGTCCAATTTCCCATCTTCAAAGCTCGCTAGACCTACTGACATTATGCTAGTTTCTGCATGTACCGACTTCGAACAGCGGACAAGGGTCGCCCATTGATCATCTCCGACAAAGTCATCAATGATTACAATACCTGCAATGTGGACACACTGCACAAGAAGAATCTCCTGTCCTTGGGAGAAGACAGATATCTTACAACGATCATGACGAAACATTTTCCATCAATGTCGTTCAAATTTGTACCAGACGCTTACGCTAAAACCGCAGCGCCGGAGACGTGGGGTGTTCTCCTGTCTCAAAGACGACGTTGGATCAATTCCACAATTCACAACCTGGCCGAGCTTGTCTGGCTCAAAGATCTTTGTGGGTTTTGCTGCTTTAGTATGCGATTTGTTGTCTTCATCGACCTTTTCGGAACCATCATCCTTCCTGCTACCTGCGGGTATCTAGGATATCTAATATACCGTGTTGCGAGCCATACCGGTCAATTTCCACTAATTTCGCTCGTCATCTTAGGATGCGTGTATGGCCTTCAGGCGATCATATTCCTAATCAAAAGACAATGGCAACACATTGGGTGGATGATTATTTACCTCCTCGCGTTCCCAATCTACTCTTTCGTGCTTCCGATATATTCATTTTGGAACCAAGACAATTTTACCTGGGGAAACACTAGGATCGTTCTTGGCGAGAAAGGCAACAAGCAGATTGTGGCCCTTGAAGATGAAGGGTTCGATCCTCGAAGCGTCCCACTTCAGAGATGGGATGATTACGCAGCGACGAACAACCTACCAGGTCGTCGCGGCATGGCAGGCATCATGGAGAAGAGCTATGAGGACGAATTTGCAAACAATGGCTTTGAGATGGACGACATCCACTCGGTGTACTCGTCCGCTAAGCCTGCTTCCACCGTACTCACTGGGTTCCAAAACGCACCGCCTGCATACATGCCACCTCATTCGCCTGCAGCTTTCGGGCATCCGAACAGACAATCCATGTATTCGTCCACTCCTTACAAGGACCAACCGCAGTATTCACGTCCGCATTCGAGACTGCAATCAGTGACAGGTATGAGCGATCATTACCAGGACCATCCATACCAGAGGATGAGCATGCCAAGCACAGACAATCTCATTGCTATGCAATCACCGCCACTACGGCAGAATCGAAGCCCACTTGGATATGGGAGCAGGCCTGTGAGCACCGTGGACTTCCGGGGAACGTACAGCGGCCCCGACGACGGTGCGATCGTCGAGGCTGTACAGAGCTGTCTCGCAGAGGTGGACTTGGACAACGTGACGAAGAAACAAGTGCGCGCATTAGTTGAGCAGCGATTGCAGACAGAATTGACGGGGGAGAAGAGAGCGTTCATGGACCAGCAGATTGATGCTGAGTTGGCGAATATGTAAATGCAATCATTTATTGGTACGAAAAGCGGGTTTTGAGCATTTACTTGGGATCATGGCATCAAGCTGATGGAAATTGCATCAGGAAGGGCGCGGGGTTTGGTAGCATAGAGCATTTAATTGGCGCTATGCTTTCCAGGGACATTGTTCTTGTCACGATGTGAATTTGTACAGATATGCTGATGCTCATAAAGAGTATGTGAATGCAATGCAGAGTGCCGCTCACAACGCTGAAACCAAGCCCTTCCTTTCCATCTTCACCGCTTGCTCCCATCACCTGCCAGAATGTTTTTCATCCTCGATCTGCCTCCTCAGATCGTCCAGTACTCCCTCTCTCGTCTTCCAATGTGCTTCCAATCCCTCCACCATCTCCCTAACCCCCTTAATCTCATTCTCCACTCCTTTCAAAGCCTCACCAGCCTTACTTCTGCCCTCGCCCCTTTCCAATTCTCGGATCTCTTTCCGCTTATAATCCAACAGCATTTCCAGCTCTCTCTTCACAAGCGCCGGCTTACTTTCCTCTTCCCTTTTCCGTCCGCTTTTGCCCTTCGCTCTCGATTCAATCGTATCGATCTTATTTTCCAGATCTTGAAGTTGTCTCTTCAGCCTCACCTCTTCCCAGTCCTCAGTCGTACGTGTACTACTGAAATCTGTGCCAGAAGGTTGATAAGTGCTCTTCCCGCCCACACCCAGCCGGCTGAGGTACGTATCCCCAAACTTGGCTTTGCGCCCTGTACTCGTGTCCTCATCCTCATAGCCCCGGCGCTGAGCGGGCGATCTTGATTTGACGCTCCTGTTCTCAAGGTTGTAGTCGATTTGGCCTTGCTCGAATGTGGCGCGAAGCGAGGCGGGGACGGAGCGCGGGATGCGGTAGCCTTCGTGTCTGTTGTTTAGTATGTGTAAGAATGCCAACGCCGCATGCTTCCCTATCGCTGGTTCCGAAGCTGGATTTGCCAGGTTCCATGCAGAGCGGAGGTCTGTGTCTGGGACATCGAGTGAGGCGTAGAGGGATTCGAGAGATTGGAATGTGAGGGCGCCGTGTGGGCCTTTGTTTGCTGTGTATATTGACTCGTACTTTGATTTGTCACTGGGTGACATGTACCAGTCGAAGCCGTCTTTGAGGCCCGGCGTGTCGTCGTCGTCATCGGAGGGTGAGATGGGGGAGAACGCGGGTTGATTACCGGAGAGGGCACGGGTTGCTTGGACGAGATGAGCTTTAGATTCGGGAACGAGCCAGTCAGGAAGTGAGGAGGGAACGTCTGCGTATTCCTGGGTGTAAGGGTCAGCATGGGCGTTTCTCTAGGCAGCTGTATGTAGACAACGCAGCTCTGCTGTGTTCTGGCAGGGGGGATGAACATACGCCATTCACAAGGTCAAAGATGATCCGCATGGCCACGCAAAACTCCTCAAAATCGAGGTTTCCATCATTGTCGACGTCTGCGAGGTCCCAGACTCTCGCGAGTTGATCCTCTCGGAGCTGGCTGTTCTTGAGTACGGAAGCTGCTTGATCTCCGCTCAGGTGGGTTCCACCATTGGCTAGAGGAGAGAAAATTTCCCAGTACTTTTCTACCTCTGCCTGTTCTATCCGTTTATTTGACATTGTTCATGGCATGACAAGCATAGCATGCTCTGCACATCTTCAGGCTAGCAATCGCGGCTATCGCGGTTCTCGGACCGCACTTTCGGACCGTACAGCCCACTTTCTGTCGACGACGACACGTAGATAGACATCCAGAGAAAATTAGCCAGCGTAATTCTCCTTTGATCAATGCTGGAATGAAGGAGATATATCAAGTCAGATAACATCGAGAAGTCCAAATTCTGTCACATTGATGACATTTGACTGGGCTGGTGACCGATCAACCCGTGAGTAGGAAACAGGCTTTTCTCAAGAAAATTGCATAGGGTCAAGCCACCCTTGACAAACTATCTAACCCTAGCTTTGGGATCTATGAAAAAAGAATTACCATTTCTTGCTTGCATGGCCGTGGATTGGGTCAAAGAAGAATTGAAAACGCCGCAGAGCCAGCCGAGAACGAACACATATGCTGGACTGTCAACCCTTTTAAGGCGACTATGAAGGCGTTTCAACATGCTCGGCAGGCCTCTCGATCTCTCCTCTGACCACATTTCCGGCTTCAGTTCCGCACGTATGTAAGATAGGCCTGGGGAGCTGACACCCAATTATCGAAGGACACAGTCCACTTGCCCAGTGCAAAGAGCTGCGGAGGCTCTGTCTTCTTCGTCCTATCGTTGGCCCAAATCCTATTGAGTTGCACTTGCATACAGTTCCACTGGTCCAGATAGGTGGCTTGGGTATTTGGCATCTCGAGTGGTACGTTGGTATAGAACGCAAAATCACTGTAGGTCTGCTGGAGCGCATTTTGGACTTCTTGGATATCTTCGGGTGTCTCCGGGCGCTCTGCGCGACAGTCGAAGTCGAATGTCAGATCGGCTTTCTTCTGCACCCTATCTAGGTATTTCTGTGTGGCTTCCGGATCTTGACGGACTTGTGCACGGTCAGGCCGCGTCCCAATGTTAAGCGATCTCATCGATGCCTTCTCCAGATCCGTCAAGTCGCGGCCTATGGTTTGATTGTTTGCTTTTTCTGCTGGCGAGCGAAGTTCGTCCATGAATTTATCGAGCTTCGGATCTTTGCCCCCAGTCTTCCAGCTAATGAGTCCAGCGTCGTTTCGAAACCTTCTGGCACGCTCTCGGACAGTCCCAGAATTGTAAATGGACACTGGAGTCTGTTGCCCTGCAGGGTCAGTTTTCCATTTGACCGGGATCCGAGCGACGATATCCATCACGCTCATCTGACCTGATCGCATCCAAGCTTCGGCTCGCCATCCCTCAACCATGCTCGAGATGACCAGCGGTAGGCTTGGAAAATCTCTGATAGGTTGCCCGCGAAAGTCTAGTAGCAGCTTGCCATCGTATTTCAGGTTCCCGATCGCCTTCTTCGACATGTTCTCGGCAGGAGGTGGGTTGAATGAAAGTAGGTCGACTGGGCGATACTTGATATCTTTTCCCCATGACAGTTGATCTTCGTGGACAGCTGTCACATCAAAAGGTGTTGATCCGCATGATGGCTGGTAATCTGTGTGTTTCAGGGTCAGAGGTGCGTAAGGATAGTCTCTAAGGACGTTACCGTAAGTTGCGCCTACTGCCTTTGCAGCTTGTGCGAGCAGCTCCTTGCGATAATTGTGGTGGTATAATGCACTGTCTTCGTGTGCGTTAGCTCTAGCCGTCTGTATGAATGGAGGCTGTGCTCACCCTCTTCGCATTCAGATCCTTCTTGAATTTCTTCTTTCTTAGTACATATGGCGTCCTTAGGGACGAGTTCGTGGGCATTCATCGTAGAGGCAGGCCGATGCCCTGCTTGTGCGAGACCGAGTAAGTTGTATGAAGAAGCGGGCTTTTACCTTAGAAAGGATCAGGTAATGCTGAATTTGTTCTGGACGGAGGGCAAGTTGTGCGTCGTGTTGTTACCAGGCGTCGGGAAGCTAAGGAAAGATGCCCGAGTTATCTCGGCAATAGAATTGCATCCATATCCTGGCTTGACAGTCTCCAAGTGATTACTTGGCTGCCTTTGTCCCGAGCCAGGTCGCTTCAAGAGATCGTTAGACACACTATTTTACCGCGGTCCTGCTTACTGTTTGCCAAAGCAAAATCACACTGTTCTGTGGATCCTACACTCTGGATACAAGATCCTGCGCTTTCAAGACTTCTGTTAGCAACTCTTTATTACATACAATTGAAAACACTTCTCCATTCGACTATCTAGCTGTGGCGATACGCCACTAGTGACAAGTCTTACGTCCACACCCCTCGTCCAGCAACCAAAGTTCCTCTTCACACAGCAGTCAACACCAATGGACGACGCCATAAAGGAGAAGCTCCGCCTGGACACTCTTCACGACGAAGAGCTTCTTCGCATCGGCAAGACTCAAGAGCAGGAACGCGAACACATTGTTCGAACCCAAGCCCAAGCACGCGAGCACCTCAAACTTACGCTCGATCTCGAGCATCACGCAATCCACGACGCAGCCATTGCCCGGCAAAAGGCACTCAATGAGCAAGATTATGAGCACCGCGAACGCCTACTCAAGCTAGAGCGTCAGTATGCGTCGAGTGAGATGGCGCTTAAGCCTAATGAGTCGGTCCCAGAATCTGAGAATGCGGGATCTAGAAACGAGGCAGCGGTAGACACCGAGGAAAGGTTCACTGAACCTGAGAGTGCGGGATCTGGGAATGAAGATTCTGGAGAGCGGGCATCAATGAAGGGCAAGAGCAAGGTGGAATTTTTCGTTCAGATTGCGAAGAATGCGGCCGAGAGGGGGGCAGAGAGGAGGCGGGGATAGTGAGAGGCCGCTGTCATTGGGGGTTTTTAGGCTGAGTCGGACGAGGTGTCTTGAGGTTTACATTACGCTGGGGCGAAAGATACTGCATAGGGTCCTCTGATATCATCCCAACCCTCGGTCATACCAAGAAAAAACTTGCGTTGCTCAATTTGATAGCGCTTCCAGCAGCTGAACTCAATAAACATGCCAACAAGGAGGGCCGCTTTCCTTACTTCCTTGCCTTCGCCGAGGCCTTGAGCACCCGACCATCGCGTACTCTGTGGGACTCATCCCTAACTTTCTCAGCCCGGGTGGATCGAAGAGCCTCCACGGGCTCTGAACTCTCGTCGCCAACTTTCCTTTTGGGCTGGCTCAGTCTGAAACGTGTGGGGTGAATTTCCTCCACTGAGACAGACCTCTCTCGCTTTGGCTGGCTTAATCTTAGGCGGGTAGGGCGAATGTTCTCCGTGGGCAAGGATCTCTCTCGCTTTGGTGGATTCAATACCAGCCGGCCATTCTCCGGGGCGGTAGCGGTCGAGGTCGAAAATTCTCCCATGTTCACATCACCAGCCGAGTCTGGGATGTCCCCGTCGCTTGTCGTCGCGTCCTGATCTTCTTTGGGAGAAGACTGAGCAACCCTCACCCTCGTTTCCCTCGCAACCTCCACTTCTAGCTCCTCCGCTACCTTTATCAATTCCTGCGCCTTACCGTAAGCGTCCCTCTGCTCTGCTCGCAAGGTTTGGACCCGAGCCTCCGCGAGCTCGGCTTCGGCGTTAATCTTCTTGACACTCTCTATCGCAAATCTGTACTCGGTGACGAAAACGGCTTTCTCGGTTTTGACGTTGCCTTCCGTACCCCCCCTGATTTCCCCACTGCGATATATCCAAGGCGTGTGAGGGTTAGCGTTGTGCCTGCGCCATCCCATGTTCATCTTGGCGAGCTCTTTCTGTCTGGCCTTTTCGGCTTCGAAGGCGAGGCGCGAGCGTTTTTGGGCCTCGAGCGCGTGGATGATCCTGTCTTTCTGCTTGAGCTGCTCCTGGAGGGTCTGGATTCTGAGCTTCGAGGCAGCCATTGCAACGGGTGGAGGTGGCATTGAGGCTCGCATTGGACCATTGTTTTCTGGTGATATGTCCCTGGAGGACGGGTTAGCATACAACGTTTGTCAAATCGGTCGAAGCATGGGAGAGATTGAGGGAGCACAAAGGAAAGAAAGGACACTTTTCGCAGAGTATCCAGATCATAATACTGCCGAGGAAAGCATCAGGGACCACAGCGGAATATACCTACGACATGTTGAACAGGCCTTTGTCTGTGAGAAATGCAAGTGAATTTGGGGGTTCTGCCACTGTGGGCTGCGACGATGGTCGTGGATTTCAATGATTTTGAATGGTGGTTCGAGGTAGAAAGGACGAGATTTGGGTATGATGTCGATGCTGCGTGGATGAACAGAGCAATGTGCTGAATATGCTAGAGAACTCGCCGGTTTCAATGCTCGCAAGGTGGATGAAGGGTAGACAAACTGGAGAACACTTGTGCCCAAGATATGGGTTTCACGGAATATTGCATTAAAAGTTGAGTCACGATGAGACTAGCATGTGAGCCTTCGAGAATATTTGCATTAATCGAGGGCTTATTTGGCTCCTCTTGAGAGAATAAGATACTATTGTGCTTGAAAATTTCCTCTTGCTTGGCATAGTAATGCCGCCTAGATGCTTCTCTCAGGTAGCTTGGCACGAAGAATGGCATTTGATGCCAAGAATCAACTTGGTATGACTCAGAGGGACTCAATCCCTTGCGATGCCCGACGAATTATTCTGTTGTTGCTATTGCTATGTTGCCTGCTGCTGTGAACGAATATAAAATATTTGCCGCAGCTTGAGGTATTAGCTAGAATAGATAACGAGACGTGAACTGCGGACGCAATGACAGGAACTTATCAGATGCTTCGCATCAATCGTATGCTGAACTTCGTATCGCTTCTGCCGTGGCCGTTACCCACGGAGACACCAAAAAAGTAGACAGATGTTTTCAAAAGACAAAGACATGGGGAAAGTAATGATGCCCGCAGTAAGTGTACCTTTTGAAAAGCCTCTATCTAGTTGGGCTTTAGTTCAAGTGCGTAGTTCAACGTGCACCCTCTCAGAATTTCGCAGGCTAAAGGTATTCGGGGAAGTCCTGCCTGTAAACGTAGCCTAGCTATGTTGTAGCTAGCTTTGGAGAACAGCAGCATGTGAATGTACAGATTTTCGGCAAGCCAGTTGTGCGGTGGAAGATGCAGTAGGAGAATGACCGAGACGAAGAATCGCCACGTCGGAATGCTGAGATGCTCTGGTTTCATAAGCATCAGAGATTTAAGACTGAGCGTGCCAAGACGAGGCTCTTTTCTTCCCTGCCTGCCTTCCTTCCTTCCCTTCTTCCGCGCAGAATGAGATAGGTAGAATACCTCAGCAGGCATAGAATAAGCAAGTGGAATGATGAGGTTCATGAAAATGTGCGCCATGTATTCTGACCTTACCCGTCGGTGATCTACCTTACCTGCCTTAAGATAAGGTACTCTAGTGTGGTGGTGTTTTGTGAGCCCTCAGCAGGTAAAATGTCCAGAGTGAGAGTTTTGATAAAGAGTGATAAGTCAGTGTGGTGTGGAGCCCTCAGACAGCGCTAAAAATGGTGCCCGCCAGGGACAAGGAAGCCCCAACTTCCACCAGCTTCTTTAACTTGACGACCTTCTCTTTTAAGGTACTCAATCCGCTTCAATTACTGTCTCTACATGTCTCGTTGCCTATATATTGACAAGCATCTTTCTGCAATCAAGCATCAAAGCAGTCAAGGCGCACGCACCGCATCCCTTGGGCTTTGGCAACAGCTACTTTACCCCTTTTGCTTCTCAGGGCATTAACGCAGATATCCAGTAGGTACTAAGTTACATGCAAGGCTTTGCACCCTCAATATGCTTTGAATCTTGCTTCTCCCATGCCCCTTTCCTTCCATTATGGTAGCAGCGAATCGGGACTTCCATCTCAGATTTTCGCCTTTTCTGGCATGCAATCAATCTCTGTACCGTACCGCTACTGAAGCTGGAAATCTACTCACTTGTGACATGGTCTTTGTCGCCGCCCAAAGTATTCCGTGCGCGCTCCGCCTTTGATCCAGCTTCTTCGATGTTGAGCCTCCTCGCTAGATGGCCCCCAACGAGAAAAGATTTGTACGCATCTTGTTCCTCAAGATATTTGACCATTGCTGGCGATGGACTCTTCGCGGTGTTGGGAACAGATATCTTGGACGACTGCGCACCCTTCTGACATCCAACCCCACTAAACAATCCCCCAGAATTAGAAGGAGACCAACTTTGAGAAAGACAACAACCCACGTCATGCTGCAATGCCGCGAATAAAGGGACGATCTGGAAGGATTTCGGACGTCTTCTGTGCTGATGTGATATCAAGCATCAAGAGACTGTGGTCTCAAAAAGTGAATAGAGTTTGAAGATACAACGAAGAGAGTACTTGAATAAACAGCGGCTTTCACAGACATTGAAAAATCTGGAAAACCGGAAGAGATTTATGCTCTGGATGGATTGGAGAAAGAACTGAAGCCGCTGAGACTATGACCACGGCATTCTCTCTTTTCTGACGTTTTCCTGAGGACTCTCCCAATTTGGGCAAAGCGCGTTGGAAAACCCTGCGCGTAGTATCCAACGATACGCAAATCTCGTTGGGCCGATTTGGAAATCAGTGAGTAAAGTACCTTTTCCGACAAGCTTGTGAGGCATTGACTGATTGTGGCAGACTCCTGACAATCTCCCCATCTTGAGCCACGCGATTACCACAAGAACCATAAAGCCTTGCAAAATTGAAGTCGAGGTTTGCCCTACTTGACATTAAATGTAGGAAATCGGCTTGATGTGGCAGGCATCGATATCGAACTAGGCCACTTATGGGCTTCTCCTTGCTTGCCGCTGTTCGTGCAGGTCTGCCGAAGGACTACTGCAGCTTTGCGCCCCCAAAAGTGTGGGAAGGGATTTTTTTTTGGATGGGTTTTGGAATGGCTCAAGAAGCATCAGGCTGCACCAGCGGCATAAGGCTTGATTCGTCAGTAGGCTGAAACCCCACCGTTTTTCCGCTACAGGGGGCTCCGGATCGCCATGTTAATTTTATCTCTAAAATGACTGTGCCATCCTGTCATCAAAATTTTCACAAATTCGTAGAGTACCTCCACCATCCACATCTTTCCTCCTTTCTATACTCACATTCTTCACATCGCACATAGCCCCTACGGCCTTTTGTCCATTCGTTTATTATGATCCTAACGTCATGTGTGCTTGATTCTGATCACTGTTCACGGCCAACCACAGCTCCATATGCTGATGCCATCTCTCCACACCACTCTCCGTATCTGTTTCTACTCATTTATTTTCCTCGCCTTCCCTTTCACTATCAGAACGTTATTAGAAGGCAGATCACATTGACACAGTTATGTTCGGACACCTGGTGAATTACAGTCCTATAAGCTTTGGGCAGCAGGGCGAAATGAACGACGAGGAGTCCCCTTCAGCACCAGCTTCCATACTTTCAGTACCATCTTTTGGCACCTTGCCTTCAGTACCATCTATTGGCAATGAAGAATGGTGCCATCTCCAGTTTAATGCATTCGCGGATGCGAGCACAACCTCTGCTAGCCCGATCTCTCCCTGTTTCCCAGGTTACAGTGGTTCATCCGCGGTAGGAGTTGGCAGGTCCAGACACCGGAAACCCGGAAAGTGCTAACTTGCGGTCGCAGGGAATCGCGAGGTCTTATTCGACGACACCGCTGTCTTCGGCAAGTGTTGAAATACCCAGAACGAGTTTGCCTTTGCTTCCCGAGACATCATTGCAAGTCCAGTCGACTGAAGTAAACCTCAAAAAGCACAACAAATTCATCCTTGAGGATCCCACGATGGCCAAAGTCAAGAAGGATAAAGCAATGAGAGCGTGTACTACATGCTTTACCAAAAGGTGGGAGGTACGTTGTCCTTCTTTTGCCTCAGAGCAGTCATCTGTGTAGAGCGTCAGGCAGTCTTCAAGCTAGGATGATCCTGCTAAGTCTTCGACGCCAGTGTTCTGAAAGCGAAGTACCAAATCGCTGCATGCATTGCGTTGGCAAGACTAGCTATTGCAAGGGACCAATCGAAACCCCTCGTCTACTTGACATAGAATGGTTTGACGCAACGACAGCTGCACTTCTTGCACGTCACTACCAATTGATAGATTTTCACTTTGAAAGCGAATCTCTCGGACCTATGCAAGTAGACCTGAGATTGGAGCCTTCATCGGACCAGGAGATTGTGTCAGACAGGCAGACCTATAGTCTTCAAATACCGGGGCTACGAGATGACTTCTACTTCCTTGCGGAGTCTTCCAGTCTTGACGGCGTGTTGGATGCCATTCTTCCTGCCGATGTACCTCTCTGCATAGCACCCAAATCTGGCTTATATGATCTGTCTCTATATGAGGTATGCTCTCATTGACGAATCAAAGTGTTCACACTGACGCGCAAAATGTTTTCAAGTGTCTTTGCCGACGTCTCTACGCATGCATTTCCTTGTTGCGTCGCCCAAACGAATGCACATTAGACAAGGCGTACAAGGATGACCGTAGAGCGGTTCACATGGTCGTTGGGTTCCTGTGTCAACTGAACCGTACGGCATCCTCCATCTTCGCGGACATCTTTGAGCACGTCCGAGGATGCTGTTTCGCCAATCGTGATAGACGAGGGACCCCAAATCTGATGTTGATTTTAGCCGAGCATCTTGGTCATATGCACAAAGAGATTCGGCGTTTCGTCGATGTCAAGGGACAATTCTCTGACTTAGTAGATCCCCTCTAGTTCTGTGGACGAGCATAGCTAACAAGCATAGCAGCTCCCTCTGAGTGGGCTCTTCCATAATGCATTTCAACTTCTAGACGAACTCGAGAATCTTGGCAGGGGACTTTGCCCTAGAGCTTTCGAATCAACGTTCCACTCACCTGTTTTGGACGTTGGCAGGATACATCTCACACCCTGTTTCGAACCTAACCCCTATACTAGCACTGACGATGCTTTTACTTCATCGTAAGTACGACCTCTACGTGATGGGAAGGGTCAAGACGCTGACCTCTCCTTCCTTCAACAGCCAACACACCTCTTTCTTGGACATCTTGCGCGACTTGACCCCGCACAAATACCCCATTGGCGATCAGCCTCTTTCGATCATGTATAGCAACGACACCCTTGAGTCTTGGCAAAACATGGATGTCGAAGATTCAAACCTCCTTGCCGGACATGATTCTCAGGACGGTGTCAACAATGGTCAAGACATGATCATTGAAGAACATGTTCCGTTCGGCGGAGTCGAGGGATTGCAAGCGGAAGCAAACGCCATGCTCAATCCAGGTTGGACTCTAGGACTCGATAATCTCGCAGTCACACAAGATACCGAAGCAAGTGTCAGTACGGATCATTTGCATGCTGGGATCCTCGACTCCATACACCACAGCCAGCACGGTGGTTGGGAACAGCAGCCGAGCGAAGTACAGCAGGCTGGCCATGGCTACTTACAGAGTACTGTCCCCGCATACACCGATGTACGTGATAGCATGTTGACATCTCTACACGATGTAATGGCATCGTCGCAAGCCCAATCGAGTACCAGTCGACGGTCAAAGGCCGCAAACACTACTGCCTCATCGAAATCCAAGAAGCGACTGTGCTCGCTGCCCACCTCAAATCCTGTGGAAGTCCCAAGGAGGGCCAGCAAGCGCAAACACATGAAGACTGTTTTCTCACGCAAAGAACCACGCTTGACACCATCCCGCCTGAATCACAGCGAGGATTCGAGTGCTTTGACGACAGACTTGTCGTCAAAGCTTGCCCTACGCACAGATTCTGCAGCCAAGGCAACAAACATTAAGGGCACGATTTCATCAAAGCAGCCGAGCGATGACTACCCAACAGAACAACCACGAGCCAATCGGGTGGCGGCGTGGGAGCAAGGGAGGAATAGGCGTACAAACCTTGATAATGCGGGCATTGTCAGGGACATGGAAATTTCGGACTCGGAAAGACGGCCTATGTCATGGCCACACAGAAATCCCTGGCGTAAGTCCCTTGATATCTCCGTCGCGGTGCTTACCAAAGGATTTGAGAAATTGATGACGGAACGAGGAGAATCCTTCATTTAAGTTGGATGGTGGTCTACCAGCCCGCCCTCTTTTTTTCCGAGTCAATCTTATTCTAAAGTCCTTCAACGTTGGGCAGCATTGCAAACCACCGTTCTCTAATGTATTCAAGTTTTTGCAACGAGTTCTACGTTTAGCAAGACCTCAGGAAGGACTATTGTAACTCGGGTACTCGATATCAGGCAATCATTTCTACTTCATTAGACAGTCCGTTTGTTTTGTCCCTCATTATTGACTTTCTGGACACTGTTTGCAATTAGATGAATCGGTTGCTCTTCCGCGAGGGTGACATGGTAACGATCTGGACGAGGCGTTTTAGCCATGGTGGTCAGAACTGTTACCTATGTTGAAGGATCTTTGCGGTTGGCAGCCACGGCAGCTTAGTTTTACACACTCGCATGTGCTTCAGTACTTTTGTAAAGCTGTCCCGCATGTGGATCAGAAGCCCAATGATTGATACTTAGAAGACCAAAGCCGAAAGACTGAGTAGATGACAATATCTTGACGAGATCATGAACCCCATCCTCCACGTTATTGTCGCCACTAGAATCCCTGTGGTCCGATCTACCGAAAACGCTCCTCAGTGGAAACCGTGCATAGGACTAGTGTGTTTTGAGCAGCTTTCAAAATCGCCAATCTCGTTTGATGCTTACAGGTGGACACAGGTTCTTTCTCGCTGATCGCAATAGGCTCACCCCCTTCGAATGGTTCTCCGTGATACAGACACTTCTTCCTGGCTAAACGACTAGAATAGCGTTCAGGTTCTCTTCCTCGACTTTAATGATCGTGCCATTGGCCACAGAGGTAAAGTTGTCAACTTCTTTCACCCACTCGCGACTTCTTCAACCAATCGGCGACATCCGTATTCAGCATCTGGCGTTGTACTGTCTAGTTCCAAAGTCGCCAGGATGTCTAGAGCGTTTACGGCTGTTTCCTAAAACTTAGAAGTGTCGTGGATCTTGGCCTTCGGGCCTAGGTATTTATTTGTATCGCGCAGCGCGTGCTTCGATTTAGAATTAGCCTTAACACCACCATAACTCAGATTCTCCTAGTGATGCATTTGCATGAGAAGTAAGGTAAGCTCAAATTACTAAAAAAAGCATGGTGATGAGGAGTATAAGCGAGCGAGAGTGGGAAAAGCAATCCCCAGAACCCCTGCAACCTTCCAGCGTTGCAAGTGGAAGATGAATAGACTCACTTCCTCAAACCAGCGGCGGTGATATGGGCTTGGAACAGTGTGCAAAGGGAGTAAGTCAATGGGACGGAAACTCGGAATTCAGTGATTCGATGATCTCAACTTCTGCTGAAGACACCAGGGTAGCGGAATGCTTGAGCTGAACGTGCGAGGTTTTCTTAGCTGCGTTCAGAAAGCAACAAGGAGTGCTCTTCTCTAATTTGAATTTTCATATATACTGACGACTCAAAGCGAAAAAGCGGGCTTGAACCGGGCATGTACCGGCGGAGTAGTGGAGCTTCTATAGGTGAAAAGTACAAGGTGTCCACTGATGTTTATAGATAGAGTCCAAAAGAGCAAAACACGGGAAATAGTCTTAGATACTCAAGCAAGTTGAGTGGAGAGGGTAACAGATGTCAAGTGCGTAGAGAAAGGAGTCGCTTTCAAAGAGTGAAACTTGTATTTATTCGGAAATCAGCGGGAGGGAGTTGCAATTCCGTCTGAGTCATTGATCAGGCCCCGATTGATCCCTGGTGGCAGCAGCAAGCTGTGCTTTCTCCTCCCTGAGCTCCTGCTGCGCTTTCAGAGCCTTCTTCACCTGCAACACGGCACGCTCAACCTCAACCGCCAGCGGGACATCAAGATACTCAGCAATGAGCTGGCCGCTGGATTCTGACAGCAGCATTCTCTCATCTTTTTCATCAGGGACCGGCTTGACACTGGATCCAGAGCGAATGCTGTCCATTTCCTTATCGAGCTCCTCGATGGACATGTCCATTGCGGCCTCCATATATGCCGTTTGTAGAAGCTCGGAAGGAGACAATTTGACCATCCTGTTATCGAGTAGGAACTGCAAATGCTTTGAACCACCCCGCGCTTCTTCAATTCAGCCACCACAACCAGACTCGTTGAATTGCTTGTACTGACCTCGCCAATGGGACCAAGCACGAAAGCAAAGGTAGAAGAATGGCAGGTTTGGCACTCTGTATCATTGATGTCGTTAAATATGTGCATCTATTTGAGATGGGCTTTGAAACGGAAGACCACTCACACTGGAAGCAACGCTACAGGCGCTGAAATTGGCATCCCAATTATACTACCCCAAAGCCACTTGGTGTGGAACCTCTGTCTATCCTTACTCCCAAGCCTTTGTAAAGCATCATGGACCTCCCGAGAGTCAATGAAAGCGCCTGGATATTCTACTCGGACTTCCTCCTTGGCCTCGACCTCATCCCGTTTCCGTCTCTCGCTCAACGGCGGTATGCTCTTCAGTCCCCATTCCGCATATGGTAGGCGCTGAAACAATTTGTTGCCGTAGGATGTGACCTTCTTCTGCCAGCCGGACTCTTTCTTCTCCCACTTGAGCCAGATGTTGGCGCCTTTGGTAGCCGCTTTATCCAAAAGCGTGGCCTTTTCGGATAGCTTGAGGTTCGGTCGTTGACAGTAGACGAGGCTTTGTCTTGTAGAGATTGGCAGAAGGAATAGGCGCATTGCAAGCTAGGACTAAAGCTCTCATGGACTGCGCTGCAATTGATGACTTTTGGCGTCTTTTAGAGACGCGCCTGGCAGGTTTTCGCTAAACCTTCCTATCCCATCCCACGTCACCTCAAAACATAAAACTCAAGTGTATCAATTGATTGCTTCTTGTCTGATATCTTTTTTTTCTTGTACTCTAGCTTTTTCAATGAATTGTTCTATCTCTTATGATGCACAGATAACATTCGGAGACTCCAGCCAATGGCTCTAAGTTCAAGAGTCTTTGCTCACGTTTGGAGCCTCCTCCCGTAAGCAAGCTGCTGGAATACGCAGCTTGTTCACCCTATCTTTGTGATATCAATGGTTTTTGGAGAAAGCTCCTTTCGATCGCGGGCAGTGAGCCTGCTCCGCCCTTCCACTCCTTCCAAAGCTCAATCGCTTGGCCAAGGCGCAAATCAGGAGAAGGGATCTGGCATCGCCTCGAACACGCCTACAGAGTCACCTCTGAACGAAAAGCCCAAAGCCGAAGAGGGACAAAACGGTCTGGAGAAATCGCAAACTCTTTCTTCGAATGGAAAGACGTTTTTTTCTTCTGGCGATAATGCGGTGGTTAACGACGAGGCCGCTCAGAGGATTGTCAGGACAATACCGAGTGAGTCTTCCAATGGGCTTTCTCTGCCCACGTCAAACAGTCTGTTCCGATGCGTCAATGCTACATTTACTAACCAATTTCCCAATGCAGGTTGGGTACATACCCTCGATGAGGAGGACGAAGATTTACTCGCGACAGCACCCTCGTTGCCTCACACTCCTGCCGGTGCTTTAATAGCCCAAGAGACTAGCACCACGATCGCTGCTCAGAATCAAAACCCAGGCCCAGCTCGAGGCCGTTTGTACGATCATGAGCGGAAGTCGACTCCTCCTCTTGCTAGGGATGCAGTACGAGAATCGGGGTCACGGTGGAGGGCATTCGCTAGCTCTTCTGCATACCCGACTATTTCTGCAGAAGGTGGAGAGATCGTTACGGAAGAATGGCTGCAGCAGAATGGTCCAGACTATTCAAGACCCTGGCTCGCTGGTGCTTCGGATGGGGATCCTGAAAAGGATCCGGCAGGCTTATACAGATTCAGGGCAAAGAGAAGAGCGTGGTACGTCAGAGCTCAGCGGACGGTTCTGCGAAATCCTATTGTACCAATGATCATCCGCATGAACGTATGGCTCTTCTCAGCAGTCGCTCTGGCTCTCGCATGTTCAATTCACCACATTACGGATAAGAACCCAACAGACATCTCTGCTACACCCTCTACGAATATGGCAATTGTCGTGGACGCGGTTGCCCTGGTTTACCTTCTCTACATCACATATGATGAATACTCTGGAAAACCTCTCGGCTTACGGCCCGCGAAAGCCAAGATGCGGCTCATCTTCCTGGATCTTTTCTTCATTGTGTTTGATTCTGCAAATTTGAGCCTGGCTTTCGAGGCTATTAAAGGGAACTGCGAGTCTCAAGTCTGCTCTCGGCAGAAGGCCTTGGCTTCGGTCCTGTTGATTGCATTAATTGCGTGGCTTCTAACCTTTTCCATAAGTGTCATGAGGTAAGCGCTATTAAATATGTCCACCCGCTAACAGGTTCGCTGACGATGACTTAGGCTTGTAGAGCGGGTTACTACGAGATGAGAGACGTCCTGGAAGAATTCGTGGCTTTTCTGAGTGCTTTCTCGTACATCGCTTTGGAGTGTTGTTTTATGCATAGCGGATATCGCATCGTCCATGGTGTTTACGAAAGTCTCTGGAGAGTACAGGAAGCGTGACGAGTTTGGATACCTTCATGATACTTTTTGAGTGTTCTCAGGTTGCTTATGACGTAGTTCATGGCTCTAGAGAACGTCCGCGTCGAAAGCGCGTTCTGACCTCTTGCACCCTCTCTGGTTCGACACCTTCATGCGTTTGTCATTTGCAGTTCTAAAACCCATGTCAACAATGGCTACATCTAAAGCGCCTCTCACCTCTCTGAGAGACCTTCGCGTGTCCTCCCACCAGATACCCGCCTTCGACCTCATACCTAATACTTCCATTCAGAAGAAGCCTCTCCTCATCTACCACTCTGCTTTCCATTCCAGTGCTTCTGCCTCTGCAATCGAAAGTCATCTCTCAGCCGTTGGGGTCGTGAGCCCCGGTACGTATATTTCGGAGCCGAGCCTTCCCATTTGGTATTGAAATTGAGTTGCAAGAGATGTTTTGGGTGCAAGATGACCTTTCTACTCTCCAGATCTCCATTTTCTACCTCGAATAAGCAATGCTGACTCCGAAACCTGTGTAGAGTGGCGGTACACCATGTACAGTCAATCTCATTTCCACTCCACCACTCATGAGGTGCTTTGCGTTGCATCGGGCAAGGCTAGATTGTGCTTTGGAGGAGAAGAAAATCCTAAGAGGGTGGAACCAGTGCTAGAGAAGGGAGATGTCATGGTTGTGCCGGCAGGCCTGTCACATCGTTTGCTAGAGGATATCAACGGAGGCTTCAATATGGTTGGGAGCTACCCGATGGGCAAGAGCTGGGACATGTGCTATGGAAGGGAAGGGGAAGAAGAGAAAGTGAAGGGGATAGGGAGCTTAGGATGGTTCGAGAGGGATCCTATATACGGTGATGAAGGACCTTCTCTTCACGTGTGAGGGGTCAGGTCATGTTTCGCTGGCGATCAGCGATTCTGCTGGTGACTGTTGTTGTTAGTGAATAAGGATATGGGAAGAAGCATTGGATTCGGTCATTATGGTCCTAGCAAACCTATGAGGAAGATGCGGGTGGATGTACTCTGAAGAGCCAGAAACGGTAGTCAAGAATCGTGGATGCTTAAGCTGTCAACATTTTCCTTTCCTTTGTAGCTTGATCATAAGTAACAAAGAGCAAAGCGTAACAGTGTTATTGGAGGTAGGTCTGAAACCCGAACAACAGTTTCAGTCAACTTGTCAACTTTGACAGCGCCAAGCACCTGTAAATTGCCGCCTGAGACTGCGCTTGCCTCTCTCGCGTCATAAGGCCGAAGACTTTGGCCTCTTAGCACAGTATGACTGCACTTCTCACATCACAAGCTGATTTTATTCAGTTACGGCTGAAGCTATACATAGAAGCCTGGCCGGTATGAGAAAGTGTTGTGAGCCCTCTGGATCTTTAACAAAGAGCCCTCCAGCACGTCTTCTGTTCGCGTGTTCGCAACAATCACATCACTCACCACCAACCTGAACACATTCGGTTGCCACATCACTCTGGTGACTCCTGTTGGCCACTTATTTCAAGCAGCACAGGTTCTTTCAAGTTCAAATATTCACGCCCCTCCGGATATACACCTACCTTGACACATTCGACTTCGACATCACTCTTGTTGCCCAACTATTTTGACCACCACACGTCCCTCCGAGTTTAACCATCCACCCTCGCTCCTCCTGCTACACCTTGCGTCCGCATCACCTTCCTTCTTCTATCACACCTCTTACGCAGCATCCCCTGCCTCGAACAACCTTCGTAGGTTCTGCCAAGATGCCGATCACCATGCCTCCAGCTCCCAATAAGGACGACCTAGCGGCAACATGGAACTTCTTGCAGGTCGGAGTGGAGAAGATCATGACGAATCTGAAAGATGGTGTGGACATGGCAACAGTAAGTGGCTACCAACGTTTTACTGAAAGGCTTCGCTAATCTAAGGCTGTAGTACATGGGCATCTACACGTAGGTCGTATCAGAGCTGTCTGCGTTCGCTCCTTGCTTACCAGGATCTAGGGCTGTTCACAATTTTTGTACATCACAGAAAGCAGTAGCGTCAGGGGGAGGGATCATCGGGGGTAACGCCCACCGTGGAGGTGAGTAATCTTTCGGTCTGCTGGTGGTTGATCGCAACATTCATTGACCTATCATTACAGCTCACCTACTTGGAGAGGACCTCTACAAGAATCTCAAGGACTATTTGAAAGGTCATCTTGAGGACCTGCACGAGCAGTCTAAAGGTCACATCGACGAAGCGTTACTGACTTACTACATTCGGGAATGGGACCGATACACAACGGCCGCAAAATACACGAACCATCTCTTCCGCTATCTGAATCGACATTGGGTTAAGAGAGAGATCGATGAGGGGAAGAAGGATGTTTTCGACGTGTACACATTGCACCTCGTGCAATGGCGGGAGGTCCTATTCGAAAAGGTTAATAAGAACGTCATGGCTGCGGTGTTGAAGATGGTAGAGAAGCAGCGAAATGGCGAGACCATTGAGCAGAGCCAGATTAAGAGCATTGTGGATTCGTTTGTCTCTCTGGGCTTGGATGAAACGGATAGCACGAAGTCGACCCTTGATGTCTACCGATTCCACTTCGAGAAACCCTTCATAGATGCTACAACAAAGTACTACGAGAATGAGTCGAACCAATTCGTCGCTGAGAATTCGGTCATTGATTACATGAAGAAGGCCGAAACTCGCTTGGAAGAGGAGAAGAATCGAGTTGGATTGTACCTTCATCAGGACATCATGAACCCGCTCATGAAAGCTTGTCTGGGCGTCCTGGTCACTGGTCATTCGCCTCTGCTGAGAGACGAGTTTCAAGTGCTTCTCGACACTGATAGGCAAGACGACCTGGCGAGGATGTATCGATTACTGGCACGCATCATCGATGGCTTAGAACCGCTACGGACAAAATTTGAAGCTCATGTGAGGAAGTCAGGCCTTGCTGCAGTCGAGAAAGTTGCTACGGAAGGGGACAACATGGAGCCAAAGACCTACGTCGATGCACTATTGGAGGTGCATACACAATACCAGAAGCTTGTTGATGATGCATTTACTGGCGAATCTGAGTTTGTTCGATCGCTCGATAACGCATGCAAAGAGTTTGTGAACCGTAATAAGGTCTGCAAAACCGGGTCATCGCGTTCGCCAGAGCTGTTGGCCAAGTACACGGATGCGTTGTTGAAGAAGAGCGCCAAGAGTGCCGAAGAAGCTGATCTTGAGGCATCTCTCATCCAGATCATGACCGTCTTCAAGTACATCGAGGACAAAGATGTATTTCAGAAATTCTACTCCCGAATGCTAGCGAAGCGATTGGTTCATTCAAGCTCCGCATCAGAAGATGCGGAGACGAGCATGATCGGCAAGCTGAAAGAAGCCTGTGGTTACGAGTACACCAACAAGCTCCAACGCATGTTCCAGGATATCCAGATCTCAACCGACCTCAATAGCAATTTCAAGGAGTATCAATCGAGATTACTGGACGACGATGGATTGAAGAAAGCTGTCGACCCGTCTTATCAGGTTCTTGGCACAGGGTTTTGGCCCCTTTCACCTCCCCAGACCAATTTCATTCCTCCACAAGAGATCGTTGACACCTACACTCGATTTCAGAATTTCTACTTTGACAAGCATAGCGGGCGAAAGCTCACCTGGCTATGGCAACTCTGCAAGGGTGAGATGAAGGCCAACTACGTCAAGAACACTAAGATTCCGTTCACTTTCTGCGTGTCTACATACCAAATGGCCATCTTACTGCTTTTCAACGACTCCGATACGGTAACGTATGAAGACGCCCAGAAAGGTACGGCGTTGTCAGCAGAGTGGCTGGATCCTTCCCTCAGTGTTTTCGTTAAGGCAAAAGTCTTGATTCCTTCTCCTGAGAATGCAAAGGCGGAGCCCGGCACGTCATACACCTTGAATTACAACTTTAAGCACAAGAAAGTCAAGGTCAACCTCAATATCGTCGTCAAATCGGACGCGAAGCAGGAAGTTGAGGAGACACACAAGACTATTGAGGAGGACAGGAAATTACTTATGCAGGTATGTACTACCACCCTGTCCTCCATCTTGCTCTCTGTCTCTAACGATAAGCTAGTCTGCGATTGTGCGTATCATGAAGTCCCGTAAGCACATGAAGCATGTCGTGCTCGTCCAAGAGACCATATCCCAAATCAAATCCCGCTTCACGCCCAAGGTCCAAGACATCAAAAAGTCGATCGATCAGCTCATTGAAAAGGAGTACTTGGAGCGGTTGGAAAACGAAGAACTCGGCTACCTAGCTTGATCGTGGTAAGAGGTGACGAAAGTGAGTATCCGGCGCTTGGTCGTTCCAATGCATGGCGGTAAGATTGATGCATAATTGGCTGCGGCGAAAAAGAGAAAAGATGTGGGGATGTGCATCATCGAAGACTTGTTACATGCGAGAAAGGGATACCAGGCGCAGTACAGGAGGGCTACCTCGGTCAGAAATGCATGGCTATTGCACCGGGTACATCTACCACTTGGTATTAGCAGCTGGTGTTGTCCCGATCTCACGATATCATGCCGCATCGGATAGATAGATACCTCTTCAGAATTGCTTTCTTTTCACCATTTCTACTATCCAGACCATGTAAAACCCACTCGACAGAGTTCCGTTGCCAGACAAGCATGCTAAGTTTGCACCGTCTATCCTACGGGAGCTGTCTTCGGATCAAATCCTCTCTATTTCAATACTCCCCTCTATCGTCTATTCAAACTTGCAGTGCACTTGCTTGCACTTTTGGATCCCAAATCGTCACGCTCAATCCTATTAATCACTACGAAGAAATGGTATTCATAACGCATCAGGCATCCAGCCTCCCAATCCCATCACCACCCTTCTCCTCCCGAATCCTCTTCCCTCCAATCCCGCTGTTCCATTTGGCCAGCTTCGTCGGACTCGTTACTCCAGCAGCTACATTCTCACTACTCGCATTCGGACTCCCCTTCGCCCACCCTTTCCTCCTTTCACTCGCCCACGCACCCCAGGAGGAGATGTACGCGCCTGCTTTCTGCCCTGCCGCCTGCACGGAGGCTTGCGCGGCTGTGAGATCGGGAGCGCGAGCTGCGAAGCGCTGTGCTGAAGGAGCATTCTCCGAGGATGGCTCGCCAGTGTTGGAGCTGGCTCTGATGCTTCCGAAGCTAGCGATTTCGGCACGTTTGCGCTGGGCTTCTCGCATTGCTTCGATGTCCGCCCAGAGGTTTGAGAAGGCCGTGGAGACCTTTTTGTGGCCGGTTGCTAAGTGCTTGTTCAGTGCTTCCTTGCTCGTTGCTAATCTGTCATCGAGATGCAATGTCTGGATTTGCAGCGCGAGACGGCGTTGTATGTCCTCGAAGCTGAGATTTCCTGCTGTGGGATGGCGAGGCTCGACGATGTCGAAGAGGTCGGAGTCGGTGTGAGAGTCAAAGAGTGCAAAGTTGGAGGTCTGGCACCAGTTGTGGATGAAGTCTGGGTTGAAGTCGATCGTTGGGTCACCTTCGATTGTGGGAAGGGGCGGTGAATGCGAGAGATAGAGGTGGTACTTTACGGAAGAGAGAAAGGCCAGGAGATACTCTTCGAACTGGAGGCGGATGAATTCTTCGGAGCCCATGTAGCCCATTGTTTTGGGTCGGGAGGGGTTGTTTTCGTCCCAGGTCTCGTGGACGGTGGTGCTCAGAAAGTCTATCCAACGCCTATCTGCCGCAGATAGAACTAGGGCAGTCCTGAGGGAGGATGAAGTGATATTGATGGTCGTTTCGTCAAGCTTTGCATGCACTTAGCTTGAGGTAGCTAATATGCTAGAGTGGGTGCTCCTTACATTGACGAGTATGTCACTGTAGCGATCTTTCTGCTGCAAGAGAAGAGAGTTGGTGGATCCTACGATGTATGACTTCGTGCCGTAGTCGGCCAAGACGTCCAGCTGCTGCAATGGTGTATATGGTCCGAAGAGAGCACCTTCGCGAGGTCAGGAAAACCTCACATTCGCAAGGGAAACGGGACTTACCTTTGCCGAAGCTATTGATAGCGGCAAACGGTAATTAGCTTCAAGTCTCAAGAATCGGTTGCGCAGAAACATGGAGCATTACCTACAGCTGCAGCGGGAGGCCCATATAAGACAGCACTACCATTCTGTAAGTCCGGATTGCTTGATCTTTCAGAGTAAAGACCTACAAGAATTCCGGTCACTTGTTTTCAAAGACGTTGGCATGACCAAGTTCTTTTCGTAGCTGTCGAAATCTGGATCCGCAGCGTCTTGCAATCTCCGCAAAAGACCGGGTATCAAAGAAACCAAAGCAAATTGCAACATGCATAGTCGCTCACAGCGGGAACCGAAGAAAAGCATCTACCGATTTCAGTAGACATTCGAACATCTCTCTTCATGGCCTGGTCACCTTCGGTTGCAGCAAGCAGCATTTGAAGAGCACCAGTGTTTGGTGCTTGTATTCGTGTATGAGTTCCCTCAATGATAGACCTAGGTCTGTAAGCTAGAAGCCCCAATCATTGGGACGGCGCCTTGCCCACCAAGATATTGATCATCCTCCGTATCCTGCAAATTCTTCGCCAGGCTCTCTTGAAATCTCTGGCCTACCTTCAGCCCGAGTCCCACCAGAATGATGTATTCCACTCACCGACCTTCAGGATGTCCACATCTGTAAAGTCCCTAGGCCCCCCATCAGCCATATGCCATCTTGCTCAGAGTTTTTATTGCTTGTGCTTACTTCTGTGCGAACCACGCACCCGTGACCATAGAAAGCCTCTCTCTCAACTGCCCAAAGAGTTGTGGACTATCCGCAACAACCACAATCGCCTTTTGCACTGTACTCCTCGTGACATCGGGCGGTTTGTTCAGAAGTTCATTGGCGTCCATTTGCCGGGTGCACGATATGCCAAAAACGGAGGTGGGAGGGCTGGTACCCGTAGCTCTTCGACGGAGGGTGAAGTAGGAGAAATCTTGGGTGGATCTAGTTCATGCTCAGCATTTGTTCGGGAGCCATTTGGGTGGGCGCCGTACGCGTGGGCGCCGTCCGAGAGGGCCATGAAGGGGAGGAATGACCAGTCATTCTCCGCTGCGGGGTCTGCGCCATCTCCAACGCCGAACCAGCTCTCGATCTCAGGTCCTCTAGCAGCTGTCAGTCTTTGGTGTGACTCTCTCCACGGCTAGGGCTTGCCTCGCGTGGTGGAACCCTACGATGCAAACGATGGGCGCAAAGCTGGTGATGGGCGCCATTGTATAGCATTGGGAGTCTACACGTTGCCCGGAGGCAGACTCGTCGCCACTGCTTCTCTAGAATAGTTGCTGTTATGACCGGCGAGAGTTGTGGTCAAGTTAGGTGTTCGAGCGCCAAGGCTCAGCCTTAGCATGTACATTGTTGTAGGTAGTACCTAGGTAGTACGGAATCTACTATCTGGCTTGATTGGATCAATTCTGTCATGTGATTTGCTTCCTCATCATTCGCTGGAGAATGGTATATAAGTTTAGAACCCTGGTATGCAGGAAGGGAGAAGGATCCACAGTGTGTTCTTTGCTTGGTTCAGGGTCACGACCACAGTCATCAGTCTAACATCAGATAGCCGAGTGCACGTAGAGCCCAAACTCCTCAATCCAGGGCAACAGCAAAGGAGACATGGTGACCGTGCTAGAATCACACATCGCTACTGGTATCCATTTTGGTCCTCCTGCCCGTCAGGCTGCTCGATTTGATGAAAATCAAGGATTTCTTGGTACCTGTCGAACCAACATTAGCTCCACCCTTCCAGTACCGGACACGGGGGTCTTGCGAACATCATAACCTTCCATTGGTCAACTGGCAGATCAGCATCATTGAATGACCAATCGAATTTCTCTTCCGCTACCGGCTCATCGCTTGGATCATGGTAGGGAGCGAGGTACTCATGTGCTAGAGCGTCCCCAGCCCGTACTCGTAGTCGAGGATCGAAAACGAGCATCTTCTCGAGTAGATCGATGGCTATCCCTGGTCAGCAAATGTAGTTTCGATAGATCGGATACCATACCCAGTGGGTCTGCGTTCTTAAACTTGTTCGACAAGGGTTGTCGTTCCCGCTTTGGTAGTGACTGCACAAAGCGGAGGGTCTGCGTCCAACTGTCAGCAATGTAGGGCGCTTTCCGTAAAGAGCTGTTCATACATTTTCGCTACCAATGGTCTGAATGACATCGTCTGGTGGTGTACCCAAAAGCTCCGTAATAATGGAGAACTGATTGACGTGATCTTTGCCAGGGAACAGGGGCTTTCCTTCAAGCATCTCCGCGAATATGCATCCTGCGCTCCATATATCCACCTCCACGTCGTATTTTTGCCATGTGAGCATGATCTCTGGGGCACGATAGTATCTTGTCGACACATAGCCCGTCATTTGCGGGTCTTGAATACGGGCGAGACCAAAGTCACAGATCTTCAAGTCACAATTCTCGTTCACAAGGATGTTGCTGGGCTTCAGATCGCGGTGGACAACTCCTGCAGAGTGCACGTATTTCAATCCTCGCTAAATGCTGTCAGCCTCTTGAGCAATAGGCCCTGCCAACCCTCGAGCGGACGTACCAAGATCTGGTACAAGAAGTATTGGATGAATTGTTTCTCGAGAGGTCTTGAGGTCAACAGGCGATGTAGGTCGGTCCCTAGGAGCTCGGTGACAAAGTAGCTATTAATATGATAAGCTTCATAGGATAAAGATGCTGCTTTTCCACAAAGCGACTCACATGTCCTCGAGCGGTGATATGAAGATATCGCTTAAGCTGATGACCTGGAAAGAGTCAATCTTGGACAGCCATTGTAAATCTACCCTTCTCTCACGTTTTCATGACGCAGGTGCTTTAAGAGCTTCAATTCTCGGTATGTGCGCTTAGACAGGACAGGAGTGCTGAAAGGTTTCATTATTTTCTTGACAGCCACAGCCTGACTAGTGAGTTGATCCTTTGCGGAGCTATGCGAGACCAGGCATTAGAGATAGAAGCGTCGCACTTGACCAGAATGCAGAATACCAGACAAGCCCAAATGCTCCCATTCCCACCGGTTGTAGGTCCGTGTACCTGTTCCGGCGTCAACATTACACGATCCCGGCGAATTGTGCGGAAGCGGGGCTGCGATACCTGCTGGTAATCTCGAAGGTCGTGCCGAAGATTTGGGCACGTACAAACTCCGCCATGATGATTTGATGGGGGCGAAGTCGCTCGAGAGGAAGAGGTCAAGGGTAGAGGAGGGAGGATGTGGTGCACAGGCAAAACAACAACTTGATTGTTGTAGCCGCGGTCGATCGCCCGGTCTGCCTACTTTAGCGTACCGAGCTTAGGGCGTGATCGAAAAGACCGGAATTACTTGTACCGTACCGTACCCTCGTACCTTACTTTACTCTTCTAGTCTCTAGTCTCTACGCTCCTTTCTCCTGTTGATCTCCCGATGTCATTCGAAAATAAATTACATTCACAATAAACAGATGAACAGATGCTAAAATTACAGTAATAATCTCCATGATCATGCAGTGCTGATATAAGGTAGGCACACATGAAACTTATGCTGTTTCAAAACATCCATCATTGGGAGCGACATGCAGTCTTGCATCGGAAGTCACCACGTCATACCGCTCTTAGCGCAATGAACAGAGATCTATTCACTTTCACATTTGTCGATATACATCTACAGTTGCCACCCTACTACTTAGCACTAAATGCAGAGCTAATCACACCACTGCCACTCCACTGCTTCTTCTTGAAGGCCTTGCATGTTCAGATTTGCCATTCACGACACTCTGTCAAAATTGAACCTTGTGCTGGACATCGGTGTCATAAAGTGGCTACTAGCACTTCATATTTGGTGCTCAATATGTAGACCATTCCTCGATTCCTTCGTCTGTTCACAGTCTTTTGGCCTACCTCTATGGTCACAAGCTCATCGATTCGTTGTTACTCTTTCTACCGAAGCTATGCTTTTTGCACCTCGATGACGGTTTTCCCTCTGGCCCTCGGGCTTCCTTGCCTCTCGTATACCTTCATAATATCTTCCATTGTAAACAGCGAGTCTACTATCCCTTTGAATGGTCTTTTCCCTAATAAAGTCCCTCAGTCTCTCCAACATCTCCGCCTTGGGCACCGTCTCTCAAGTTGGGCAGGGTAGGCCTGTAAGTTTTCAAACAGCAATCAAATACCTTTCGTGGCTATCAATCACAGGTGAGGTGCCAGAAAAATTCGCAGTCGAGATGACATAAGTTCCTAAGTGGTTGACCAGAGCAGTATCAGCCATAAGGTTTTCTGTTATTTAATGCTCTTCCCAAAAATTGCAATCATGAATAGCATATGCTTCCGGGTTGATGCCACAGATCGAGGCCAAGAAAAGAATCGGAGCGCAAAAGAAAGCGGAGCGAAGAAGTCCCAAGGCCAAGGGCATGGAACAGCACAGCGGTAAAGTTTCATTCTAATTACGATCCATGTAAATTCCATATTACCCTCCGGAATGTGCAGTATCCCCCGTGGACAGTCAATGTCTGTCTAGACGAGAAGCGAGAAGCAGCTAGAATCACCAGCAAGCGGACGGCATCGATGTTGAATCGGAAGGCAATATCGTGTGGAGAGACTAGGCGAACTGTAGTCAACGTCAAACTGCAGCGGTTCCTGATGCAGTAGGCGTTCATGCGTGTTGCTGTCAGAGAAATGCACGTCGCAACCACAAATCACAATATGGAAAGAACAGTGCCGTCGATTGCACAGCTTATACCCGCCACTCAGAGGAGATGTAGAAAGTAGAAAAATGCCCATTGACTCGCCGTGGCTTTCCATGTTGTTCGACTTCTTTATTTATCAGACTCTTTCAAGCCAGAAGATCGGCCTTGATCGGATGATCGCATATCTGATATAGGATAGATAACGTTCAAATATAGGCTGTTGTGCAGCTGCAGCTTGCCTTGTAATCTCTCTCTCTCCCTCTCTTCTTCCCCCCGCCCATGCTGTAGCCCGTGCGCTGGACAATCGCCACGAGGTGCCCGCAGAGTCGAACGCTAAGCAAGATTCGGTCGAGGCGCCAAGACCTGACTCCACAATCCTACCTACTTACCTTATTCATCACCCTTCATCCCTACGGCGGCTGATATTGTTCATGAGTGTACCTCCGTACATTCGTCGCAATTGATGATACTCAAGCTCCCCAACGTTTCATTGATGACAGGACCTCAAGAGCTCACGCACCCTCAACCTGATCTCCGCGTCAGCCACCAACCAGCTTCCGGGTATTGTCGATCTACGCCATCAAATAGAGCTTGCCTTTGCTTTAACTTCCAACTTCATCCTCTTGGTTTGCTACCACTCTGCCGCCACGCCTTTTCTCCGAATGCTGCAGCGCATTCACGATAGGGCGAGCCAGACACCCGTCAAAGCTGCATGCTCATATTGATTTCCCACTACCCACTAGCTACTACGGCCCAACGACCGAGCTGCTCTCAGCTGGAGCGAGGCTGGAGCAAGGCCAGCACATTCAATTCTCTCGTCGTCTTCCCTGAAGCAAATTCCGAAGTCGGCCTACCAATATCGATTGACCCAAGCGTTGTCGTCTTCTACGTGATCGCCCTTGGTAGGCGTTGGAGGGTCTGCACCGTGTCCGGTTTCTACGAAGCTAGCATCTGGAGTCAGATACACTGATTCGACTGCTTAACGCAATTGAATACTGCGCAATCAATTGCGGTCTATTGATTGGTTTCCGCAACATTCTCCTTCAATCCACCGCAGGAACGGTACCCCTCATTCAACCAATCACGGCCATCAATCCGGATATACTCGCTTTGACTAGACTTGGGGAAGCACTTGCTGCACCATGGGTGCATGTCAGAGCATGCAAAATGGCGATGAAGAGGAAAAGAGAAAGCGAAGCCGGGCAATAGACGCCAAGCTAGAGGAGGACTCAAGACGATTACGGAAAGAATGCAAGATATTACTGCTTGGTACGCTTGGTTCATTTCGTCCTCCTGACAGATTGGCTTACGATTGCCCACAGGTTCCGGAGAAAGCGGTAAATCCACAATAGTAAAGCAAATGAAGATTATCCACCAGAATGGTTACACCAAAGATGAACTCGCCCTCTATCGTCTTACAATCTACAAAAACGTGCTTGACTGCGCCAAAGCTCTTATAGGAGCTATGCGGCAATTCGAGATCGAACCTAGGGATCCCCAAAACAATGACAATGCCGATTACCTACTTGAATACGTGGTGGACCCAGATCCCCATACTCCGCTCGACCCACACGTGGGTGAGTGCGTTGTGAGTATATGGAAGGACCCAAGTATCGCGGATATCATGGAGCACCAGAGCGAATTCTATTTGATGGACTCAGCGCCTTAGTACGTTCTCTATTGAACATCTTATTGGGATGATGTACCTAGAGCTCACGCACTCGCAGTTTCTTTGATGAAGTCATCCGAATTGCCGAACCTAACTACATCCCCATCGAGGCTGATGTCCTACGAGCCCGAACGAAGACAACGGGTATATACGAGACGCGCTTCACAATGGGACAGTTGAGTATACAGTACGCATGAACACCTCTCTCTTCCCCCCTTTTTCGGCTTTTCGGAACGAGCATCTTTGGCTAATGCATTGGGAATACAGCATGTTTGACGTTGGCGGCCAACGCTCGGAACGTAAAAAGTGGATCCACTGCTTCGAAAATGTTACCTCCATCATCTTTTGCGTCGCGCTTTCCGAGTACGACCAAGTGCTCCTTGAAGAATCAAATCAAAACCGCATGATGGAATCCCTGGTGCTTTTCGACAGCGTAGTTAACAGCCGCTGGTTCATGCGCACATCCATAATCCTGTTCTTGAACAAGGTCGATTTGTTCAAGGGGAAGCTGGAAAGAAGCCCATTGGGGAGTTATTTTCCCGATTACAGCGGTGGCAACGACGTCAATCGGGCCGCGAAGTATCTGCTGTGGCGATTTAATCAGGTCAATAGGGCGCATTTGAACTTATATCCGCAGTGAGTGACGACCCGTTTTTTCCTGCTGGGCGGATGCTTGCAGGTGGGGATACATGCATGGAGTCCACTTTCGCCTTTTGCTTGCTAAGTCGGAGGCTATGAACGCAAAGCAACGGATCCTACTTGATCGGAGTTGGATTGAGATTGCTGACATTCTCCCCTCTATAGTCTTACACAAGCCACTGACACCTCAAATATCCGCCTGGTCTTCGCCGCTGTCAAAGATACAATCCTCCACAATGCATTGGCAGATTCAGGCATACTGTGAGCCATCATCCTCCCAACACGCCTAGCGACACCATCCCACAAGCACCATGCCGGTGCAAGAAAGACTATACCTATTTGCTTTCCATTTGTATATACCAGCCCACTTATGCCTGCCTCGTTAGGCTTTATTGATATTTATTCCTAAAAACGATCTATCTCGAGCTTTTGGAACCAGGGCTAGTGGGATTGGATGACATGCCTATGTCAGCCAACCTGAGTCGCCAACTTGCCGGCATCAAGCCTTTTCTATGCAGGAGTGTCCTCTATGGCAGGCTTTGGGTGCAATACGGACATCCTGTTCCTCTCCAATGGCAGCTTGGGGAGTGGGGGAGTGGGGGAGTGGGCCAAAGTATGCGGTCCGAGTAAATGCTCTTAGCACCAGCAATAGACGACTTTGATGGAGCTTCAAAGGACTGGAACACCCTTCTGGATCACTCATCCACACGACGTCTGGGCAAAAGTTGGATTTGAATTGTTTGCGCTTCATTTCGCTTGTGAGAATGCGATGGAAACGCTTTGATTATCTGCTCTTTTATGCGGGCCTTGCGATCAGATTAGCGCCGGCGATAATCAGATTTGTCGCGCTAGGGAAAGAGCCACTGAGCCTGGAGCATGGCGTTTGGTCCTTCTGTGGGTGGGTGCTAGCATTGGGTTGGTGTCTGGGTTGATGCACGCATTGGATAATAAGGATCAGTCCTGCGGAGCAGCTATTATGCCACTTTGAATATGACGCACGGCGAGCACTGGCTATATCTTAAATTCTTGTAGATAGCATTTTATCTTGAAACGAGCCGTGTGCAATCGATTGTCTTCTCAGGTGGTCGGGCTGACATCTGACCTTGGGATTTACAGCCACCGCAAGGTAATTTGAGTTGACTGATCTTGACTGTGGTTCAGGTTCAACACCACGTTTTCGCCATCGGCCTCTCTGGCGAACTCCTTAACTTCACCGGGTTTGAGTGCATCTACGTCGATAGAATTCGCAGGCGTCGGAGATTGGCGGTCTAAGATTCGCGCAATGGCTACACTTCCCTGAACAGCACCTTCAGTCTCGAAGGTCAAGGACATATTACCAATTCTCGACCGAATCGGGGATACCGCGGTGAAGTTCCTTTGAACTGGGAGCTCCGAAGACGCGATGCTGCTCGCGGAGAGGGACAGGTTCTCTCTTTGTTGAGTAGGCATGGCAGCGTGGCAACTACTCACTAGGTGGGGCTTCCGGACCGACGACAAATGACTAGAGGCCGGTAGCCTTGGAGACGGAGCATTTGAGTAAAGCGAACCGAGAGCGTTGTGAGTACTGGAATTGTTCGCTTCATATCCTGGACACGGAGATGGATCAATAGGTCTGGCTCGAGGCGTCATAGTGCTTGAGGTGACGGCGCTAGCAATGGGGGAGCTTAGTCTAGATATCAGGGTCCCTACACTTGAGGGCAGAGGAGAGGTCGGAAACCCGCTTCGCAAGACTTGCCAACTTTCCAGCGGATAGGCCCGTCTCCATTGATTCCTTCTCTTGGTAGCGAGGGAGTTTTGAAGTTGATCGTTCATCATTGCCAGGGCATGGCGATATTCCAGGAGCTGGCTTTGGCTGAATTCTTTTAAATCTGGTACATTCCACTGGTGGTACAACCTACCATGCGTTTTGCTGATGAAGAAATGCTTCTGATGGAAGATGAAGAGGTCACAAAGGTAGCAAGCGGCTTTGCTTACACCCAAGACGCGAGGCTTTATCTTAACGATTTCGGGGTGTAGACCATAAAAGGTCACAAGCTGAATCTCGGCATGGACGTGGCACAGGATAGCTTTGTTCGGAAACACTACTGACGGCGTGAATGGTCGATACCGTGGAACTATCTCAAGTCGAATCGATTTGAACAAATTTGAATACCTTCTTGAAGTCGAAGCCATGTCTTCACATAGGCCCCAGTACCGCCCAATCTTATCAACCTGGCGAATGTGTTTGTTTTGGAGAGCTATCCCTGGGTCGAGCCCATAACTGGCGATCGTTTCTTCAATTCTCATTCCATCTGGAGTGCTACAGAACCCGTGACTTTGCTTCACCGCTGCTTTGATCGATTGGAGCTCCTCGTCCGTGTCCTTGATGCTGCTGTCAACACTCTGATATTTCAAGCACAGATCGTCAATATTGCGCTCCAAACTTGCAGCGCCAACAGCGCGAGCAATTGGGACTGCACGTTGCGCAAATGCTTGAAGACTTTGATGTAGCTGCTCGCGCCGAGCGGCTCCAAGGTATCCAGGCATGATCCAATTTTTGGACTGAAGCCGACCATTTATACGATCCCGATTCAATGCGACAACTTCATCGAATATCAAGTCTCGGCACACTGTGCGATGCAGCTCTGAGGACAAATGAGCAGACCGCCGATGAGCGCGTTTTGGAATGGTGCCACGCACGTCTTTTGCCACACTTCTCAAGTATACTGAATATTGCCTGCAATGCATTAACCACGCCTTCTTGTACGCCTCCGTTAGCGGCAAGCCAAGCAATCAAGCCTGGAGGCTCGACAATTTCTTCTAAGGCAACGGCAGAGACTGTCTCGGCATCTTTCTGATTAGCCACCAGGAAAGCAAAATCATTACTAAGTCGTTCCTCGACTTCGAACGGCAGAACACGGCCATCGTCATTGCTTGAAGGTCGTCGGCCATGCCAATCTTCGGGCACATGCAGCTTTGGATCCTCGGGGATGTTATTGCAGGCTTGCTGGAGGTCTATAATATGTTTGCGAAATTTATACTGATCGGTGTCTCTCCATATAGACCGCTCATCGGAAGCAGTGCTCACGGGCAATGGCGGCGAAGATGACATTCGGATGGCAATCTTGGACAGCAAAGATGGCCAGCAATGGGACATATAGATTGCGAATGGGCATCCTGGAGCAGCAAGTAGGACAACATTATCGACTTTTAGTACGGCAAGAGACGACCATGCATGAAGCCGCAATGGGAACCCGAGGTCTATGCAGGCATGCCACAGGGCTCAGCATGCGGGGAGCCTCACGAGTGAATCATGGCTATCAGGCTCTACGGGGCATGGAAAATGGCCTTTGACCAGACCAACAATGGCCGTCATTCTCTGTGATCCCAAAAGAAGTGATAGACAGTATGTGGAAAGATATATTGTTAGCTGGATGACTTTGAGCGCTCACCCTACTCAGCAGGAAGGCAGACTGTCAGTACAAATGGCGTATTCACTCACTTGTTGTGCATGTATGATATTCCAACTTCTTAAAGTATGGAAGGTATACCCTTCCAACTGTCGCTTTTGCTAGCATCTGGAGGCTGCTGCTGCTGCTGCCCCTTTGCCCGCCCCACGCTGGAGCCCCACGCTTATCGATTGCTTAGCGTTGGTGGGGCAATCCCTGCAGACAATCTTACCGTTCCTTTTTCACCTTTTTTGTTTTTGGCCGCAAACGATCAATTTTGGTTTAGGAACTAGACGGTAGACACCCTTGGTTCACTCAACAATTTCAATCCTTTCACTGCAAACCATTTTCATTGTCCTACCTACCTACCTACCTACCTCCAACTTCATCCACCACCTCCTCCATTTCCTTCTTCACAGCAACCATGGCTACCCAAACCCGCGAGAGAAGGCCGTCCACATCCGCCCCCATCTCCGACCTCCAGGGTCCCGTCGGGCCTGAGGGTATCTCTCGCCCCAAGCACAAACGTACTGCCACTGGCTTCGGTGCTGCAGAGATCAAAAGTGTCGAAGCGAGCATACCTGAACCTCAAAGAGAAGCGTAAGTCTCCAGCAGCAAAAACGAATCCCGCGCTTCCAGTGCTGACCCTCGTCTCTGCAGATGGAAAAAACATGTATGTCTGGCACCAATTGAACCTCTCAACCATTACTAAACACCATCAAAGTCTGCCCAAGGCTTTACTACAAAGGAAGAGTTTGAGGTGGGTTGCATTGGCTGCCAATTATCGGTTGGAGGGACAAAGGTTGACCTTCCACAGAATGAGACTGTCAGGCACGTTGAGACCACTCTTGCCCGTTCGCTGTTCAATTGCGATGAACTGTAAGTTCCATCAACATCCTACTCACGCTTTAATACATGCTTGCTGACGGTCTACACCAGAGCTGCCTACTCCGGCGCATCTCTCGCTTTCCGGGACAGACTCGTCATTGAATGGAACAGGACCCAGCAGCGGCAGACGTTTGCAGACCAGAAACGAGTCTACTGTAATGACTGCGCTTTAGAGCAACAAAATGCTCGACTGACACGTGTGCAGATCTTTCCTTGGAGTTCTTGATGGGTAGAGCTTTGGATAATGCTATGCTTAATGTTGGCTTGAAAGACGTAGCACGAGGTACAGATGTCTCCGCCAAGTCTTGTGAAGACAGAATTAATTTGTATGTAGCTGGTCTCAAAGACCTAGGCTTCCGAATCGAGGATGTCATATCCCAAGAACATGACGCTGCTCTTGGCAACGGCGGCCTCGGCCGCCTGGCTGCATGTTTCCTTGACAGCATGGCCACTCTGAACTACCCTGCCTGGGGATATGGTCTGCGTTACAGATATGGCATCTTTAAGCAAGAGATCGTCGACGGATATCAGGTAGAGGTGCCAGATTATTGGCTGGACTTCAACCCTTGGGAATTTCCGAGGCACGACATTACCGTGGACATCCAATTCTACGGTCATGTCTCTAGACACCAGTATGGTAGCCTGGCCAAATGCACAATAGTATACTGATGAGCATGCAGGGATGAAGACGGCAAGAATATTGCAGTCTGGGAGGGCGGCGAAATTGTCGATGCAGTTGCGTTCGACGTCCCAATTCCGGGATATTCAACTCCAACCACGAACAACCTCCGCTTGTGGTCTTCCAAAGCTTCCAAGGGCGAGTTTGACTTCCAAAAGTTCAACTCCGGCGACTACGAAGCCTCGGTAGGAGATCAGCAACGTGCAGAGACTATTTCTGCTGTACTGTACCCCAATGACAACTTGGAGCGTGGTAAGGAGCTACGTCTGAAGCAGCAATACTTCTGGTGCGCCGCTTCGCTCTACGACATCGTCCGTCGTTTTAAGAAGTCAAAGAAAGCGTGGTCGGCCTTTCCAGACATGGTGGCTATCCAACTAAACGACACTCATCCTACACTCGCTATCGTCGAGTTGCAGCGTATCTTGGTGGACTTAGAGGGTCTTGACTGGACCGAAGCCTGGGACGTCGTCCAAAAAACCTTCAGCTACGCTAACCACACTGTAATGCCTGAGGCTTTAGAGAAATGGTCTGTCCCTGTGATGCAGAACCTGCTCCCGAGACATCTGCAAATCATTTACGAGGTCAATTCGCAATTCCTTCACATGGTGGAGAAACAATTCCCCAAGGATCGCGATATGCTCAGGCGTGTTTCGATCATCGAAGAATCTCAGCCACAGATGGTGCAAATGGCTTATCTCGCGACCATTGGCAGCCACAAGGTCAATGGTGTAGCTGAGCTTCATTCGGACCTGATCAAGACCACAATCTTCAAAGACTTTGTCAAGATTTATGGACCCGACAAATTCACCAACGTGACCAATGGCATTACCCCCCGAAGATGGCTCCACCAAGCCAATCCCAGGCTCTCAGAATTGATCGCGTCAAAGCTTGGCGGCTACGAATTCCTTACCGACTTAACCAAGCTGAACGAACTCGAACACTTCCTTGACGATAAGGATTTCAAAAAGGAATGGCAGGAGATCAAATATGCCAACAAAGTCCGCTTGGCGCAGCACATCATGAATACAACCGGCGTTCGCGTCAACCCCAAAGCACTCTTCGATATCCAAGTCAAGCGCATACACGAGTACAAGCGGCAACAGCTGAACATCCTCGGTGTCATTCACCGTTACCTGACGATCAAGGCAATGAGCGCGGAAGAGCGTAAGAAACTTGCACCTCGTGTGTCGATCTTCGGAGGCAAGGCCGCTCCCGGCTACTGGATGGCTAAGACTGTCATCCACCTTGTCTGCAGCGTTGGCGAAGTTGTTAACAATGACAAGGACGTCGGTGACCTTTTGAAGGTCATCTACATTGAAGACTACAATGTTAGCAAGGCCGAAATTATCACCCCTGCCTCGGACATCAGCGAGCATATCTCCACTGCAGGTACGGAAGCCAGCGGGACCAGCAACATGAAGTTTGTCTTGAACGGCGGGTTGATCATCGGTACTTGTGACGGAGCCAACATTGAGATCACTCGCGAAGTCGGCGAGTCCAACATCTTTCTCTTCGGTAACCTCGCCGAAGACGTTGAAGACCTCCGCCACGCCCACACCTATGGCAACTTCAAACTCGACCCCGACCTCGCCAAAGTCTTTGATGCCATCAAGGGTGGCAGATTCGGCGATGCGAATCGCTTCAGCGCCCTGTGCAATTCCATCATCGACCAAGGCGACTACTATCTCGTTTCTGACGACTTCAACAGCTACATCAAGACGCATGCGCTTGTGGATGAGGCGTACAAGGACCAGGAAGCTTGGCTCGAAAAATGCATCACCAGCGTCAGTAGGATGGGTTTCTTCAGCAGTGACAGGTGTATCCAGGAGTATGCGGAAATGATCTGGAACGTCGAGCCACTCGTTCCGGAGCAGAGGAATGGGAAATGAGGTAGTGCGTGACCGAGGATGAGAAAGCTACTGCGGCACAACGATAAAAGCACGCAAACTTCTATAGAGAATAAATTTCCTATCTATTCACATTTATGCCACGGCTCTGTTCTTTCTCCAGGCGTGGTTTCAGACCTAGCTTTTCTCCCTTTTCCATCCTGTCATCCCCTACAAACAAATTTCATTCATTTCATACATTATGCTACGCGTATTTGAACTCTTACCAATGCCTAAGCTTACAATTGTAACCGTGCTTGTCCACCACACCAAAAAAGAAAACACGGTTCCAGACCCTCTGCGTCCGTCCAATCCGGCACCGTTGGCCCCGTATCTCTCCCCCATCGACCCTGGGGATCTATCTACCCGACAAGAGCATGCTTTCCGGGACCAGGGTGCGGCCCATCCAAATGCGCGTCCAGCACCGCACCTACACCGCCTTTCACCGCCTCGATCGCCTTCGGCAGCAATTCATCAAGCTCCTTGACAGTACTGGCCTGTCCGGCCCACAAGTTGCCGCCAGCGGCCGCCTTGGCTATGCCTGCATAGTCGGGTGACGGCGCGAATGAGATGTTGAGTTCTTCATTGGTGGCCTTTGAGCCTAGGCCGTCGGGGTGGACGAGGAGGAGCGAGCGTTTGGGGGCGTGCCAGCCTGCGAGACGTTAGTCAAGTATTTCCAGGCTTGATGGTTCGAGTCCCGGGACGGCGGTAAGGACTGACTGGAAGACTTACCTTGATTGTTGAGTACGATGGTTAGAACGGGCAGCTTGTACCGCTGACTGATCCAATACACACTCCCTGGCACACTGAAGAGGAATGTCCCGTCGCCGACGATATGGCATACAAATCTCTTACCACCCACAGCAAGCTTGATTCCAAGCGCGCCACCTCCCGACCAGCCTAGACCACCACCGCCACAGTTGATCCATGTGCCTGGGATACGGGGCTGGACTTGATCCGCAACGAAAACCGTGGATGTTACGGCTTCGATGGCGAAGACGGTGTCTTCGGGTACCGCCTTCCGGACGGCAGCTGTGAGGTAGGAGACGTTGTAATTGCCGTCGTCGCTTGGTTGAGCTAGCTCTTGGATGCTTCTCAAGCGTTTGGAGTGTATCTCCTTCAGCTTTTCCCATCGGTCCGAATAGCTCTCGGTTTTTTTCGACAGCGTCTCGTTGCTGCTAATGTACTCATTGAGTTGTTTAATGGCCGTGTAGGCATCCGTCTTGTACCTTGCCTCCGCTGGATAATAAAAGACTGGCATCTGTTGCTTCAGAGGATCTGCATCTAGGTGGAATATCCTGGTGGACTCCTTCGGCTTGCACAAAGTTGGTATGTATGGGACGTCGCAATCAACGATCAGGATGACATCTGCCGTCTTTACGCTATCATCGACTCCGTATTTCAATCCAACGCTGGCTCTATGATCCGAAGGGAAGCACATATCCGAGCCTCCCGTGTCTAGGACCCTCAAGCCTTTTATTGCTTCCGTCAACTTCACCAGCTCCCCTACGGCAGCGTGATTCCTCCCGGAGTATCCTGTTATGAGCAACGCTTCTTTCGCCTCGGCCAAAGTCTTAGCGATAGTCTCCACCGCGCCCTCCGGTAATGCCCCTGGTCCTACTGGACCCCAGTGCTCTGGCTTCACGCTGTATTCCGGGATCTCTTCCTCCATTGCCTCCCTCGACCCAAGAAGATAGACAGGTCCCATTGGCGCTGTCGTTGCGAACTGCAGTGCTCTTCCAACCATCTGCTTGACATTGACCCCTCTTTTGACCTCTCCGGTGTACCGGCAATACTGCCCCAGGATTTGCTTTTGATCTGGCACATCTTGGATCCAATGGATGTACTCCGTACGGCTCCCTCTCAGCTCTCCGTCACACGTGTAGGGAGAAAGCCCGGCAAAGATGAGCACGGGTGCTCGGCCGCAGGAAGCGTTGTGCACTGCAGCTCCCAGACCTTGGGTCCCAACGTCCACATGTACTATTACGCACTGGGGCTTGCCGGTGACACGGGCGTAGCCATCGGCCATGGAGAGGGCGACCATTTCGTTGGGGCATGTTATGATACGAGGGAACTGGCCCTTCTTTTCGATCTGGCCCTTGGTAATGGCTTCGATGATGGAGGGATGATCGGAGCCGAGATTGACGAAGCAGTGGGTCACGCCCAATTCCCAAAGTGCCTCGAAGAAGGCATCACTGGCGGTGTACCTGGACGTCGCATCAGTAAAGCGGAATTTTAATTCTTCGACGTACGCAGCCGACACACGGGGTAGAGCAGGAAGCTTTACATTTTGACTGACTCGTGTGCTCGTTCACGGAGGCCACGAGGTCAAAGCAAGGAGGTCTCTATAAAAACCCCCCAAGGGATACGAAGCATATGCCAGGAAAGTAGCTGACAGCTGGGATCATTTTGGTACATACTGTAGTTACTGAGATATTCGTGTAGTGGCCTGCAACTTCCCCGCCATGTCGACACTCGACTCCATGCAAGGGCGGCGGCTATCATCGGATGCGGCAATAACAACCGGAGATAATGCCGGATCGACCACGCTTGCGCTAAAGAGCCGGAACTTAAGGTAGGCCGTAGGACCAAACATTGATTTAGTGACCATTACAGAACTACATAGGCATGTCGTTCGAGAATCAAAAATGGCTCTGTCTAGACCACAGCTCGAAATGGTTGATCCCATAATCTAGGAACATTCTGCAACAGAATGGCGTAGCAATAGGGGACATAAGACATCATCTGAGCTCTAGTATCGAGTCAAGGCAATTGAATGAATTGCCATTGGCCGCATTCTATCTGTGGTATCTAGCTCGCAACCCGAACATATCAAGAGAAATCATTTGACGGTGAGATCCGAAAATGAGTGTGGGTATTACCATCTTGCAAGTAGCCAAACTTACGCCTCGGATATAACAAATTGGTATTCGTGGTATAATGTTGAAGGAGAGAAAGCTCAAAAGCGCCTTGCCAGAGATTTTCTTCAACCGCTTCAGGGGGTATTTGTTTGCGCAGATGGTATCGTATCATAGCCAGTCATGACGTAGGAACTGAGAAAAAGCAATGCAAGCCGAGAGAACAAGGCGGGTATTCGGATTATCTTTAACGAGGTGGCCCAATAGGGGCCGAGTATCCATTTGTAGAATGAGAGGTGCCTGGACGTCCGCTGTCGAAAGAGGCGTGTTTGTCGTGTCGGGGTGTCATATCACCGGGTACGGCGCTGAATGGGAGTTTCTGTTCGGATTTGTTCTCGAAGCGGAGAGGCCAGCCGTTGTGGCCTTCTTCTTCTGGAAGATTGACACCGCTATCATTCCAGGGGTTGCGGTAGCCACTGTCGCGTGATTCCATCGAGACGAGAGATGCGCGGGAGGCATTGGAAGAGGCGTGTTTGAAGAGAGAGCCGGGAGAGCTGGATTGATTCTTGCGGCGATCCAAAAAGGAGGAGATGGAGGAAATGCTGCCCGGCTTACGGATTTTCCCAAAGAGGGAACCGCGCTCACTAGCATCATCGGCGAAAGTAGAGCGGGTGGGAGAGTCGGTCCCGAGGGGTGCAGGAGCATTTTGCAGCAGCTTGGAGTCGAAGAAAGGCAGAGAGTCTTCGAAGGAGTCAGATTTCGGCCTGGGTATTGCGCCTTTGACAGTTGTTGCGTCCAAGCCGTAGGGTATGAGCCGAGAAACCAGAAAGTCAATGGCATCTTTCAGACCGCCGGCGTTATTGCGGGTGTATTCAAGCAGAAGTCGCGCTTCGCTGGCCTCGGTGTCGTCTACTGGCTTCGAATCGTTGCCAATACTCAGAATGACTTCGTACTGAGTCTTCAGTGTTTGTCGTACTTCGGTTTGAAACTCAGTAGACTTGAAGAATTCTCGAAGCCGAGGAGATGCAGGAACAATGATCTCATGGCTCTCAGGGACCATACCCTGGGCATCGTCAGCACCTGTCGATACGAAGATGTAGAGAAGGCACGAACCAGAAATTCATCAACGGCTTGAGGCACTTGATACTCGGGGCCAGATATGGTGACTACGTCACTCGCCATTTCGGTGCTGGGAAAATCGATTTTGCAATTCCACTTTTTCTCGAGCTCGTCGATCTTATGCATGCGAGCGATAAGTTCTCTATGGTACAAGCGATTGATCACGACGGTCTCGGAGACGAACTCCGCGTCCTTCACAGCACATCAGACATGTCAGTCCGGTGTTTGTGGCTCACATGCAGAGCCAGAAAATTCCTCTGCTGGATCTTCGGGTTCACCTACCACTTTCTCAACCATGTCCATGATCTCCTGCTTGACTAAATCCAAGCTCTGAGCATTGCGTGCAGGCGTGCGGCAAATAACATTGTCAATCTTGATATCGTCGTCCTCTTTGCCAATGCCACCCCGGTCCATGGCATTGGAGAATTTGACAAAGACGGAGTACTTCTTCATGATGCGTTGAATGTGCTGGCCACCTATTCCGATGATACGCTTGTGGTACTGATCAGGTACGTGGAAGGAGATCGAAGCAGGCATCTCTTGCTCAACGAGGTCGAGCCCGTTCTTGGTGGCGTCGTATTGTGCTCCACAGACGTCAATATAGAAGTTGTATTCGTTGAAGCCATCAAAGATGATCTGGACGTTGCCTATACCAGTACTTAGCGTCTACTTTGAGGCGACCAGAAGAGAACTGTCAAAATGTCATACTTTGTCCCATTATCTTGTTGATCTTGCCGTTCTTCTTGCCACTGACGAACTCCTTGTGCTCGTTGGCGAGTTCAATCTTGACGCGAATTTGGTACTGAGCCCGCTTGACAAATGGTATCTCATGAATGACCATCATGGCCGCCTTGACCGAGTCGTCCGATCCGTTGATGTTGAATGTGAGCTTCTCGAAGCAGACATCGGACCCAGAATTAGTACAGATATCCGAGAGCATTACCCGTATGTCAGCTGGCGATGGAGCCCTCATGGACTGTGCAGAGTCATGCAGCATCAGCCACCAGGATGCACTATAAAACTGGCCAGCCTGAGCAGGTTAGCACATAGCGCCCACAAGATTTCAAGAAGAAAAAGCCCCCTCCTTACCAATGCCATGATTTCACGCACAGTGCGCTCCACGTGCAGGATCTCCGTGCCTTGGACCCGAATCAAACCACGCTGACTACCGAGCTGCGGGAACAGTACATAAGATCCGTTCGTCTCCATGACCTTGCGGACTTTATCGAGTCGGTCGAGGATTATACTGTCAATTTTGTGCGCCGAGACCATCACATCCTTGACGTAGCATTTAGTGTTCAGAACCAGCTCGTGAAGTTTTTTCTTTGCATGGTTTATGCACTCTTGATTTTCGCCAGTAATGAACACTTCATCATCGCCTCTTCGGTACGCTCCCTGCGGCGTGTACCCATAGATGCGGGGGAACGGAGGTGGGAAATAGATAGCGGTATTGGTGGCAGCTTCGATAAGGCGGATATTTTTGCGAGTTCGACCACATATAATTGTATGTAGGGACAGCTCGAGCTGCAACGATCCATAAGTCCGGTGCAGCTGTCCGGTAGTCAGCCAGTGCCCGCGTTTCCAGCAGCAGTAGAGCTTACCACTCTGTCGATCATGATGAGCACTCTCGTCTTTGCATGCTCCGAGCTCTCTGGATCGCCGTAGATTGCGATGCGGAGTCTTTGGTCAAAACGTTGGTCACTCCCATTGCCATAGCTTGAAGCGGGACCTTCTGGATCACTGTGCTTCGGATTGAGCAAGAAAATATCAGTACCAGTCCACGTGGCAACACCGTCGAGGTGTTGGAGAACTTCGGCTCTGACGCCGGTCATGTCCTGAGTGATGACAAGGTTGGTATCGATGTCGACTATAGCACATCTCTGTCATGGTGTCAGCATTGATGAACCTTCACAGGGGTTGTGGAGGATCTTTACCAATGCGATGGGCGTATCGTTCAATATTTTGGCTCGCATCTTGTGCACAGTCTCATTCTCGCCAGAGATACAGACATTGGTCACCAGACCCTTCAGAGGTCTTCGTTGCAATGCAGGTATTGGCTTGGGCTCGGAAGAGGTCACTGTAGCCTCGAGTCGGCCTTGACTTCCTTCGTTTAGGACTCGGCAAGACCTTCTCAGCTGCTCTACGTTGTAATGATGCACTGGCAGCTTGTGTATTGGCGTTCCCTCCTCCGTCCCTTCCGGGAAGGTCCATCTTTCCAGAGCTTTGGGACTCGCGTGGAGGATTTCGTCGACGTCGGGACCGCTCAAGTTGGAAGAGAAAGGGACGTTGAAGGACAGGTTGACGATGGTATCAGCAGGGGTCAGAGGTGATATGGGGGTGCCATTCATTGGACGTTTGATGGGCTGGGCGATGGGAAGGTCCATGGGATTCGGCCTCGACATGAGGCCGGCCGGGGTCATCTTCTCCAAGCCATGACGAGCCTGACCTGTGATGTTGCTGAACCTCTGCATGATGCACCTCTCTACCTCCCCTCACGGTGCCGATGCTATCAAAGGAGGGGGATGAAGCATCTGCAGCGGCTGAGCTTGAAGGTGCAGGAGTGGGGAATAATGGATAATGGGTGGGAGAGATGTGATCAGTTAGGGCGCGAAGGAGGAGAGTAAGTTAGACGCGAATCAAGAATCAAAGATGCACAGGGAATCGGAGATGTGGGCAGTGCATTTATCCATAGGGCTGAATGAATAATGCCCCTTGATCATCGAACTAGAATCTTGGGGACTAGTACTCGTGTGGACGAGAAGTCTATCATCTTGGCAGTCTAGCTTAGATAGGTTAGGCTGTAGGTCATAGGCATAATCCAGTGTCAAACTGCGGAGAAACGAGGTAGTACTGATTGGTGGGTACTCCCGGGCGGGACAAAGAAAAAAAATTCTCGCCAAAAAAAAAAAAAAGGGAAAACTGAAGTGCATGCTGAGTCAAATATGTCGATACAAGTACATATAGGTATACAGAATGTCCAATGATTGAGAGGATGAGTGAGTGAGCTAAGGTACTTTATGCACTCCATTCTTACTATTATCATTATCATTATGTATTATTACTGTACCTATTACCGTATTGTTAATTAATGCAGCAAATGCATCCTTTTGGAGAGCGAAACCGGTCTTGTAGATTCTATCTTTAGCTATGTGGAGATATGGAAAAGCCGGAAGCTTCGGCCAATGATTTGCCGTTGCCATTTGTCATGACTAAGATACCGAGGATACTGTAGAGTACCTAAGGTAAATAATCATCATGATTTCGAGTCAATATTGGTGGAAACAGTAGTCTGACTTCTATCGAGGCGATGAAATATGCTGTTCCGTAGTATACCAGTGATTGATTTTTATTCCTTGTCAGTCTCTCTCTCTCTCTCTCTCTCTCTCTCTATTAGGAACAATCCGGAAAATACTTGCTTCGGTCACCAGGCTCAACTTCCAACCATTGCTCCATCGGCGACAAGGATCCATCCAGCCATCCAGCCCATCTGCCACCGTGATATACACCTAAACTGTTGAACAGACTTCTTAACGCAATACTTGCCGCCTTCCCGCGCTCCCCGGTGCCTCGTATATACCGCCATCATCTGTCATCTCGTCGACGTAGCCCCTATCTTGCCCCTGAGTTGCGTACTGATACCTCGGCCGTTCCTCCACGGCATAGCTCACTGGCCTCATAGGTCCATCGTCGGCAAAGACACTGACCTGACGGCTAACTTGCGGTCGAGCCTCTGATCTTTCTCCCAGTTGCACAATGCGCGGCTGCTGAGGTCTCACACTTTGCATTCTCGTCCCTTGTTCTCGAGGAACCGCGTACTGCCTTTCAACAGGCCGTGCGCTTTGCACCCGCATCATACCTTCACGCGCTTCAGGAACTTCTGCATACCGGGCAGCTTGCCGAGCTTCGGCATACTCAGTGGGGTGAGTACTTTCGTTGCGTGTGACATAGGACTCAGCGTAAGGCATGCTGCGTGAGTTGCTTTCAACCACTTGCGTGTTTCGGTGTTGTGGATACTCGAAGAACGGCTGAGAGCCCGGCGATTGAATTCTACGAACGTACTGCCCTTCGTCGTCAACGCTAACAAGCTGCGGTTGTCGGACACTATGAGGAGCGGACTGCTCATAGCGAGGGTCATATTCGCTTCTGCTCGCAACAGGGGCAACGGAGACTTGCCGCCCAGCGTTCACGGGAACCTCAATGCATTCTCTGCCCCATTGATCAATCATGATACGCCGTGGCGGCGGCGCCATAGCGATTGGGTTTCGTCCAAAGGGAGATGCTTGCATTCGACGCAAAGGCGGAGATGGGGAGCGATCATGAGAGATATATGTCGCCGATGCTGGTTGAACTGATGCTCTGTACTGCTGAGACATAGGCTGGCCCGTCGGTGAGATGTAAACCTGAGAAGCTGCCCTTGTAGTACGAGGATGAGGAGCGGAGTACTGCACAGGGTGAGGAGCAGGCGACATCGGAGCTCTTACATGTCTAGCACTGACAACCCGCCTAAGATCCTGTTCCTCGTTGGGTATGTATCGTTGCCCATTGCGAGAGACCACGCGGCGCCCTAATGGAGTCAAAGGTCCTCGGTCATCAGAAAGTTGACCATACGCTGGACGTTCGCCAACTCTGGGTTGGTAGATTATTGGCTCTTGATCACGAAATTGAGGCGCAGCTGGATCGACATACAGCTGTCGTGATGCTTCCCGCCTGGGACGAATCTGTCGTATTTCCACAGCATCCCCAAAAGGAGGAGGCGAAACAGGCTCGTCCTTGATACGGACGTCAGGTGAGCCCAGCTCTCTACGCGGAACCACGTTACGGGTATGCTCTTGGGGATCCACCCCCCTTCTTCGCTTCTTCGAGCTCAGAGGCTGTAAGCCAGGTTTTGGACTTGGTCCAGCACTCGTAACCTCTGCATTAGATGCACGCGAAAGACGACGATTCTCACCATGGCTGCGCTGGACCTGAGAGACTTGCGGAACTTTAGCCACGGCTAATGGGGACACACGCGAAGGCTGTGGTGCCACAGGAGACATTATGTGATTCCTAACAACTCGCACATTGTTTGGCAGTGGCGAGGGTGACCTGTCATTGCGTACAGCAAACTCACGTGCCGATGGTTGAACATGACCTGGAGGAGGCCGCTGTTTTGTTGCCGGCTGCCGTATTTCAACCTCCCGCAAACCTACATCTCGCCCAAATTCATCGGGGCCAGGAGGTGAATATGCAGAGTCCTCCTGAGACTCGTTTATCTCTTTTACATGCTGGCGAGCAGTGGCATCAGGATGTGCTTGCTGTTCATTCCTTGACCTGTTCGCAAGCTCAGCCTCAAGCTGCGCAATGCGTTCCTGCATTGCCCGCTCCGACTGCGACATTGGAGCACCTGCAGTGCTCGCTTTTGTTGGAGGGTGAGGTAGTGGACCGTTCGTCGAAGTCTGGAGTGAGGGTTTATTAGGGCGCAGGCTTGTCTGTTCGTCAGCATTGACGCTATCAAGATCCAGATTTTGTGATCCATCTGCTTCAAGCTTTTGCTTCAATTTTGGATCATGAGAGAAAGTACATGCGTCTCCATATCGACAGTGCTCCCCCTTAAGGAAAAAATTGCAAATTCGATGGGGACGCCATTTATGAGACTCATCTGCTTCCTCTGTCGTAGTAGATTCCACCTGACTGGAGTAAAATGTTTTCTCATCAAATGAATCACTGGCTGAAGCAGCTCCATTAGCGCGACTGATTTCGTGCATTTTGACAGGCTTTACAAGCTCTTGCGCCTTTCTCAAGACTTCGGTAGCATTAAAGTCTGGCAAGGCTTCCTGATCGAACATTTTCTGCTTTCTTCGCTGGTGTATTTGCTCCTCCAAGGCCCGCTCGATGCGTTGCCTTTTCTGCTGTATCTCTGCTCTTACAAGTACATCTGATTTGGTTAAAAAGATGGGGTCGATGCCAGATGACCCAGGCGCTGAAGTCGAAACTTTCAGATTGTTGGGCGATTTGGGCTGAAAGGGATTCGACAAAGGCTTGGTGTCATGCGGGTTTGCTGCAAGTGAAGATGTCCCGTTGCTGACCTGAGAAGGTGGGTGAACGCCATTCGTCATTTGTGACGAAGACACGGGCGGTAAGGGTAGAGGTCCAGAGGCAGCGAATGGATTACCTAGACCACCAGACTGTCTGGGAAGCTTGGGTGAGGGATGACTGTGTGCGAAGAAATCATTGCGAAGCTTTATAAGCTTCTCATATTCAACAAGCTCTTCCTTCTCAGCATATGAAAAGCCATTGCGGTCAGCGACAGCACTGGCCATCGTACGTACTTCTGACTTGTTGAACGCTGTGTCAATGTGAATGTCTATCCACACACATCACTTTGTAGTCTCATCCACAATCGCGAGCGACCTGATATAGCAGAAGCTAAGACAGTATCAGTACAGACAACTTCAACGTAAACGTGTCAGCAGCTTGTGTAAAGAGTAAGGAAGGTAACTTGGAAAGGAGGTTGGATCTGGATGGAGATTCGTCCACGCGACTAGGTTGCTTTCGGGCTAGCGTGAAATGCAAGGAATTCGAGTCCAGATTCCGAAAGTCTCCACTGCCCCCTCCAGTACAGCAAAGCCCATATTGAAGCGGACCAGAAAAGGTGGAGGATGATCTCGCGATATGACTGTCATTATTAGATTGCACGTATTCCCGCAAACACTCTATGTAGAAAATACGAACAGCTTGGCCACTCTGGCTTAGTGTGATGACTTCAACCCTTTCTACCAAGTTCCAGGACTGTGATGCTATCATGTCGTTCTACAAGAATCATACGAGCCGCTGTTTCTACGCAAACACCGTGGCGACCTTCATCTTTAGGTTAGACAAAGGCTGACGTTCACTTCGATCCGCCTCAAGCAGTCTCTACAACATAATGTCAGCAGCCTCTTCCCCAGATCGTCGCTCGGTCTTCTTCTTTGACATAGACAACTGTCTCTATCCTCGCAGCCTCCGCATTCAAGAATTGATGCAAGAGCTGATCGACTCCTACTTCGTCCGACACCTTTCTCTCCCCGCCTCGGACGCCAGGGCCCTTCATGCAAGATACTACAAAGACTATGGTCTCGCCATTTCTGGTCTTGTCAAACACCATACCATTGACCCTTTGGCCTACAATCGCGAAGTCGATGATGCGTTGCCGCTCGATGATGTAATAAAGCCCGACCCACAGCTGAGAAGGCTGCTGGAAGATATGGACAGGAGCAAGGTGAAGATGTGGTTGTTCACGAACGCCCACATAACGCATGCGCGAAGGGTGGTAAGGCTACTGGGTGTGGAGGATTGCTTTGAGGGAGTTACGTATTGTGACTACGCGGCGAAGGTGCTGCTAGCGAAACCGCACAAGGAGATGTTTGAGAAGGCGGAGAGGGAGGCTGGGGCTTCGAAGGGCGAGGAGTGCTATTTTGTCGACGACTCGGCTCTTAATTGTAGACATGCAAATGAGAGGGGATGGACTGTTGTGCACAAGTTGGAAGAGGAAGATTCAGCCCCGGAGAGCAAAGCTGGAAGATATCAAATTCGTGATCTGGAAGAATTGCGGTCAATATTTCCGCAATTCTTTGTCAAGGGCTCGGAGTCTGCCAGAGATCAGAAGGAAACATCGTCACAGCTATGATGGCAGCGTGTTCACGTTTGATCTGCATGGATTCGCCATGCTGGGAAGAACGGCATTTTGGGAGGAATATGACAGTCCAGTAGGGTTTCCAGCATTACAATCATAGATGCATATAGATAGTAAGGTCATAGACCAGGGTAGGATACGCCACTACACTCTCCGGTGATGCCGTTAATCATAATTCCCGTCTATTGCAAACGTCTCCTTGTATTGGGTTCCGACGAAGAGTCCCAGCTACGAGAGCCGAAGGTACATCTGCACCGCAGACGCCATGGTACGTTGAGGGCTGGGATCAACTCTGCAACAAGTCCATCTGACGTTCGATTGTATAGACAAGTACCGTAACAGCATTACTGAATGCGCTGGCAACATAGCTCCCAAGGAGAGGAGTCAGAAATTTCTCGCATGATGTACCATAACAATGGGGTGAAAGATTACTACTGGGTGCAAGTGATCAACACCATCTCATCTAACATTAATTTCTCAACAGTGGGCGTAAGCCGAAAGTATCACGTATACCAACCAGTCGAGCCCTAAAGAACCACATGACAGACAAAATGCCAATATAATGACAATTGAAGCGGTGTACATCCCTGAACACTTTTCCGTTATCTGACGCCTTTTGGAAGGAATTGTGATTATGATAGACAGAACTTTTCGAGTTGATGTCGCAAAGTGTAAAAAGTTTCCACGCCTCAGACTGCCACTTCTCCTGAATATTTGCCTGATGAGGACCTTCATCGCCTATGGAAGTCTGCATTGCCCTTGCATCATTCTCTTTCCGCCAGCTCTTTACGACCTTCGCTATCTCACTGCTTTTCAATTGCCATCCATGCGGATAAAACACATCAGCAGATTCTCTGATTCAGACGATAGCCTAGGCAGAACAAAAAGCTGGACATTTCCAAACTCTTGGCATCGTAGCGACGTCTGGGTCCCTTCTGGAGAACAGAGAACTGATGGATAATTGAAAGTGGCGGATGAGTTTTCGAAGTCCCATGGGAAGGGGTGCAATACAGAGTCATGGGAAATCAAAAAGCCAGACACTTTTGAAGCAGAATTCCTCGCAGCGGCACAAGCCTCCACATTCCGAACCACGACGGCCGCAACCATACCCGCGATATGTACCGCAATTCAAAGGGATTGCGGTGGAATTCCGCAACAGAGATAGCCGACAGGACGCTGCAGCTTGCGAGCAACAGCGCAGTGGATCGAAACCTTCTGACAGCAGATGAGGGCGAAACTCTCACCGGAGGTGCAGTCATTGATGTCCAGATCCTGCAGACCGAGTTGAGCTGTTCAGTGGAGGATTCAATGCTATGCCATCGGTTTGCCGAAATCATGAAGTACACATCCATACTCAGGACACCACTGGAGAGCTTAATGAGCTACGTATAAACCTGAGCGCGGTCACGGATCTTGTCTACCGGACAAGAAGAGGACAAAATTGATCAGTCACCAACACAGAAGGTATTGAACCTACCGTGAACATCGCACCGGAGGCCTACTATACTCGTAAGGTAAGGTAAGGTAAGGTAAGGTAGGTAGGTAGATGGAACTTGAATTAGGTAAGGCACCTTAGCGTCCTCACGGGCTTACTCTACTCTAGTCTAGTTCCCGCTTTCGGTTGATCGGAGGATCATTGACCCCTGAGGGTGTGTCAAATGTCAATATGAACCACCAGTTGTCCACCATATCCATGAACCCCAACTTTCAAAACATTGAACGTCTCACCAAATCATGAATCAATAAATCGTTATGGAAAGACAGATTCATTCGTCCAGCCTTGCGACTACTTTGCCAACTCCATCTTTGGTGCCTGCCTTAGCTTCTCATTACTATCAGACATGGTCATACCGTAGGCCCTTATTCCGTAAGCGCCCACGACTGTTGATAAGAAACCAATCATACTTCAGGATCCCATGCTTGTTGGTGACACCTCCGGAAGCTCACCACATCTAATCCTGCTTACCGCTCATGAATGGCCGCGATCATTTCAAGCTATATTGAACCCTCTTGCCCGTCCAATACTGACCTCTACTATATCTGTGCCGCAATTTGGGCTCGACCTCATTGGCGCCCTCTCTGCGTGCGTGACTCGTCTTGGATTGTCCATGGAGAGCAATCGTCTCATATGTGCCTTTGTGCTCCCACATCAGAAACGATGTGCGGTTTCAAATTTCCAGCTCCTCGTATATGACGGCTCTCCGCCTCCATTCCTACTCACCTCCTTTCCAAGCTCTTGGGTCTGTCAATACAGGTAATGAGGGTGTAGTAATGGAGAGCTTGAGTGACTGTTTGGAGTTGGTGCATTTAACTTGGCTGGCCACTTCCATTTCATCTTGCTTTCTAAAGCCGCAGGACGGCGGGGACAAGCCTGAGCCAGCGGCTCCCGGCATAAGTGGGTCTTCCACCATTGATCAATCGTATATAGCAACACCTCGCTAACCTGACACCACTAGCTGTTGGTAATCACACTGAAGTCTGCCACGAACAACCTACGCCACATCATCCACCGGAATACAATCTCGACCAAGCACATGCGACACCTCGATCCTCCTACCAGCAATCTACATCCCACCGCCCCTTAAGCTCTCTACGTCAGTCCGCATGGCTATCCGAAAGCCGTCTTCGGACCTCAAGATCCTTGAGCAGGATGAGCTTCACAAGTAGACGCAGCGCACCCCGTCGGCCAACGATCGGCGCCCCGTCCGAGTTCAGGAGGGTCCAGAGCGGACGTGTATCTCCCCTAAGGCGAAGCCCAGCATTTCGACCCCTACAACTGAGCATTTACCTGCCCGGCAATGAGCTTCCCGACCTGCCAATATTCTGGGAAGATGGAGCTGACAAGGTGGAGGATGTGACAGTGGAACGACCTGTGCAAGCACTCGTCAAGTCACGATCAGACTCCATGCTACTCCGACACCCTTCAAGCTCTTTCTCAATCCCGAGGAAGCCAGTACCTTCAAGGACGTCCTCTCTAGATGCATCACGATTCAGCATGGACAGCCAATTTACATTGAACTGGGTCGGTGGTCCCACAAAGTCGCGATCCATCGATCACCTACGGTCAAAGTCTATTGAGCGCAGACCGAGCTTCATGACTACTCGAAGTGCACAGGACTTCTTAGATGCTTTGGATGCCAGGGACGCCCATTCACCCCAGCCTCCACCTCCTGCCATTCGATCCAACTCTGAGCCCTCCTACACAATTTATCGAAGAGCTAGTGAGCAGAGTCTGCGGCTGCGGACGCACCTGGAAGAACGACAGTCATTAGAGGCACGCTTACCCAATTGCGCTACCATCCAAGAGGAAATATCGCCTTTATCGCCAAGACCCGGTGAGCAGATGCCTCTGTCTCCTATCTCCGATCGGGACGACAACACCGACAGTTCGCCCTATGATGAACAACCGCTTCAATTGCAAGAGTCGATCCAGCGCGATGCCCATGCAGAAGTGCCTGTTATGTCCAAGGCGAGATCATCTTCCGGAAGCTCGACGTTGTTGAATCCCCCGACGCCTCTCCTCGACCCATTTCGCCCAGACACCGCAATGAATGAGAGACCAATAGTGACTACAACCATTTCAGGCAATACCCATTCATCCTTTCGGGATCGTTTCTCTCAGTGGATTCTGAAGGCCCTGCCAGCGCTTCCAACAGTTGAACGCTCATCTACGTCATTGAGCATGTACGATATTTCTGGCCCAACAGAACTCAACAGCCCATGGTCCTTTCCCAGTCCCCGACCTCATACGAAACAGAGCTCGATGTCTTCGTCCTGGACTCTTGGTGGTGGTCGAGGAGCCAGCTTTGATGTCGAGAAGACGCCATTACCGCCCCAAGTAGCCAGTGTTGGTATTGCCTTCTGAGCAATAAGTCGAGATGCTGGACTGTTCCAATCTTTTAGACGGAAGTCTTCGAATGATAGAAACGCTCATTCTCTAATAGTCGTCAAAGGTGCTGCTTTTAAATACCCTTTCCGAGGCTTACCCTCATTTTTAATCATAGTTCTTACTCCTATTCGGGGAGCACTGGATGACCCTTCCAGTACCTCTTACTGTTTGAACGTCGATATGAAGGGTGCGCGCTCGAGGGTAAGTTTCCGAAAGGTCGCGCTTTCCTCGTCGGCCCACTCACAGCCACGATGGATATCTACTCCTCGCAATCTCGACATCATTTCGTCCTCCCCAACGTTTTACTAATTACAGACTTACCCACCACAGCCTTTTAATGAATTTTTTCGTTGCAACCGTCACTGTTTTGATTGGTGTTTCTCTCTTTCAAATGATATTTGGGGTGAATCCTCGTTGCCCGCTCTCTTACTGAGAGAACACCCAATGATTATTGCTTTCTACGTCGACTAACGCGCCCGAACCTTTACATAGCTAGGCTTGCACAGACTGTCTACTCGCCCACTAGGCCATCAGACGACACCACAATCATACAAGAAATTTAACCACGCTTACGCCAACATCAGGCCTTCACACTGCATATGCCAAGTAACGTCCAGCGAATCTCAACAAAGATCATCAGCTAAGTCTTTTACGAAGATGGACCCGCGGTTGGACCTACGAGGAAGGCCGTGGCGACTGGACTCGGAATGGGCGTTGGGGATGACGGTAGGTGCGTTCATGTGGATGCAAGAGCGTAAGAGCCCTGCACAGCAGAGATGGTATACTTTCAATGGTATGCTAATGAGAGAGCAGCACCCTTCGTTCTTGATCGTGCTAGATATGCCATTTCAAGTGACCAGCAATCGAGAAATTTCGAGCAAGCCGTCTTTGTACCTGACTTCGAGGTTGCCACGACTAACAGTCAACTCGAGCCTGGCAGGAAAGAATCATATCCTCTGTTACCCTTCCGCGCCTTGGAAGAAATCTGTCTTCCGGGCGCTATACAACAAAGGTGGGAGGCATCTATCGCCGCCTCAAAGTCCGCAGAATGGCGTCTGTGGTTCAAAACGCTCGATCAGACACAGCAGAAAGCCCATGTCCAAAGTCTAGCCAAGCGTAACAAAGATACATTCTGGGCCGGACTCTGGCTTGAGTATGAGGAATGGTCAAAGCCACGACATGCGCGATGTATTGCCGCTGCTACTAGAGCCTTGGTCATCTTCGAGCGAGAGAACGTGATGAGGCAGATGAGAGAAGCACAGAAGTCCGTGAATGTAAGAAGAGCAAGAAGGCTAGAACGATACGGCTTTTCGGCGATGGAACCTGAGGATCTGCCAGAAGCAGAGCCTCTTTCAGCACCTCTAACACCCCACGACATCGTTTCCCTAAGGTTGCGCCTTACGCCTTGCTACTTCCGCCTACCAGCCAGTACTTTTCGGTTCGCAACACAGATCTTCAGCGGCAAGTCCTACGAAGAAGCCGTGACTGAGCAGAAGGCGAATTTCCACAGCTGGACTAATGAGAGCAAGGTTCGCAGGATCGAAGGTCACCCTGACTTTGTTGTGTGGGGCAATATCGCAGTGCACAAGGATGCTGTTCCAAAGCTCACTCCCAAAAAGAAGCAGCCGCAGACAGGGAAGCATAGGTACCAGGACAAGCAATCAAGGTCAGGATGCGGAGAGGGCTGCAAAGGGCAATAGGGCTATGCGTGGTATATGGTAATCGATAAGTGCGCTTGGAAAGGATTTCTCTGATGCGTTGGAGATTGGATCTCAGAATGTGTCTGATAATGAGAGGTCCGATCAGCTTTCAGGGTAGACGTTCACTTGTCTAACGTCTATCGTTTTCTACCCTTCTACATAAAGAGATAGTTGTACTGTCTTGTCATCAACAGAGTACATTCCTTTGCAACCCTTCTCTTTTCCCGAAGCCTTTGACTGCGCTTTTCAGGCTACCATTTTTGGTTTCGAATCTAATGTAGCTGGTGGTAGGGGGGAAAAGGCTCACAGCCTTATGGGATTTAGCGTGTTCGCCCAACCTGCTCCTGGACCTGTCCGGGACGCCGTCTTTTGCGTTTGACATTCCCAAGATTGAGTATGGACAGCGGCCATGGAGCATACTATCGCGGATGGTGACTCGCTGTCCAAATCGAGAACAACAGCACGTGGCGCGATCATCCCGAGCGGCGGAGTCTTTGTATTCCGTTGGATCTGCATCCCCTTGCTAACCGTCGGACAAAAGGTCTTGACGCCAGCGTGGGCTCGTCAACCCAATCATGAAGAAGGCATACATAGAAGAGACGCCATAACATTGTCTTGTTCCTCGTTGCCGGAAAAAAGCAAGAAGGTGCACTCGGAAAATGATATACGACGGTTTTTCATCCAAAGGAGTTTCTCCATCTACTCCACGACACACGAGTGCCTTTCGGAATTAAATACACTTTACTCTTCCGCACTTGTGCTTTCAAGAATCGCTCCGTGGGAAGGAATGCGTGCTTGGAAGTCAGCTACATACAATGGGCAAACACAACATCGTGGTTCTTGGGTTTGTTCCACCGTCAATTCCAGTTGTGCTGTCCTCAACATTCACAATGCGCGCCTAGAGCTGGCGTCTCGGGCCTGAGCACCGCTCTCGAACTTTCCAAGAATCCAAAATACTCCATCACAGTCGTAGCAAAGCATATGGCTGGGGGCTCTGACGCCGAGTATGCGTCCCCTTGGGCTGGGGTTGCTATTCTTCCATAAGTGATATCTCCAAATAATCGTTTGGGATAGCTTTTGAGTGCTGAAAAGATTATCGATTCTCGGAGAAGTGTGAACAAGCTCAGAAGTATGATACAGATACTTGGCACGAGTTCAGCAGGCTAGCGGAGGATGTGTCTGAAGCTGGGGTTGCATTCCAGAGTAGGTGCCCTGAAGGATTTTCCCAATTTGAGAGGAAGCGACTCATATCAACGTCGTGTTTCTAGATGCTACAATGTACACCCGTCACGACCATCGGACTGTGGACCAATTCCTCAAACCTGGTTCAAAAGCGCCGAGGTTCGTGGATGCTTTGTCAAACGTGGGCATCGACCTCTCACCCGCAACCACCGTCAACGTAGTATATACGCACATGTCAATTGAAGTCTCCGCAGTACAACGTCACAAACTCCTCGCTTCCTTCCGACGTCGCCACCTCACTCGGCTTCACCACCGTCATCATAAGATCAGACCCCACCATCCACCTCCCCTACCCGATCCCACAGTGTCCAAAGGCCGGCGTCGCTTCCACCCGTGCCATCGTATCCAACCATTTCGCACGCCGCCTCCCTCCACCACGCTGGCCAATCCCCGGGCTTGCTCGTCAACCGCACGGGTCCCGGTCCCCTGAAGCTAGCTTGGCGGCGCGGTTTGCCAAGGATCTTTTCGCGGCCGGAGGACGGGTGGTGCTGGTGAGGCACCGTCCCGATACGTCGATGGCGCTTTGCAGGCGCAAGCGGGACGGAGGATGCCGATGCTTGTATCATTCCACGACCTGTGGCCGGTGCGTATAGTACCTATCAACCTGATAACTGGGACTCGGAATCAGGATCTCAAGCTGGGACGGCGTGTCATGCAGCGCGCTCTGTCTGGACTCTCAATCCCAGTCTCACGGAACGGTAAGGGCGTTGAGGCAGTGTGTTTTGTGAGGCGTGGAGTGGAGTGGAGTGGGTTTGAGGAGTGGAGGTGTGAGGGTAGTAGCTGAGGACATTGATGGATTTGAAGGTGGTGCATGATTACGGGCATGGAGGCGGTGGGTTACCGGGTTCGTTGGGGGGTTGCGCGCGGGAGGCTGTGAGGTTGGTTGGTTGAGGGATCTTTGGCTGTGTGTGAACGATGAAGAGTGCATCTGAAGGATCGATGCGGATAAGCACGGAGCTGTCCTCCCTCTTCCTTGCATCCATTTTTATCGTATTTCCTGTATTTTCAAAACCAAACCTCGCTTCCAAAAATCTTGATCATCTGCCCTGATTCATGTACACTCGTGCAACATCAGCTTGCTCCGGTTCTTTCCCTCGCTCCAGACAATCACCCCTCCACTCAGCATCACACCTTCCACTCAGCACCACACCATTCCAACCAGAAAAATGCCCGGCGTACTCATGTACCGTGCCGGACGCGTGCCGCGTGAAGCCGGTCCATCCTCCTCTCCACAAGATCAATACGGCAGCGAGAGTTCCGAAAGAAAGGGAAACTTCACCATCCCACCGACGTCCCACCGGCTGACACAAACATCTAATTACAGCCCGCCAGACAGACGCGAGCGCCCGCTTCGAGACTTGCCTCGTTGACACCTCGAACCTATTCCCTTCCTGAACGCGATATCCGTAAGCTCGCCGGAAACCGAAACCAAAGCCCGCGTCCCGGACATTGTTGACACCCGATTGACTCTCATGGGATCGCCCTCCCGATACCGTCTCCGTCCAATTCGGTGGACGATATGTCACAGACCCGTCTGGGAATTTCTGCCACAAGGTCGGTTCTTGTTGGCGGTGGGATCGTTAAGGATGCTGACGAGGTAAGGGTACAGCTACCGAAGCGCTCGTGGGGAAGGTGGGGATTACGGTCATGGAGGCAAGGGGTGTTGGCTTCGCGATGGCTCGGTTGGAGATGCTAGAAAGGGAGGTTCCAAAGGTGAGAGGACTTGGAGCGGCAAATTCTCCGGGGCCACGTTTCTGGATCATGGACGCGTGGGGAGAAAGGAGCATTGGAGGGCGGGGGATGAAGTTTCATCAGAGGTTATCACGAGCGCCCATCTACGGCTTGGATGCCAGTCGAGAAAGCCTGGACCTAAGCGGATCGATCCACAGCCGCGAAGAAAAAGGAGAAGGAGAGGGCGGGATACGGTTCTCCCGACGAACGTTTCGTGAGATGGCAAAACGCTGACAATGACACGGACGTCTCGGTCTCCCCACCGTTTTTATATCCGAGGCCGGTCCGAAAACCGCCCCGTTGCCATTTCTTCGGCGTTCCCACACGGATGGGTGCAAGGACGCACGGGAGGACCTCATGGACAGCTGGGCTCTTACTCGCCGCGCACCCTCGTCTCGTGGTCTTGGGCTGCGTCGGAAAATAAAAGATACCGCACAGCCCGAGTCACGCATGCACGGAGTAGAGACATGAGGTTCACTGAGTGGGAACGTATGAGTCCGGGATATCAGAGGTGCATGTACAGTATCGAGAGCGGAATGGAGCAGTGGATCGAGATTTCCTGAACCCTTGCATCTTTGCATCCGCGCCCCCTACTTAAGATGGAGTACGCAGGCTCGAGATCAAGGGCGGGGAGGTCCTTTGTCCTTTATCTGCCTGCTCCCGAATGGTGTTTTCTTTCGGGTCAAACGACCGGGTTGTTAATTTAGTTCCTTCCTGACAGAATAAAATACCAGCTCCATCTCGTCCTATTATCGCTATGCTGTCAGTGTTTTATGGGGGTTTTTTGGTTCCGATATCGAGGACTGGATTTGCATCGATAGTGGTGATGGTTCATGGCTACGTGGAGACGACTGTCACGATACTCCGAGCTGACGTTCGTCGTGAGCACATCTAAGACGCCCCCAAGGGTATGCCTGGTATGGAGTTTCTTCGCTCGTTCGCGGGCATTAGGAATTTGGCTCGTCATCGGCCATGGTATCTGGGACATTAGGATCCACAACCGAAAGACTGTTTTGGGGCTTATATACAACTGGGTTCGTTACACATTTCGAGTGGTTTTTGCTAAGACATAGGGCTGTAGGTGAGGCAACGCTGCACTAGCGCAAACCTCGGAAAGATCCAATTCCACACCATGCCCCCATTGGATTTCTGGGTTCCTCATAGAGCTAAAATTCTGGGCTTTATTCTGCCTCATCAAGTAGTAGCTGGCAAGATGTGTTTGCTCTATTGTGATATTTCTCAGTATTTGCTCGATGACTGATCTCGTAGGGCATCGGCTCGACCCATCATGATGCCTGTAGCGAAGGTTGAGGCTCAACAAGGGTATCTAGGCTGTCCGCGCTGTTAGGTCGCATTGCTGTTCGCGGCGTTAATGAAGAGGCTGAATGCCCATCACGTTTTGCACCTTCACTTTCATTGTATCCGGCCATTCCAAGTCTCATAAGACGCTCCTTCGCCCCTTCATGCTCCGTTTGAGCTTTTCTCATGTTGGCGTATACCTGGTCTCTGTGATCATATCGTAGGATCTCAAATTCTGCGGATCTTACCGTCCTGTTGCCACGAGCGAATTCTTGGACATGTTGCGCCAGATCTCGGTTCAGGCGCGCTAACTGCGCTTGAGCTTCTTTGATTGCTTGCAACGTGCGGGTGACTTCGTTACGGGCATCCTGGAGGTCGGGGTCGGATGGGCTGGGGGCGTGAGAATGTCTCTGAGCGCCTGGTGACGTGACAGGTGTCATACTTGAAAAGCAAGGCACGGACACGGTGGAGCCATTTCTGCTATGCATTACCGAGTCGTGGTAGTCGTGACTGCTCGTTTTAGCGCTTTCACTGTGATTACCTCTAGGCATCCTGGTCGATTCTTTCCCACCACCTTTCGTCAACCACTGAACCGCAGCTAGCTCATTCCCCTCATCCTTTAAGGCAGCTTCCACAAGTTTTAAATATCTTCTCGCGCGCTTGGTGCTACCATGCTGCGCACCAAACGTTCGTTGCTTCGCCTCCACAACCTCTCGCTGCAGCTCTCCCGCTCGTTCCCAATCACCTAGGAGGCCACAGTTTTCGGCAAGTTTCGTCATTGACAGTTGGGTTTTTGGATGGTCAGGTCCTAGGATCTCAAGTCGGCGGAGTAGCGCTTTGCGGTCAAGTTCTTCGGCTTCTTGGAAGCGCGATTGCGCGCGGTAGGTCCATGCTAGAGCGCCCATTATTATTAGTGTATCGGGGTGGTCGGGACCTCGTTGCTCCATTCTTTGCTTGAGGACTCGGAGGCCGATGTCTTCCGCTTCCCGCCATTGGCGTAGTCTGTTGCAGCAGTATGCAATATTTGTCAATACTCTGATGGTGTCTTCACTGTCTGGACCGAACTCCTCTTCTACTAATTGCAATGCCTGGAGAGAGAGTTCTTTCCCTTCCCTTAGCTTTCCTTCGTTGTTATAGCATACTGCGAGTCGTGACTTGCCCTTTAGAGTTAATCGGTGGCGAGGTCCTAAGACGCGATTTGTTGAGTCATGGAATCGTTGGAGTACTTTACGTGCTGATTTATGTTGATGTAGTTTGCTGTGCGCTAGACCGACCAGTCCTAAGGTCTCTAGCGTGAGCTCATCTTCCCGGCCGAGCTGTTTCTCTCGTAGTCGGTGAGATTCCAGTAGCATTTGCAATGCTGCGCTCGTTTGGCCTTGTTCCATTGTGTAGTGTCCAAGGCAATGCAGTATACGCGCTCTGTTGACCAGTGGAGTTGGATCGGAAAAGTCATGGGCAAGCACAATCTGAACATGCGAGCTTAAATCTTGGATCAAGGCCCATTGATCGAAGGTCACGTCGACGGGGTACTCTCGTGCCACGGCGCCAACGGCGGCCTTCTGCCAGTGTGAAAGCTTGTCGTGATCGGCCAGCCATCTTTGCGTTGAAAGCTGTACCAACCGATGAAGGCTGTATTTGTTGGAGGAGCTTTCTTCTTGAATCAGGGAAAACGCTTTAAGCTTGGCGATTGCGGCTTTTCGATCAAGCACATTCCCGCCAGGCGCCTGTATGAGCTCAGAGGGTATCGCCTGCCGATCGAGAACGGCCATCAAGGATAGCATGTCGGCTGCTTTGGGACTCTGCATTGTCAGCTGCTCGAAGGATAGCCGCCATGTTTGAAAGACGGAATTGGAACTTTCGTAGTCTCGACTCGGGTCATAGATGCTCTCTTCTAGCAGGTTCGGTATGTCTGATCGGCCTGCTCGGAAAACCTCGAGATACTCCGACGCTGAAATCTCGGTTTGCTCAAGATATGCGGCAGCCTGCGTAATGGTGAGGGGAAGGTACTCCAACTCTCTAGCAAGCTTCTCGATGACTTCCAGGTTTAGCTGCTGGTCTGAGAGCTTGGCTGATAGCAAAGATTGTGCCTCTTTGGGCTCAAGTCTGGAGATCAGCAATGGTTGCTGTTTCCTTTCGAGGATCTGATGGCCGAGCTGGCGGTCTCTCGTAGTGACTAGCAGACTCCCTGCGATGCATCGAGGTAGATGGTGGATGAGTGGCATGAATGCACTGTTAGTCTGGGCAATTTTCTTCTGAGATGCCAGCCAGAGATCACGGTCATCAGCATTATCTAAGATCATCAGCCACGGCCCATTTGCTTCGTCACTTAGCCAGTCAGTGACCAGCCCGAGAATGTCCAGGTCAGGATCTTCGCGACCCGGCAGATCGAGCAGTCTGGCTATGTTGCGGTAATCGGTCTCGAATCGTGATCTACTGCCTCCATGCACCCAGAAAATATGGCTGGTGGGATGCAGCTGTCGGTGTCGGTACGAGTATTGGATCGCTATACGAGACTTCCCCACCCCACCTATGCCAGCAAGCGCCGCTCGGTGGCTACTCTCCGTCAACTGCATTTCAATTGTACTCATGATTCCATCACGACCCACAAACGCTTCTTCGAGATTATACTTGACCATCCAGACCGGTTTCGGGTTTGTCTTTGGTATAGACGGTAGCGACGCCTCATAGGTGGGTGGCTCCGCAGGTCGCTCAAGTCGGCCTTCAACCTTAGCCATCAACTTACGAAGAGAGTCGGCATGGCGTGTTTGCTGGAAAGCTATCAGTGTATTGATGTAGTCCTGGATGCTCGACCAGAATTCATCAATCTTCTTCTGGATTCCAACACCTCTGATGGCTTTGGTGATCTTCTCCTTGTTTGAAGCGTGCGGTGACGGTAAAACTTTCAAAAGGGTCTTATCGAAGCTCAGTATATCCTTACGAAGGCCGTCTAATAATGGTATGAGGAGGGGCTCTGTGTTTGCATTCAATTCGCTGTGGCTCGCTTGTAAATGTTCGACAATGTTTAGCAGTACGGGCAATCGTTGTTGGATCTTTACGAAGCTCTCTGGCATTCCTTTGACGTTATGGTTGAATTCGTTAATACGCTTGACAACTTTTCCACCATAGCTGACAAGAGATAGCGCACTTTGGACGACGCCGACGATGGCGAATGCTTCTGCCATCGCGGCTACTCGATAGAGCCTGATTGAGACCGCTCAAGTCCAGTCAATGCAAGGATTGCAATCTACAACGCCTGCGTGTTCGCTGTCCTTCATACAGGCTGTCGTTGTCTTGTACCATATTATGAGGTACTATCGCGCACTTCGCCAACCGTCAGACCTTGAAGAAAGAGATCTTGAAGCAGAGACGACTGGCAACTTACGAATCTTCCGCTTAGCAATCTCATGGTGAGGGAAGGACGGGCGGAGGGGAAAAACACCCATGCGAGAACGATATGGATAACGCTACACCGTCTTAACTGTACGAGTAGCCTCTTCGGGCTTAGATCGCTGTATGACCACTCCAAGGGTGCCCCGAGCGTCAAACCCCAAACCTGTCAAAAATTGTTCGACAGAAAATGGTACTGTTGAATTCAGTCTATACGAATCATAATCCTCAAAACCAAAACATCTTCGGCGCCTCAGACAGCCACTTTTAATACCTCGCCGACGTCCATGGAGCATACGAAACCACCCACCCAATCACTCAGGCCCACTCCTCCACATCCGCATAATCCCTCCCCTCCTTCCCCTCCCTCGTGACCAAACCATGACTTTCCCAGTCATAGCACCCCACCTCCACCTCCTCCGTCGTCTTACAGAGAGGCCACACCCGCTTGGTACCCATATCGCAAAACAAGCCTTCCGAGTGACTCACGAAGTCGGGTCCGTGACTCGTGTCACTGCCGCACAGTGCCTTTGCGCTATGCTTCTCGTGCGTGCTGGACACCAGCTTGCTGCGCAGGGCCGGGGAGCGTCTGGAGGGTCGAGGACGGCGGCGGTGAGGATGAGGGGATCGGCGTTTGCTTCTGAAGCCGTGGTCTTTCCAGAATGCGATGCGGGAGCGTGACGGGATTTTGTGTTCGAACCATTCGAGTCTGAATTCGTAGTCGTAGTCGCGGACGAACAGGGTGGCGGGGTAGGTGCAGTAGTAGGAGGGATCGGTGGGGTAAGGCCCGGTGAGGTTTGTGAAGTCCTGTGCGAGGAAGGTGAGTGATCGGGGCTAGGGGTGGGTTGGGAGGTGGAGGAGGGAGAGGGGGGAGATATACCTGCATGTGGATTTGCATGGCGGCTGCTTCGATGTTCTCGAGAGCGTCGGTGCCGTCTTTGGCGTGGTCGCGGTCGAGCCAGGTGCAGTCTGTCAAGGTATTAGCTCCTTTTCTTCTCACTCCTCGTTCGAAGCATGCACGAAGCATGCGTAGCGCGCAGCCTCCACCCTTCATTACGATGGCACTAACCCGGCATATACTTCTGCTCCCCAACCTCCACATTACTGAAAAACCACCTCTTCCCACACGCCCTCCCCACATCACCCAACCAGCCTCTCTGCTGCCCATCCGGCCACGTCTGCCCAATATAGGCAACACAGACCGCATCATCATGTCCCAACACCTGCATATAAGCCGGCTCCTGCCCCGCCCCGTCATCCTCCTGATGCACCACCACATCCACATAGCTCCCACTCTTGACGTGGTCATTAGCGACCCATTCTGAAGCGCCAATGTACCACTCCTTTTCGTTAAAGGCGACGAGGGAAGGGGCTCGACCGTCGGCTTGGGTCGGGCCGTTCTCTTTGTCGTTGAGAGCGACGGCGATGCGGACCATCGAGTTGACACCGGCGAGGTCGAAAGGGAGGTACGGTTTGAACATTAGGGAGATGAGGCCGACGGTGGCATCTTGGAATATTGTGAGGATGGGGAGGGCCATTCCTGGCGAGCTGGTCATGCTGGCTATGCTGTTTGTCGGCTGCCAGTAGTGAGGGTCCCGTCCGATTATCCTTTTCCCTCTTCTGTGAATGTTAAGTGCTCCTCTGGTGTTTTGCTATGCAGTCGTCGAGACAGACCTGCAGTAAAAGTACGACCTTTAAGAGCAAAGTGATATCTGTGGATGGAAAAGAAATCTCTTTTTATTCGAGTATTTCTCGGAGGACAGCCGAATTGGTATTCCGACTGAGAAGATATGAGCATTGTTCGATTTTTCGGTCTTGGCTCCATTGGCCACCAAATGTCCTTGAGGAGCTGTATTCCTTCCCTCAGTTACGTCGTATTGGCTTCAATCTGCAGTTCTTCCAGATTGAGTGCGGTGGTAGACGTCTTGCTCTTCGCATTCTGTCATACTAGAAAGAAGCACGTGAGTGTCGTGAGTCATGCCAGGTCGTATGGCGTGGTTCTTGCTGTAGGTACTATTGGCAATGAGGCGACCGAGCAAGTCTTATTAGTAGGATCTTTTGCCAAGTTGCTCCAAGAACGGGGCTTTTAAAATGTCGTTCATTCAATAGCTGGCTATCTAAAGGCATGCATGCATAGATACATGGAAAAAAGGAGAGACACCCTGCTTGTGAAAAGCTCGCTATGCAAACCCACTGTGTCGTGTCTTGTCTTGTCTAGAACATGCATGTGAGCAAGACCGCCATGCTAGCAGGTTGCCTTCCTAAATGCATGAGAGGAAAATAGGAAAATCGTTAAGCGGGGATTGGGTATGGCCGTATTCGCAACGATTGCTGAGACACCTAGGGATCTTTTATTCTCGGAGGTCTTTTCGCTTGTCACCCATCGCTGAGGCTGTCATCATCGTGAAAAGTGCTCGAGGAATGCGATGTGCCCCTTCATGAGCATATGCGCCTCCCTGCCATGATACTGCCCTTTACCGAGCAGTACCTTATGTACACCATTCTAGCTCCTGTCTCTCCTCCTGTTCGGCGCCTCAGAGCGGCTCCGACCACCGCCGGAACCCCCCTTTGCTTGCTTCTCCTGTCTCTTCACTCTCTTCTCGTGTCTCTTCTTCCTCTCCTCCAGCTCTTCTGCAAGCTCGTGACGATTCTCCTGCACTTCCTGCCATTCCGAGTACGCTCCTTTGATACCCAGAGCCGCAATACCGATGGCAGCCGCATCTTGGATTCTGGCCTTGTTCTTCTTCTTGCGTGCCTCTTCGGGCGAGAGCTCTCCCTTGGCAACTTCCACGTGGCGTTTGTCACGGGCTTCCATAGATGCGTAGACGCTGTGAGCGGCGTGGATGGTGGCCACAGCGGCGAGGCCGGCAGTCAGGTATTCCTTTCCTTTCATTTTCTTGGTACGGCGCTCGTCTTCGGAAGAGGAGCACACGTCTGATGATTCCGAGGAACTACTGTCTTTCTTGCCTTCGCCTCCCTTGCGTGAGCCAACCTCACTTCGATTGTCTCGGCGTGCGACTTGTTGCCCCCCACCACGTTCGCTACCACCATCTCGTTCTCCGTTCTGGAGATAGCCGGCCGGCTTGTACCGTGCTGGTGTGCGGTCATCATAGTAGTCCCCGGATGGCCCGCGGTTGCGATTGACCCGTCGACGGTAGTATCCATCATCACTGCTAGATGAGGAGGTGGAGGGTGAGCGCCTCCGTCGAGAGCGGGAACGTCTCTTATCGCGATTGCTGCCTGCGGCTGCTCCTGCCGCTCCTCCTAGACCAAGTGCCATGAGTGCTTTCTCTCCGAGAGATTTACGCCGTTCGCGAGGTCGAGGAGAGACGGAGGATTCGGAGTCGGAGTAATCACGGCGACCTCCTGAGGCAAATTCAGTCTCATGTTTTATGCGAGGGGTCGATATCATTGACTTACCTCTCCGCCCATCACCACGTCCACCACTCCAGCCATCTCTGCCCATGGACTTTGCGCGATCTTTGTTCGGGCCCTTGTAGACGTATCTCTCCTCGACCACATCATCATAATCACGACGAGAACGGCGTCGGTCATCACCACGAGGACTCCTCCTACGAGTGGGCTCCGTATAATTTCGTCGTGGTGGTGCGTCGTACTCGATTTCCTCGTCGGTCTCGGATTCGTAGCCGCCGCCTTGGGTGTTGCTCTTGTTGCGCATTTTCTTGACCTTTTGTATGCCCTGTTTGGTCTTATCCTTCAGCGGATCGTAAACTTTGTCGTAGTGTTCGGCGACTAGAGGCACACCTTCCATGGCAAGTTCAGCAAGGTCCGTCATTGTGACCGTCTTACCAAGACCCAAAAAGCTGGGGAATGAGGGAAATTTTGTGTCAAATGGAAAGGAAGGGAAGGGACAAAATCGTACTTTTCAGGCCAAGAGCAAGAGCAGTCTCAGCCATAATGACGACTGAGTTATGATCGGATTATTATTGTAGCGCAAGGGCGAGAAAGGAGGAGAAGGGTGGTGAGGGTGAGACGCCAAGGAAGGGGCGTGGAGGGTAAAACGGTACGTACAAAGCTTGATTGCTTTTTGAAGATGGGGTGTGGGGATATCTTTCTTTTTGTGTGGACGAGCAGTGAATCTCGATTATCTTTTCGATCTTTCTTTCGGTGATTCAGACTGTGAAGGTGAAGTGCCGAGTGAGGACGTCATATGACGCAGGTTCGAGGGGTGGTATACATTCGATGTTGTCTGATTGGATTGTGTCGCGTAGAGAGTAGAGTAAAGTAGGGTAGAGGAATGAGCGGTGGATGAGAGGATGAGTTGTTCATTCGACCACTTCGCTTCATTCGCTCAAGCGTCCTAATTCAGAACTCAATCTATTAACACTTTGCAGACAACGGCGCCCCGTTTTTCTTGCTTTGCTGCCCCGCCAGTCTAATCAGCCTATGAGCATTGTGTGGGGGACAACGGAAAGCAATTCATCCGACGGGCTAGCTCCATTGCATCTAGCACAATGATCTCGCCACTCATCAATCCTGGCCGCTGGGACGGGGTCCAGGGTGGCAAGGTTGGCATGCAGCATGTACTCAAGCATGTACCTCCTTCACCATGCTGAATGCTATGGACATGATTGTCATGAGGCTATACAAAAATTCAATTTCGCGTATACGCTGTCTTCTCAAACTTCGATAGCTACTCTTCTTGGAAATCTCCTGTTTATACAGTACACGCTGGCCTCATCATGTCAAACCATGACGCCCCGCGCTTCCTAGGTACTACTGTATCATGAAACCGTGACGCCTCACTTCCCCAAGTTACCCAATAGATCCTGCCCGTCCGCCTTCGTCTCAATGGTCCTGAACTTGTCTCCACTGCCTTCGCCCTTCTCAGCCCTCACATACGCCGCCTCACTCCTGTCAGTCAGCAACTTCAGGTCGGCATCGCTCAAAATGTCCACCCCCTCGCCGGGATCATAATTCTCGAAGTCCTCATTGGCTAGAATCTGCTGCAATTCGGTATATTCGTCTTCTCCCTTTTTATTAGGCCTGCGGTCCAGAATGCTTTTGAACTTGTCCTTCTGGATGACCAGCTTTTCAAGGCGCCGCTTGCCGTCTGCCTTTTCCAACAGAGTTTGCTCGACGGTTCCTTTTGTCGCGAGGCGGTAGATGATGACCGGTCTGGTCTGGCCGATGCGATGGGCCCTGTCTTGTGCTTGCAAGTCCTGTTGGGGGTTCCAATCACTATCAAAAAGAATGACCGTATCCGCCGATGTCAGATTGATACCCTGCCCTCCCGCGCGCGTACTGAGAAGGAAGAGCTTATGATCAGGCTCGGCGTTGAACGCTTCGATCTGCTCGGCGCGGTCTTCAGCCTTGACAGCTCCATCGATGCGGCAGACAGGCCAGCCACGTAGGGTCGTGGCCCATTCTTCGAGAATGTCGAGCTGTTTGGAGAATTGGGAGAAGAGGATAATCTTGTGGCCTTTGGCAAACAAGTAGGGAACCAGTCGGTCGAGCATGACCATTTTACCGGACTCGGTGACCAAGGTTTCGTCTGGGTCAGCGTCTGCTGCCCATGGCCAGGAGAAGTGATGAGGGCTGTTGCAGGCCAAGCGAAGCTGCATGACGGGATTCTGGAGCTTCTTCTGGCTGACTTCTTTCCTCGCTTGCGCGAGGGTCAAGTCCCGGTCACGCTTCTCTAGCTCTTCCTCGTCTAACTCTTCGCTTTCACTGCTCTGCTCAATTTGCTTGAAATACTCACTGTCGCTCACTTCAGCATAGTTCTGACGCCTACTACTGCGGCCGGATCTGATACTGCTCGCTGGTGTCGAGCCTCTCGATGACTTGGCGCTCTTGTTCGGCGTAGATGTTCCACTTCCGCTCTTGCGTTTCTTGCCCTTCATTTCACTGACTCTCGAGTCCTCGAGCTTCACACCAATCCTCTCAATGGCTTTCTCTTCGAGGTAAGCCCGGATGTCGTTGTCTTTGATTTTGCGGTACAGTTCTTTCTGAGCTGGAGTCATCGGTGCATACAGGATGTATTCCCGCTTCTTTGGCAGATTTGTCTCCACGTCGTTCTTCACTCTGCGCAGCAGGAATGGCTTGAGAATTGCATGGAGTGACGCCACGGTCCTTTTCTGCCGCTCTTTCGACATAAACTGCTTGTGCCCATCTTTGTCTTGCACGTCAGAGAAGTCAAACATGCTCTCGAAGTGTTCGAGATCGGAGAAAGCCTCCGGTAGGAGAAAGTTCAGTAGGGACCACAGCTCGGTCAGATTGTTCTGGAGAGGGGTTCCGGTCAGGATGAGCCGGCTTTCTGATGGGTATTGCTTGAGCTCTTTGACAAGCTTGCAATTGAAGTTTTTCAATCGATGGCCCTCATCCTGCTGATCATTAGCATCGAAAATAACACATCGAGCTAGATACCCACCACGACGATGAATTTCCAGGGATAATTCGCAAGAAATTTCTTATCCCGCATACAAATCTCATAACTCGTGCAAACAACGGGGAACCTCGCCCCCTTTGAATCACCCTTTAGCTGCTGCCGTCTTATCTGTCCTCGCCCTTGCGGTGTTCCATGATACATCACGACAGGAATATCCGGGGTCCAGAACCCAAACTCCTTGACCCAATTGTTCACTGTGCTCAATGGCCCCAATATCAAGAACGGCCCATTCGTCCCATTCTCCCGTAGAAAAGCCAGGAACGAGATAAGCTGGATCGTCTTCCCAAGACCCATTTCGTCAGCTAAGATCCCGTTCAGTCCGATCTGATAAAGGCATGTCAACCACGTCAGCCCCTCAAGCTGATAGTCCCTCATTTTCCCACCCGAGACCAGTTTCGGCTGCGCGGATGTCCCGACCTTCCTTGCCTCAAGAGCTTGCTTCAACTGATCCATCACCGTAGACGAGAACCCCTGACTCCGGCTCAGAAACCAATCCAGATCTTTCATATAGCTCGGATCCTGCCCGTCCTTCTGCCACCTCTCTTCCTCGACCGCTTTCCGCTCTCTCTCCTCGCGTTTGCTCTGCTTTCGCAATCTTTCTTCTTCCTCGCGCATCCTTTCGCCCTTGGGGTCGTAGGCATCGTCGGCGGCTGAGGGGGGCGAGGAGGGAGGACTGGATGCGGGGGAGGCGAGCTCGTCTGGGGAGCCGGGCGTCATTGGTGTGGAGCTCATAGCAGCGAGATAAGGCCTGGTCGTCCCCCTCGAGTCAAGAAGGGAGGGTTGAAGCGCTCACGAGGCTTGGAGGAGACCGTGGGATATGGCGGCACAGGGCGGCCAGAACGTGGGTCTGACTTGCAATGGTTTGCCCTCCGGTTTTTTCAGAGGAATCGAGCGAGTCGAGCTTTCTTTTACAGTTTCTAGTTGGGATGGTCAGGGGTAGACAACTTTAGAAAAGGCACTTGGGTGAGATTCGCCACCGGTGGAGACGGTATTTGTCTTCCTCTTTGTCTTGCAAACGCAAAGGCTAGACGTCCAACCCAAGGATAATAAACGGTAGAGAGAAAGCCAACGGATTGGGTTTACGCGGTAAGGGGGGGTAATTGTTTTGTTGTGTTTTTATTTTTGGTGTGTTGGTTGGGTTGAGGGGTTTTTTTTTTAAGTCCAACCCAAGGATAATAAACGGTAGAGAGAAAGCCAACGGATTGGGTATACAACGACGCGCAGTCAATAAAGCTCCGGAGAGTATTGGTACCTGACAGGAGAAACGGCCCAAAAATGATGATGTAAAAGCTGAGATCGACGCGACGCGATCTTTGATTGACTTTTACGTGTACGACCCAGATCTTTAGAGAAGGACGATCTATAAAAACACTGGACGACGGGCAAGAGAAGTGGCTGCAAGTTACGGAATCAAACGCTGTCAGTGTATAGACCCAGCTCAAACATTGTTTCCAGCCGCAACAAAATCTGCTTCTCGTTATCATAGGTCTGAAGATTTTTCGGGACTTTGTACTCGTACAGCTACAACGGCGATTTCTTTTAGCAGCACGACCAACGATGTGGGAAATGCAATATTGTAAAGGATAAAGCCACGTTTGTCTGGCCTCTCTAACTTTAATGTACAAAGTCGGGTTTAACGGAAGTGGGTATCGTGCATAAGCTCTCAGCTATTCTTTCAATCAATCGAGCATTGTTTATTCGTCAATTTCAAGCCCCTTTTGCCGGCATTCCCTAAACCTGTTACCGCTGCGTGGTTCTCTGCCACCACCTAATCAGTGACTGCTGTCGATCCTGTGGAACTTTCTTGTCCAATACATTGGCAGATCGTGCACGGCCACCCGCCTGACAACAGGACCTTAGGGATTTCAAGGCCTGCTCAAGTCGCACTCTTTTTCCGTTTCTTCTTGTTGACCGAGTCTCCATTTTTCATAACGCCACCAGTTTCTTGCGGAGCTGATGCCCCTACATTGGGATTTCCGTTGCTTTGGCGATTTTGGTCCCTTCGCGCCGGAGGCAGGCCTTGAGGCGCCCGAGAGTGTGAACCTACAGACGAAGAGTGCTCCTCTTGCGGGGTGGGAAGAACTGATGATGCACCACGTGCTTTTAGGAGTTCATTGTTGAATGCTCGTAGATCTGAACCTGTCAAGGTGTTGCGTTGTACTGGTAATGCTGGTAGGGTAGGTGGTGGTATGCGCGATGTGCTTTGGTATCTGGCACGCAGATCACCACTTTGACTTCCGGGTACGACTCGATAGGACTGTATGGGGACCTTGGACAGCGGTGCTGCAGGAGAGTGCTGTGCGATCAGAGCGTGGACAAGAGTGGGTCGATGTCCGGGCAGCAATGCTTGAGTGCGTTGTTGTACAGGTTCGAGACGAGCATCAGGTGGATTCGAGGCTCTTTGAGAAGGAGTGACCAGAGTCGGCCGCCTTGAAAAAGGCACCTTTGAAGCACTGGGTGAATTTTGAGCAGCGGTGCTTGAAAGGCTCGCCTTAGGCTTGCTCTGCACAGGTCCAGGTTTTGTGCCGCTTGCAGCGTCCGAGATGGACGGCACATCCCAATTACTGTCAGCTAATTCAGGATCGAACCCACAGTATCTGAGATACGCTCTGGCTTTCTTCAACTCCATGAGGGTTGTTCGAAGATGGTCATCCTCGTTGATAGTCCCGTAAAGGTTTTCCTCCACCATCTGATGGAATGCCGATTGTGACAAGTGCCTACCCTGTAGGAGGATGTCCTGTGTCTGCTTCTGTAGACTTTGTTGATTCGCCTCCTCTCCAGCTACTCGGTTTTGGCGTTGAATCAGAAGCTCGACCAGCTCTGTTTTCTGAGAGAGACTGAGTCGTAGCTGATGCATGACTTGTGCTGGATCTGGGTAGAGCTCTGCGATGGCATCTGCAAGGTCCAGCTTGTGTGCGACTGTAAGACTGTTCCAAGCAGGGAAGTCTGGAATGCTGGCGGTCCTGGCGAGTTTTGTGGATCTGACAGCTGCATTTTCCTCGTCACTCGATTCCATTTCCAAGATATTTCTGTCTAAGTCGCTCATTCTGCCAGCTTCCTTCATACGCGCCATGTTGCTTACCCATATCGGGTTCCTTGGTCCGTTGTCGGTAGGCTCTCCGTAGATGCTCGAGGACAAGCTGGCTCGAGGCTGTTTCTGTACCGTACTCGATGTAGGCAACACATTTTGGGACCCCCGATGCCTGGATTCTGCTGTAGTCGATGTCATGGTTGGATGATCTGCTGTGAGATCGATCTGTTCGCGGTGGCGACCCCGGCCGATGAAATTTGGATTAATTGCCTCAGAACCCGCTAGCCTGGGTTTTTGGCTCTGCGACCCCGACAAATGTGACTCAAGGTCGAAAGCAGTGTTTCCTCCGTTGTGCACATAATCGGAATGATCGAGCGTGGGAAAGGCAGCAGGTGGGAGATTGGGGTTAAATTCTGTCACTTCTCCACGATATGCGCGTGCTTTGGATTTTGGCTTTCTTGGTTTTGGTGATTCGTAAATTTCTTGCTCAAGTTCAGAACTTTCCTTTGATTCTTCATGTGGCTCTTGGCGGGGAGGAGAAGAAGTAGAGATATCCTCATCCTCAAATCTCCTAGGGGTCTTGATTCTCTTTCGATTGCGAAGATTATGTTTTCTTGGCGACATCTCGAGGATTATGATAGCACTATGTCCCTTTCATGCTATGGAGAGAAGGCAGAGCAGGCAAATTGCGTGAGGATGAAGTCGAGGAAGAAGTATGGCGTGCTCTCATGCCAGAGCAGATGAGGATGTTGAGGTGATGTGAAAGCAGTGTCATGGGAGTGTTGATAGGAAGGAGCGATTCCTAAGTGTCATCATATTGAGCGAGTCGTGTTCAATCTGCTGGATAATTGTGCAGGCACGACTCACGCAAGAAGTCTCGGCATCACAAGGGATACCTACTTTAAGGTGGCAAAGGAAGAATGTTCTTGATCAATCTTCCGCTATACCTGGCTTGACGCAATATGAAAAGCCTGCTAATCTTTTGGCAAGCTTGACGAAGAAGAAAGCTGATGGGCACTCACTTCGCTGCCGAGGACAGCTAAAGGAACACCATTGAATCATCTATGCAAGGGTATCACAATTCCACGCTGGATCTTATCACGATATAAACCCTCAGGAGATTGGTCTGTCCTGGAATGGAGCAGAGCCATCCCTCATCTCAAACCTGCCATAGTCCAGGTGTACATTTCCCCCATCCATCTCCATATCATCATCGTGAGTATCATCAAACGTTCTCTTCGACCCTTTTCTGGCCCCAGTATCACTTCCTACGCTGGTGCCTGGATCTCTAACCCCTCCAGGCACACCGAGCAATCGATTGTCCGCCTGCACGACATCCCGTTTTGCCTTCAGGATGATCTCGTATGTCGAAAGGAGGTTTCTCAGTGAGTCGTCAAACGCGACAGCGAATCGTTGAGCCTGAACGATCTGGATCGCTTTGATCAAGTCTGTAGCGTACATGGCCATGATGTATGCCGTCACAAGTGTGGCTGAGCGCTCATTCCCACTCTCGCAGAATACCAAGACCCTCCCAGGTGTGGATTGAAGGTGATCATGTCCGGTAGCCGCTGTTTGTGTGCGTCTGAACTGATCTTGCTGGTACATTGCCGATAGATGTGAATTGATGGCTTCGATTGCCCTTGGGAAGGCTGCAATCAACTCTTGATTTCCAGCCACGTCGATCATCTTTGTATCAATCCCAAGCTCTTGCGCCGCTTTTGATCCGAGGAGCTGTGCTTGGGCGGACATGGTGTTGCGTACTGCTATGACCATGGAGATGCCTTCTCTTTGTAGGAATCTCCGATCTTTCGCCGCTGACATGGGTCCGAGATAGAGAAATGGTAAAATCTGCTGAGCCATCCTCCGTTGTTCGTACTTCCAATCCAGCATGTCTAGTAGTATGTCAGCCCGAGGTCCGGAAGCATGGGCAGTAAACACTCACTGTTGATGGTCATGAAGTTGCCGTACGTGACCGTTTGAAGGAATTCTGCATTTTTGAAGCCGCTTGACTCAAAGTCATAGGATGCATCTTGAACAACATGAAGATCTGGTACGCCGTAGGAGTTCAAAGCAGGAGGTGGAACGATGATTCGAGGTGGTGATGGTACTCGAAAGCTCCAGTTTTGTGCTGGAGCGTGAGGTGCCGCCACGTCGGCCGGCAATGCAGGCATGTTGAGAGATGCGGTATCGATGTGAGTTGGTTTGCCAAGTGAGGTAGGAGTGACAGTTTGAGTCTTATGCAGATGTGAGGCGCGAATGGAGAAGCACCAGGAACAAACCACGCCCCAAGTCCGCTAGCTGATGGTGCAAATGTTGCGATGAGTGAACGAAGTTGAGGTGTGATACATTACGAAGGCGATATCCTTGCTCCCCGGGACTGTTTTTAGGATGGGGTGTAAGTGTCAATGGAAAGTGACGGTATTGGTGTTGCAGCCTTTGCTGCGTGTGATGTTGCCATGAAGCAACTTCCGCTTATCAAAGATCTCGCACAATATTGCAATCGATTCACTGATTATTGGACTCCAAGCTTTGTTCGTATGATTGATATTGCTCAGAAGTTCGATGACACCAGCCGCGCCGAGGTGGACGGTTGCATAAATGACATAAGTTATGCAAGGTACTCGCATTCCAGGTTAATGCTCCCACGCTAAAATGCCTAGTGCCGCCAAAAAGTTCCCCGCAGAAGGAAAGTGCGTTAGTGAACAACCATGCTCAAGGACCAAGCTCATGGAGTTTGACGAGAGGCAACAAGTAAAGGGAGGTGATCCATAGATTCCACAAATACCACGTCGTCTTATCAGACACGATGTCTCGAAAGATCAATACCCGGAGTGCGATCACGCTGCCGAGTATCGCTGGCATTATACACCCATAGACGCCAAGCTCCCAGAATGCCGGACAAGCCAATGACCAGAACATGACCGGCACGGCAATGGTCCATCGTGCGGTCCAGTCACCTAGCACCAGGGGCAGGGTCCCTCTATTCCTTGCTCGGTCTCCTTCTTGGTCTGCCTGGGATGTCAGTCAGTACATTTGATCTATCAACAACCATCGTTCTTGTAGAGGACTTACCATATCCTGCATCTGCAGGGTGCTGAAGACTATTCCCCCAATTATGGCCAGCCATTGGTAGGCCTTTTCATTCAAAGAGAATTGGCCGTGACCGCATGCTACCCGTGTGGCTCCGGCGCTGTAGCAGATAAAGCCTGCTGCGTTGATAAGGTTCCGGACCACAAAGTTCTCATCGGCGCCACCAAGATCATTGTACATGTATACAAGCGTGTTCATGACGATGAATTCCTCCATGCCACCTGTATAGAAGGTAATGATGGTGGCGATAGGAAGGACGGCGAGGAGCAGACGTCTAGCTTGGCATGCAGATAGTCTTCCGGACGGGATTGGACGCCATGCTTTGTTGATAGAGTCTTCAATGATGGAGTTTGGCAGACGCTGGTTCGCCAAATCGAAGATGAGTACGTTGATCCAGGTCCAAAGGACTACGAGCGGTACCCGTTTGAGGACACTGGTAGCGTCTGGTGAGTCGTTTGAGGTGATAATCGGTCCGGAAAGAGCGCTGCAGACGCCAAACGCTGTCTCCGGAATCACGATTGACTTGAGATCGTTGCGTGTGACGAGCCATATTGTATGGAAATCGTATAGGATCGAGTGGATTTGACTTTGGTCTTCCTGCTGCTTGTCGTGAGGCTTCATTCTGTCCGTTGCTTGCTCTGTCGGACGTTGAGATGAGGAGAATTTGTGAGTGTGATGTTCACAAGAGACGATGAAATCTATGTCGATTACCGTCGGGTCCTCTGTGACCACAGGAAGAAGGGGAGAGTCTTTCTGGGGAAGATCGGCCACGGTCATATCTACCCTGATTGGAAATGTCTCCATTTGATTTATTTTTTCTTGGGCTATTGCACGTGCTCATTAGGTTGTGATAACCAGTCTATGTATACTTCTCAGAGATCGAAGAATTCAAGCGAGCGAAGGATTGACGCCAAACATCGCAGCGTCGGTCCAATATTCCTGGGCAAGAGTGAGGTCAATACGCTTGCCTTTACACTTTAGGCCTAGTAGTATGGCTGCTCGAGGGGCGGGAAGCAGGATGGACTCCCACAATGCATGTAGCAATGGTGCCGGGGAGGCAGCCGGGATACCAGCCAGATAGCGGTGGGGGTCATCCAGCCAGCTGGTAAACTCTTTTTTCCCTTCTGCATCTTTTCTTTCCTCCACTTACGAAGTGTTGCGCTAGTTGACGTGGCAGGCATCTTTTGGAGCGGATACCAAAGCCAGGGGCCCGGAAACCGTATTCCCGGAGGCGGGAATTATGTTACCTTCAACGGCTCGCTACTCTGCATCATCGGCACATGTTGGTGAGGTTGATCGTTGGTCTAGAAAGGCGCGAGAAGTTACCATTTACCAAATACTCGGATTTCATCATCTGACAATCTCAATAGGCGATCTCGCTTGTTTAGCGCTGCGACCAATCTACTTACGAGTAGGACTCAGGCCCACACCAATGCGAATGCTTCATTACTGATCGCTAATATCTCAAGTTGTAATAAATTCTTTCTGGTCAGCTTCGAGTCAAACAAATCAATTGTACTGATGGCAGGACAACGAAGAGACCGATGTTTTTGTTTTTGTTTTCGATTTTTCGAAAGAGGGGCCAACATGCAGGGTTGGATCATACCTGCTTTAGCTGCATGTATGAACGACTATGAAGCAAACTAAAAAAAAAGATTTGCATCTTCGTCAACAATGTAACGCAACCGGCGCCAATGACTATCTGGCATTCTGGCAATCAATACTTTGACGCCTACTCTCACCATTGCCACGTATCTAGCTCTCTGCTATTATTTTCCTGGCTGCCTAACCCTGCACGACGTCGTCTTTGCTGCTCGTACTGTTGTCGTACTCGGTGAGACGACTACTTCCCCTGGGCGCCTAATGATAGGATACCCTACCTAAACCTTTTCTATAAGCCGACCATCGCCTTCCATCCTTCTCAACCCCCAAGCAAGTAATGCATCACTACTGCTCAACCTCGTACGGCATTGCCGCCAGCGTAGGTGTACTCTCACACGTCTTCTACTTTGTCCGAGGTGAACATCATCAGCATACTCTACAGTGCCTTCAGATCCTTTTCTATGGCTTCCTTCCCTTATCCTTCATCCTCGCCCGACTCCTGCAGATACATTATGCCCAAGCCGTGCAGTTGGGCGCTATGGTTATCGTGTCCTATCTTTCTGCACTGTGGACGAGCATGCTGATCTACCGATCTTTCTTCCATCGCCTCAATTCCTTTCCGGGACCTCGACTAGCAAAGCTTTCGAAGTTTTATCAATTTTTCACGGGTTTGAGGTTGGATGCATTTCGCAGATCGCATCAAGCACATCAGAAGTATGGCAACTTCGTGAGGACTGGTAAGTTGATCTAGGATCTGAGTTTCTTAGTGATCCGTTGTTTCTCCTTGGAGGTTTGTATTTTCCTTGTAGTTTCTTTGGCCCCAAGAGGTTGACACAGATCTCGCCACTGTATCATTGTTTTGTACTATTGCTCTCTACAGCAAGGCTGGGGGCAATCGTCAAAAGAGCCCTCCTTGTCCAAGACCTTTGTGTGCTCGGGGCTCGGTCCGAAGGTCGTCGAGCTTCAGGCCATTCTCAAGACATCCCGCACTTCCGTTGCCCCGATTTAATCCACGTGCAAGAAGATAACCTATTCTTCTCAAAAGAGCCGTTTGACCTGACCAAAATTGTCACTTAGGACCCAACGAGCTTTCGGTCATCTCCCCGGGTGCGCCCGTTGCTATCCTGGGACCTCGATCACCGTGCATAAGGTCGCCCTGGTATGACTACGCTCTCTATCAGTCCATCGAATCCCTTCACAGCACCCGAGATGTTGAAGCGCATGAGGCGCGAAGAAGAGTCTGGGACCATGGATTTAGCGTCAAAGGTACCATCTCCTCCTTCTCGGCCTGTGTCTGGTATTGACGTCCATCCCAGCGCTACGAGACTACGAGGGTCGCGTCACGAACTACACCCATGAGCTGATTGAGAAGATTTCGAATTTCGGCGGCAACACGATGAACGCGTCAGCATGGTTCAACTACTGGTCCTTCGACGTCATGGGCGATTTCGCCTTCGGGAAAAGCTTCAACATGCTCAAGACTGGGAAGAATCACTTTGCCATCGACTGGTTGGAAAGCTCCATGTTCCTTCTCGGCCTTTTCTCACCAATCCCTTGGGCGGTACCCGTGGGTGCGATCGCGCCGGTTGTGGGAACGTGTTTCAGGCGATTCATCCGCTGGTGCAATGAACAGGTCGACGAGCGCCGGGATGTCAAGACTACTGTGCCCGACATCACGTCTTGGCTGCTCAAGACCGCTCAAGACAAGAATGACATCGAAGCCACCAAATGGTTGCATGGAGACTCTCGATTGCTCATCGTGGCCGGCAGTGACACCGTTGCCATCGTGCTCACGCACATCTTCTACTACCTCGCCAGAGACCCCACGCACGTCCGGAAACTGCGCCAAGAACTGGACCCCCTGATGCGATCAGACGAGCCCTTCAACGTCCGAATGGTGCAGAACGCGAAGCACCTGAACGGCGTCATCAACGAGGCCTTGAGACTGCATCCGCCAACCCCTTCCGGAGGATTCCGCACCACGCCACCCCAAGGCATTACGGTAGATGGGGTCTTCATCCCGGGCGGAGTCAATCTCAATGTGCCAATCTACGCCCTGGGGCGCTGTGAGTACCGTCACCTCGGGGCTGTTGCTTGGTCCGTGGCTGACGTCTTGTTAGCGAGAGAGTGCTTCGTCCGCCCCGACGACTTCGTGCCCGAGAGGTGGTACTCGGAGCCTGAGCTCATCCTCAATAGAAGTGGCTTTGCTCCTTTTTCGCTCGGTGAGTTGCTGCAGCCCTACGAACCGCGCGCCTTCAAGCAAGCTATCAGAAATATTTGCGCTCTAGGGCGGTGACATTTTTGTTTTGCGCCCAACTGTGAACTCATGCCCAGAAAGATTGTCTTTCACTAGCCATCTGTCACCCCCACTTTTTTTCCCTTCCTTTCTTTGGCTTGCCTACCTCCAGACCCAGTCTCCACAATCCTGCCACTGACCCAGACTCTCACCAGGCCCATACGGCTGCATCGGCAAAGAACTAGCCAAGATGGAAATGAGGACCGTGGTCCCGCTCCTCATCTCCCGCTTCGACGTCAGGCTCGCCCCCGGAGAGGACGGGAGCGGCTTGCTGGAGAAGAGTCGAGACGCATTCACGCTGCGGATGGAGGAGTTGAGGGTGGTCTTTGACGAACGAAAGAGGGGCTGAAGAGGCCTGCTCGTGTGCGATGTGCATGAGGGTGGAGCCCGTCAAGGGACGCCGGGTTTTGCATCGGAGGAGCGAGCGTGCTTGGATTTTAGAGTATGCTGATGCGAACTTTATCCACCCAAAGGGCTCTGTCGTTTTTCGTTTCTGTGGAGCCGAATGTGCCATGTCAACACGGGCGAGGCGTGTGGAATCCTCAACATCCTATGATATACTTCAGCGTGAAAGGCTATATAGGAAACGAGGTCGATTGCCCAAATTATATGCCCGTTGTCAAACTTGCACGAGCACAACTCCTCTCAACCGTACTCTACGGGCTCAATCTCAAGATGGATACTCCATGTGACTCCCCTCGAGCATCAACCATCATACAACATTCTTTACCTCCCAACCCAGGATTTTCTCTATTCGTCCAGAAATGCTCGGGCCGAGGAATCGCTGCGGGATGATGAACTCGACAACCGAGTTTTCGTCCCGGCTTCGACGTTGTTAGAGCGAAAGGCACCATGCTGTGATTCCGGCTTGGTCGTCTGGGAGTATGATCATTTGTGAGCGCTCAAGCCTTTTGAGGGGGAAAATTACAGGTCGGATGCTAAAGATATACGCTTCATACTCGATCCAAATGATTCGAGATATTCCGACTTCGTCATGCCTGGTAACTGTTCGAAGTTTTCCGGCAGTACACATGTACTTTACGGTGTAAAGAAATTGCCTGGGGGGGAGAAAAAGGTGTTTCCTCGCACATATTCGCTCGCACTGTTGTTAATACCCAGATCGGATTGCTCCTTTTCGTTGAACACATGTCGTTTGTTATTGAATATATGAATCATTGTTGACGTGCTTTACCTATATCATAAGACCTCTTATGAGTTTACTCACTATCATACAAGCTCCACCCTCTTTTCTGGCCAGAAAAACCACGCCATGGTAATCAGGACCTTGATGCCCCCTGCTATCCAAAGGTCGAACTGCATCCTCCCGGTCGCCTGACCAATGTAGCCACCCACGATGGCCCCAACCAAGATGCAAGTGAAAGCAAGGGCCCGCCTGTTCCTCTTAACATTGCTCGTCAATGGCGCTGCGATATTTGGATCGGAGGCTATGTCGCAAAGCATAGATGTGAGGACCACACTTGGGATCTCAGACACGCCCAACGCTCTGCTGCCGATGATCTGACCTGCGGCCTGAAAACTCAGCAGTGAAATCGGTACCTCGTCCTTCCACATGATATCCGTATTGATGGTATCCAGCGCCCCGTTTACCACACCCGCTTGTATGATCGCCGCCACAACCATGATAATCACCGACTGCAGCGCGAACGACGCGACGAGCGTGACGCGCCGCAGTGGACCGGAATACCGAGCGAGGCGCGAGAAGAACAAGCAGCCGAGGCAGAAACAGACGATGGACGTCAAGGACTTGGCCCAGCCGTATGGCTTCGAGGTTGTCCTAGAGGTGGACGGGCCGAGGCCTACGAAGATTGTATTTCCAGTTTGCATGCTGACAAACGTGCCGTAGGCGTTGTAGATTGTGCTATCGACAAGGCCGGAGATGAAGGAGCAGGTCAGCATAATGAGGTCTGCGTGGTCGGTGTTGACCTCTTGTCGGAGGTGGGAGCGTAGTCGGTCGGACGCCGGGGGTCTCTTCTGTCGTAGTCTGCCCTCTTCGGTTGATACACTCTCGTCCGACCGCTGATCGGGAGAGCCATTGGATTGGGGATGGCTTTCGGGCATCGTCATGTTCGGCCGCTGGGGGGATGTTGAAAATGAAGGGGAGGGTTGGTGAGTATGTCAATCGAACTTCTGTGGGAAGGGGATCGATTAAGGTCTGCAAAGTCTTATCACGCAAAGACTTCGCCAAGTGCTGCGATGAACAGCTCGGTCTTGACCGGATTGCTCCGCGGGAAAGGTCGACATGATACTCGTAGTGGTCCTGGCTCTCTCATTCAAATAACGTGATGTCATTCGCGTAAGGCAATTGAAATCGCTTGGCTCAACAAGCAATTACTCGTATATACCCGGAAGTGCCCGATACCTGGTAATGCCCGGTCTTAAATCCGACAACTCCGGGGGTGAGTTTTAGGGGATATCCTCCCGAAAACTTACCCCGGGCTTACCGCGGCATAGGGCTTACAGAATTCAGATAGATTTTATTATTAATTTTTTGGTTTTTTTATATTACTATTGTAAAAGGATGAATTACTGAAGTGGATTTTAGACCGTGCATTACTAGGTATCGGGCACTTCCGGGTATATACGAGTATAACGTTGAACAAGTCTGAATCGATCTGGTTGTTGGAAATACGAATGATTCGTCCAGAAGTCGATATCAGGCCGATATACTGGAGGACGGGAGGCGCGCAGCGAATTGGGTGGGAGACCTCTTAGCTCTGGGCAAGTCCAGGTTCATAGCCAGCACCACGTACGGGTGGGTCTCTGACGCTGGCCTACTTCCCCCCAGAAAAAGTTTCTCTATTTTTTTCATATTCTTCCCCCCCCCTTTTTGCTTTCAATGCGAACAATGGACATCCCAACATACGATTCTCGCTTACGTTACCGATCGAGTACAGGCGAGGAGATGATTATTGTACGAAAAGAAAGGTCTTGCGTAGTACCGAAGAATCAGCCGACAAATCAGCAACCTCTAGGTCTTTGCCCGTCCGGTAGACAATGAAGGCCGGACGAACAGATAGGCTCCGCAAAGACAGTTCCAAAATCCGTATTTCCCCATCCTCCATACGTCAGTCCATTCCCAGTGGTATTCGTGCAGTCCTTTATGCCCCCATGCAACTCTGTGCCGTTGCCAATTTCGGCTCGCTCAAGCAGAGAGATGCATAGATTGGAGTTGAGGAGATACGGCTCTCGGTTCGAAGTACGAGCGACGCGGAAATTGGCCCATATGGACACGAAGTTTTTCCAGTTGTCTTGGTAGATCTGCGCGCTGTAGTCGAAGCCTGGCCAACTCGGGCCCACTGCAATCGCTTTCGTGGGGGAGGCATCCGATGTCTGCAAATTGAGAGCGCAGGAATCCGTTACGGCGCGGTTCATTACGTCGTGTGAACATGGTTATGCAACCGATGACGTCCGGTTGGGTGTGGCGGCCATCCGCCAAGGTGTAGGATATCCAGTAAATAGAGGAGCGCGAGGACTGGGAGGTAACTTACGCGTTGAGAAAAATTGAGAGATTGAGTGAACAAGTGAGGGAGCAGTGCATATACAGCGGAGAAATTTAAAGGGATTGAGTCGAAAAGGAAGACCAAGTGAAGAGAGCGGTGCAGATGCCATGGTTTTACTGAAAAAGAGGCACCTACCAACACCTAAGGCTTTTGTAATAAGAGAAGATGTTTACCAGAGAAAAACTCATTAACATAATCGAAGTACATATATGGCTTGCAAGAATTGTTGGAAGAGGTGTGGCGCAATGCGCATGATGGTTGATGGTTGGATTTTGGCACTGGAAGGAATGCTTTTAAACCTCAGCCAATCTAAAGTATAGCGTATGTAAAAATACACTTAGTAGGACCAAGTATCCAAAGAGGAGATTCTACATTCCCGTGAGTTGGTAACCGTCCAGGCGCGGGACGGTTACCATTCGCTGAGTCAGCCACTCCGAAGTAGAATAGCGTCCGCGCTTATATTATAACTGCGAAATTTTCGCGTAAGATTTAAATAACTTATAAATATTAAATATTAAATATTTAATAATACTTTATAAAGATCTCGAAAATTTCGAAGTATTTTTAAGATTATTTTAAGTTAATTATAGAACTATCGCGAAAATTTCGAATTATCTTTTAAAGTCTCGAAAATTTCGAGTTAATAATATAATTATCGGAAAATTTCGAATTATCTTTTAAAGTCTCGAAATTTTCGAAATTTTTAAATTAATAATAGTATTTTTAAAATTATTTTAAGTTAATTATAGAATTATCGCGAAAATTTCGAATTATCTTTTAAAGTCTCGAAATTTTGAGTTAATAATAATGAATTATCGCGAAAATTTCGAATTATCTTTTAGAGTCTCGAAATTTTCGAAATTTTTAAATTAATAATAGTATTTTTAAATTATTTTAAGTTAATTATAGAATTATCGCGAAAATTTAATTATCTTTTAAAGTCTGAAATTTCGAGTTAATAATAATAGAATTTCGCGAAAATTTCGAATTTCTTTTAAAGTCTCGAAATTTTCGAAATTTTAAATTAATAATAGTATTTTTAAAATTATTTTAAGTTAATTATAGAATTATCGCGAAATTTCGAATTATCTCTTAAGTCTTAAAATTTTCGAAATTTTTAAATTAATAATAGAATTATTACGAAAATTTCGAATTAATAATAATAGAATTATTTCGAAAATTTTAAGATAATTATAAAGTTATAACGAAGATTTTAAAATATTTTATTTAATGAGTTTTTATAGAAAAATCTCGAATTTTTCGAATTATTTATAAATTTATTATAAGAAAATTATATATAATAAAAATATAATAAATAAATAAGTTATTAAATTTATTTAAAAAAATAACGTTTATAATATTTATAAATTATAGATATTTTTAAAAATATAATATTTTATATAATAGATTATAATAGTTTATATAATAAAGAAAAAGCTTTAAAATATAAAATAAAAATAAAAAAGTAGATTTAATTTTATAGTATCTTTATATATATTAAGAAATAAGAAAATAATAAATAAATAAAAATAAAAAATAAATAAAAATAAGTAAGTATATTAATAAAGAAAAGAATTATTATTTTATATATATATAAATATATAAAATAGTTATTAATATTTACTTCTAGAGAATTTAGATTTTTTTATCTCGAAATTATCGTTCGAAATTATCGTTTCGAAATTATCTTTTAAAATTATCGTTCGAAATTATCGTTCAATTATGTTCGAATTTATTATTTCGAAATTATCGTTTAATTATTATTCGAAATTATCGTTCGAAATTATCGAAATTATAGTTACGATAATTTCGAATAGAAAAATCGAAAATTTCGAGTCGCTTAAAATTTTTGCCAAGGGTAACCGTCCGGGACGGTTACCAGACCACTTTGAATTTGAGTTTATCGTATTCACCAGCCAAATTTGTATGTGTGGAGAATATATTCAATATGAGTTGGTAACCGTCCCCTTGATGGTGGTAACCGTCTCAAACTCGAATTTTCGCTGTAATAAATATTCTCGAAAATTCGCGGCGCTTCGCGTTTTTATAAATTGTTAGTAGTCTTGGTGGTCTATTTAGGTCAATAGGGGTGTCTGGCTTCGGGGCTTGAGACGAGCTCCTTAGGGGGGCGCCCCTAGGCTATGATATTTTCTATTTAAGCGAAATATGAATTTCATATTTGATGATGGGGGTGGGCTTGGTGGGCTTGGGGGTCACCGTCCGCCGCGCCTGACGGTTACCCCCGTGGATTCCTCCTACGGGTGAAAAGGGAGCTAATGGTTATATCTGTATTAACAGTTAGCGTTGGCTGAGGCTGAAAAGCGCCGCCGCCGTTAGGTTGTCGCTAGGATGAAGCTAAAGACGATTCGCGTCTAGGCCTGGCCGATGACATCGTTGAAGCTCTCATGGCATGTCATGAAAACAAGGCATGGGGGGGTTTTCCCTTTTATGTCTTATTCGCCAGAGGGGTCGTCGTCCCTGCTTCTCCGACCCTGATTGCGAATGCCTACTGCCTCTCTATGCTGGCCCGTGAACGGCTAAGACCTGCCCCAACGAAGTCCACTTGCCTTTGTGATCAGTGACCTACGGATCCTCCTACGCCACAATGGAAGACTTCATCGAGCGCGTGGGCCAGTCCTACCTTGAGCGAAAAGCCTTCGCGGCGCCACAACAGCTGGAGAACTTCGCAAAAAAGCAGTTCACCGGTGGGGACGAAAAAGAGGCTGAGGCCAAGAAGTCCACGGGGAAGAAGGCCACCGAAGAAGAGGAAGAGGGGGAGGACGAAGAGGAGCGGACGACGAATAAGAAGGGTATCGGAAAACGGGCAGGCCAGACCTCGTCAGGCTCCTTACAAAAAGACAAAGAGATTGCAAGGTTGAAGAAACAGCTTGCGCAATCGAAGCTCGAGAATGCCAAAGCGCCTCATGAAAAGAGCGCGTCCGGACTGAAGAAGTTGGGCGTAAGTAGGGCGTCGAATGGGCAGAAAGCTTTTACGAGTAAGGCGGCCGGGGGAAATAAAGAGAGCACGAAATCGGCGGCGCTGGGGGCAGTGGCAGCGGTAGGTGGGAGGCATGAGGAGAAGAAAAGCAAGAGCGGCGAGAAAGAGGCGAGGGGCAGTACACTGGCGAAAGAGGCACACATCGTAGAGGCATCACCCACAAAGCGGAGGACGTCGGCGAGTCAGTACCATGGGCATGACGGTGGAGGCAAAAGTGAGCATGGGGCCGGGTCAAAGAGTGAACATGGCGGTCATGCAAAGAGCACTACTCCGCATGCAGCTGCAGCATCAGATAGCAAGCGAAGACCGTCAGCCGCTTCCCAGAGCGAGCATGGAAGCACGGCCAAGAGAATTGCACCCGCTCCTGTGCACAAGCACCCCCCAGCACATGCAGAGAGGTTGGGAGGAGCAAGAGCAGTAGTGGAGTCGCGGCGGCCAAAAAGACGAGAAGAGCGAGAGCGAGATCTTTACGCCGTTGAGGTGGTGGAAGAGCTGCCGAGGGGAACAAGAAAAGATGCTGGTGGAGTGGTGGAGGTTGAAAGCTCCAAAGGGAAAACGCTGTACAGAGTAGGATGAGGTTGCTTGGAATTTGTTTCGTCTGATACCACTGGACGAGACGGCGTCTTGATTGAGCTTTCGAAACTGTAAGATCGGCCGTTGCCAAGGATTGGAATATATGTACAGAGATCGACGACTGGTCAAAAACAGGACCAGTGCCTGAGATTTGTGCTGGGAGGAACAGGCTCATCCCCAAGATAGCTAGCATGTTCATTCCCAAAGTCCGTCCACCAGTCCTCAACCATGGGCTTGCTTCCCTAAGAACACGGCGAGCTGCAGGTCCGTGATGGCTTCCAAATCCATGAACGATTGGCTTGATCCCCCAAATTCCAGCCGAGTCGCACACTCCTCCAGCCTTGAAAGATTTCGAATAGAATATGGAAAAGAAAATTAGAATTCAGTATCGGAGGATAGTAGAACTACATTCATCACATACAATCTATACGCCGCTCGGCTCAGTCATGGTGGAGGTGTACCATCTCAATTCTAGAGGGGGGTATGCCGTAATGAGCTTGCGATATGATTGCCCACGAGGAAGGAGTGTAGCTGGTGGTGAGTGATACTCCATCTCAATCTCTCCAGACTCCATACGGTAAGTACTTACACATGGGAGCGTTTCATCCCATCCGGGAATCTAGCCCAGAAGGTACCGAGATTGCGATCAGCCCGCCGCGCGACTTACTCGTCAAGGGCCCCTTGTGATTCTCCCACGAGACGGCGTCGTAGTGCGGTGGATTTGGACGTAAAGTGTAAAGTAGGTCATTAGTGTGAATAAAGGATTGAGGAGTGGAAAGTGGAAAGCCGTTTGCAAAAGTGAGTAAGCGCCAGCGATATTCTAGGGTGACTGACTGGTTGACGGTACTTTGCTTAGTGTAGAGGTATGAAGACCCAATCGGCTGGAGACGAGATGATTGCCGAGATTTGAGGCTCAAACTCAATATGCTAGCGTATGTCCCTTGCACTAGGTACCTTACCTTACCTACAGGCTACTGCAGCCTGCAGAAAAAATCCAACCTTTTCCTCACTTCGTCTCTTCGAGGTTCTACCTAGTCATCTCCGTTCAGCAGGAATGTGATCGAGGCATTTGTCCTGTCGGTAGATATAGCATGGACACCTGCAATCTGCCGTCTCTGCGAGTTATATCAGATTTCTGCATGGACGTTACAGTTGCCTCGCTTACGGTTACGACATTGGTGAAAGGGATGAAACCTGCCTTATTTCTTCTCCTTCTACTTAGCCCATGTGAAAGCAAAGAAGATGATTGGGAATCGCCTGGTCAAACCGCTTGTTCTTTACACTTTTGATGACATTTTGCTCTTCATACCTGTCAACCAGTCATCGGTCTCCCCGTCCTTACCCACTCATGGCGTTCTTCAGCTTTGCGGCTCAGCTCGCCAAGCACGTCAGCAATATAGTAAGATGCAAGATTACTCAGGCGTCTAGCCACTGCAATAATATAATGCTACCCTCCACACAATTGACCACGTCGTCGACACTTACTCGGTCGTGTGCGAGGAATATAAATCCTTGTCCAGTGTGTTGCTCTCATTGTTGCGACTCTTGATGGCCATGGCATCAGAGTACTTACACTCTTTTTACCAATATTCATGTTAATGATCTTCAAACTCAGTATGCGCATCCGCGCCGCTTCTCGACTTTATCTCGCACTCTCACTCGCTCTAACATCGAATGCCCGGCCCTGTACGTTGGACTCCCTTCTCAGTCTCCAAGTGGCCTGAATCCAGCCATCGTGCCTGTTTGTCAAGTTAGAGGCATGCAGGAAGGATGCACTTCAATTGGCGCTGTGAAATTTGCCCCCAACTGGTTTACCAGACGCTGACTTCGCGCTCAATTGTACATAGCATCTTTAAGTTCTTCGATACCCCAAATTCCCTTGGTAACCAAAAGCAGCTCGCTCGCTGCTACTTCTGCGCCTCATTATTCGTCCACATCTACAGCCTCTATCACATACTTATCAGATTGGCATAGCATCTCGTCTGGATCCTCTGTGAGCTCGTCCGATGGGCCTGGCAGCTCATTGGGATGGCTCCAAAGCTCCGCCAGTAGCCCTAGTGGCTCATCACTATCTTTGAGTGCAAAAGGCTTGACGACCGCCCCCTCCGCTTCCATCTCCTCTGCCTCCCCAGCTGTCTCTTCGTCTTCCGCCTCCTTCCCGCAGTGGTCTCCACCGGAGGTTCATGCCGCTTTCAACGGATCTTCGAATTCGTCTGGGTTCCCAAAGTTCAATGTCGATCAGAAAGAGAAGAACGTGCCTGGAATCACCGCTTCAGCGTCGTATTCAGCCTCTGGGGCCTTCAATTCCGCAATTCCCGCTTCCATTACGTCCATGAGAAACCCGTTCAACGTCACTAAACCGTTAAATCAAACGAACGTCTGTGGTGGACCCGTCTCTATTGCCTCGAGTCTGATCACATCAGGGCTGTTTCCCGCCAATGACTGCTTACCCCTCAACTGGGATCAAGGAGTCTTGGACATGCCCTATGGAGGAAATTGTTCGATGAGCCCTGGCTTTGATGGATACAACGCCAAATCATGCTCGTGCGTGAACAGTGCCGCTAAGTGGTATCACGACTACGCCACCGCAACGGTTACTTCACAACAGTGTCAATCGAGCTACGACTTGTATGAAGCTCTGGATATTCAGACTCTGGGATGTTCTTACAATACTATCACGGAGCTGGCAACCCCGTATCCTGCTCCGACGAGCTGCTGCGACAAATGCGAAGTGGCCGCCAGCGCCGTGCAGCTCGTTTACTGGCCACCTGCAGATGCCCCATCAAACTCTTCGAGGGAAACAAATAACACCGGCTCAAGTAATTGGAATGTGACTGCAGCACCAGTACAATCAGCGGCATCTTATGGCATCGTTGAAAATGGATTCACCTTGTGAGTGATACCCGGAAAGGTGTGAGGTACTTAGCTGATTTGAATGACAGCATCTCGCCCTCAGTCTATGTCATCTACAGCTCAATACATGCCTCAGCATCGTGTGTGGCGCTGTTCAACAGCCACATACCCATAGGATCAGCCTATACTGCAGTCACTCGTGCCTATGACCCCAACGGACTCTCTACTGCCATCTGCGAGGCTGAGAACATGGGTGCGGGCATCGAATATTGTATTTCTCCTGTAGCCGACCAGAACAATCCCGCGTACTGCTTTCAGGGCATCGACAACGGCTGGAGGCAAATCGATTTTTCGGAGCTCTACGATCCTCCGCCGGCTTCAGACCTCCTTACCAGATATCAGTCTTGCTTTCCGGGACATTCCATCAGTGCCGATTTCGCTTCCATGATGTTCGTGAAGCCCCAGCTCGCTTTTCCGCCCGACGTTACGGACATCGATCCGGTGTGGGCAACTTGGGGTGGAAGCACTTGCACGCCGGTCAATTTAGGCGTCTACGATCCACCGCGGGTGCTGCAGAAAGCTACCGCTCTCGCACCTGTACCAACGCCGGCCGCAGATCCACAGGCTGAAAAAGCACCTCCGTCTCCAGCAGTAACTTTGAAGTCTCCTGTCGCTGCTCCCACCACGGCTGCAACTAGCGCTGCTCCTAACGACGGCGTGAAAGCAAACGATCCCGGTAGCAATAATGCGGGGATGGCAACGCCTACCACTGCGCAGTCTGACCCTGTGGCTGCTGTTGTGGATCCTGTTGATCCTTCAATCGCTGCGCAGAACGAAGGCTCGCCAGCGACTGGAAACAGTAATGTCGTAAAAGCAGGCTCGAATTCGAAATCAAACTCGGATCCAGTGGCTGCTGTTGTGGATCCGGTGAATGGTTCCGTGGGTGAGCAAAACGAAAGTTCACCCACGACTGCAAACAGTGGTGCAGTGAACGCAGGCTCGAGTTCAGACCCGAACTCGGATCCGAGCTCTGGCAACTCTAACAGCGATCCTGTGGCTTCTGGAGGGGGAACTACGCCAGTCGATACAGAGAAGCAGTCAGGGCCGAATGCAGCGACGAACCCAGGAACTGATCCCAGCACCGACTCTGCAACTGGGAACAATGACCCTTCCACTGCTCCTATCACTCTCTTACCTCAGCTGCCTGTAGATACGGCAAAGGAGAACGGCGATACCAGCGCTATTAGTGGAAAGCCTGGGATTACGGTTGGTGGTGCCAACGGAGGCTCGAAGGGCGGCAACAATGGTGTCACGAATGGAGGCACGAGTGGAGGAAGCAGCGGCGGTACGACTGGAACTAACGAAGACACCAGTGGAGGCACTGATAGCGGGTCGAATGGCGGCATAAACGATGGTACCAGCGGCAGTCCGAACGGCGACGGTAACACCAATCCAGCACCCATTGCCTCAGTCAACAGCCAACCGATCACCAAAGACACTTCGGGAAACATCCTGCTCTCTGGCTCAACATTGGCACCAGGCAGCACAGCCATCTTCTCCGGCCACACCATCGCCAACGCCCCTTCTGCCGTCATAATGGACGGCTCCACTTACGCTCCCTCTCCCACCACACCTTCCGCACCCTCACTCCTCGTCAACAACCAACTTCTGCACATGACCAATGGCGGCTTGAAGATCGGATCTCAGACCCTCGTCCCAGGTACCCACACCACGATGGACAACCACGTGATAGACTACGCCAATCCAAGCCAGGTAATCGAAGACGGCGTAACTCACAACCTCGCTCCTGTCTCCTCTTCCAATCCTCTCGTCCTCAGCGGTCAAACCCTATCACGAACTACAAACGGCGGTCTCATAAGAGCCGGCACGACCATCGCACCCGGCCGTGCAGTCGCAATAGGCGGCCATGTCTACTCCCTCGCCGGCTCCTCGAGCCTCATCATGGACGGCAACACCTACGCCCTTCCAGCAGCCACAAATGCATATCAAATCCAAGCCGCTACCTCTTCCCCCCCACCAATCGTACCACCCGGTCCTCTGACCCTCGCAAACGGCCTCGTCGTCACAGCCCAACCGTCCACCTCTCCAGACACGCCGCAGAACTACCTCCTCCCCAACGGCGTCTCCCTCTCCGCCGACGGCAGCGCTGCCGTCTATTCCGGCACAACATACTCCGCTCTCCCCTCAAACGCCGGCATCCTAGCAGCCGACCCATCCGGTTCCTCCACCCTCGCCATCCCCACCGTACCGCCACCCGCCACGCCATCCGTCTACACAGCAGCCGGCGCGACCTTCACGCCCCAGCCCTCCGGCTTCGCAATCGGAGGCACCACCCTCACGCCCGGCGGCCGAGCCCTGACCACGTCGGGCACGGTCGTCAGCCTCGGCACGGGCGGGACCTTCGTCCTGGCTTCCTCGACCACGGTCCTGCCACCCCAAAGCGTCTTCACGGCCCGAGCGACCGGATTCGTCCTCGGCGGCGCGGCATACACGATCGACGGCACCGTCGTGTCGCTCGGCACGGACTCCGTCCTCTCCCTCGGCGGCACGGCGTACCGTCTCGGTCCGCAGTCCGTCTTCACGCTCGCCGGGCACACGTCCACGGCGGCGGCGACGGGGTTGGGCGGCGCCGTCGCGTCCGGGTTGAGGGGGGTGGGGTTCCAAGGCGCCGCCGCTGCAAGGGGGGTTGATGCGTGGGGCGTTGGGCTGGGGTTGGGGGTTGCGGTCGCGGCGGTTGTGCTGTGAGGGATGGGTCGGGGGGCGGGGGGGGGGTTATGCGTCATGATGGTTCTGGAAATGCGGGATAGCCGATACTTTTTGGTTTGATGTGATGATCGATTTTGATGTTTGTGGAGAGAGAGCGTTGGGATTGTATATATTACATTCATGTCATGACTTCGTTTCTTCATCATGGTTCATCTCCTGCTTCTGCGCATGTGCCCCCCCCTTCGATGTATGCGCACACTATATCTTTCCCAACCCCCGGAGCTTGAGGTAGACATCCGTCCCCCACCCCCAGAGGCTCTGCACCATGATGCTGCCGCCGAAGTGCTCGGCATACGCCCTGCCGAGCGGTAGACCGTAGCCCAGACCGGCGAGGCTGCTCGAGTCGCCACCCGCGCCGGATATGGCGTTGAGAGCGTCCGCGTTGCCGTTGCCGAGGTCGAGCAGTTCCTCATCGCCAAAGGTCGTGAAGCTGTAGGCCCAGATGTCGTCGAGGTTCTCGGGCGATATGCCACCCCCGTGGTCACGGATGCGGATCGTGACGCCCGGCGGTGTGTTGGAGGTTGTGGGATCCGCTCGCGAGGGATCCAGGTGTATGGACTCAGGCGGCGAGGGTGATGGGTCCGGCGCGGCTGCTATCGTGACTTCAATCGGGTCACGTTCCTTGCCGCTTTCGACCGTGGCTCGGAACGCATTCTTGAGGAGCTCCGTGAGGATGTACTCGAGGTGTGTGGGTACATGGGCGAGTCTGGTGTCTGGCTGGCCGTTGATGATGACCGTGGGGCGTACGCCGTACTTCAGCTCACAGATCTCCGAGACGAAGGATTCGCACTGGCGGATGATTTCGGCGGGGCGAAGCGCTGTGTCGATTACGCCGATGGAGGTCGATGAGCCGTCTTGGGCATGTTGATCGTTGTGGGTACAGTGTGGTTGGGAGGAGAGATGGAGCGCAATATGCTGCTCAGCAATCAGTCGCGTCCCGATCCTGGCCCTCAGATGCTCATCCAGGAACCTGGTCACATCCCCCGGGCTGATGTATTTCCTACACTCCAGGAACCCACGGGCCAGTATGGGTATGGTATCCGCATGTGTCTGCACCAAATCTGCCATCACTTCCGTGAATTGGATCTCATCCTCGAGCGTGTTGATTTGCCGCTCTTGGTAGGGGAGCAAAGTGGAGAGGGAGTGGACATAGTTATTGTAGATGCGGGAGATGTGCGGGTTCGAGACGACGATGAAGGGGAGGTTGCGGAGGGCTTGGATCCGGTGGGCGAGGCGGATAGGCAGCAGAGAGAGGGTGAAGTTCGCGGAGGTGAACAGAGTGGATGCGGAGAGTGGGGGACGGCCATGTCTGGGGGTTGTATGTCAGTGGGTGGATGTTGATGTAAAGAGTCAGGGATGATACTGGACGAGATCTGCCAATGTCAAAGGATGTAACGGTCGAGAAGCCAGGCGGGCTACTTGATCATTGTCGATGCTGGTAGATGCGGGCGGATGGGACCATGGTTGGTTTCTGGGCAATTGATGCGTAGCAGTTGCAAGAAGACGCCTTGACCGCTGTTTCAATGGGCAGACGATGCGAATGAGACACGGGTCTAGGATTGCTGGTCGTGCTGGCATTGCTGGCATTGTGTGCTGGTTCCTGGACGGGGCACTAGGGGGGGTTTCTTGCGGAGCGGTGGAGCGGGCTTGGCATTCAATTAGCGTGTGCAGAAAACGTTGGAATACTTGGCACTGAGAAAATCACACACACACCACCAAAAGTAGTACTGAATAGATGAATCTTCTCCCATATCGCATTCTACCACCTTCCTCATCATATTTAAAGCTCCTGTATATCTCGCTTAGCCGTCCTTGGTGATTTCCTTATTGTTTCGAAATACGCCTCCCAATCGATCGATAGAAGGGGCTTCCCCCCCACTATCCGCTCCTATGAATCGTGTTTTCTACATTTTCTGGTGCTGCCACTGGTTAAAGACAGACTTGATGGTATCGCCTCAATGGCGTAGGGACGTCCTTAATGACTGCTGGGGTAGCAGCGGTCTATAACATCCATTAGTTTAGTCTTCAAAATCTATCTGATATGGACTCTTAAGAGCCTATTTAACTCCTTCAGGTCGGCCTCAAGGGTAGCCTCCGCTTGGCTGATGCTTGAAATACTGCTAAGGGCCCGGCGCGGCTCTCCTCAGGCAATCGTTGGGAGTCACGGAAGGTCCCTTACAATTTAGGCCATCTGTGAAAGTGTTACTAGACGTCCTGGCCGGAGTAGGTCAGGTATCAGTGGGGAGCAAACGAACGTCCTGTGCCGATTGGAGGCAAGCCTTCAATCACTAGGGGCATTTCGAAACACCAAGGATCGGCTAAGCGAGATATACAGGAGCTTCAAATATGATGAGGAAGGTGGTAGAATGCGATATGGGAAGAAGATTCATCTATTCAGTACTACTTTTGGTGGTGTGTGTGTGATTTTCTCAGTGCCAAGTATTCCAACGTTTTCTGCACACGCTAATTAAACCCCCTGTCCGCTGGTAGGGCTAATCTTACATTGCAGTCACCCCACGGAAAGTCTTTGATGCCTTCAGATGGAGATACAATATCATTCAATCCTAGAGCAATAAGTAAGTAAAAGGCGAGCACAAGACCTGAACAATGTTCCTAACAGCCAATATCCATACACAGCCTACGTGCCGTGTCACCTTTATCATACAATTGACAGTCGCTTCCTCGTCTTTCAAACCTCCAATGATCTATCTGCCCCGAGAACGACCCTCTTTCGCTTTGAGTCAGGTGACATGACCTGCCAGTTGCACACGCCAGCGTCGTGTCGTTCATTCTCTAATAGGTCAAGAGGTATGTTCCAAAAGTCAATCACCACTCAGCTCCCATTCCCCCTCTGCGCGAGAGTGGACTGCCCTGCGTAGTTCCCTCGCTCCGTGGGGCAGGAGCATGGCGGGCGTATACCGAGGGTTGGGGTACCGCGTCGCCAGATCCATTCTGACCGAGGGATTTACTTATTTCTGACACAGGGAACCCGGTGCAGGCGGCCACGCCTATGAAATTAGCCATCATATCCAGCGACATGCATATTGTAGACTCCGACTTCAGCCTATGAAACTATCTATCATAGAAACCGGGCGTAAGTGGCGCGTCGGCTTGCATATTGCACACTTCGACTTCAGCCTATGAAACTATCTATCATAGAAACCGGGCGTAGGTGGCACATCGGCTTGCATATTGCACACTTCGACTTCAGCCAATGTCTTCTGCCACGCCCTGGCTGTGGAAGTTCGCTCCAAACCAGAACATGTGCTGAAAATTGGCCCTTGGCACCAATGTCAAGTCACGCATCCTGATCATTGAAGGGTCTATTCAACAAAATCTACTCCCATAGGCACTGCAGACCTCGAATCGCGACGGTTAGGGAGTAGCGTGTTTCACATTATTCGTCCCTGCAAGTCATCAGTCTTCCACGATCGTACCTGGCATCATGTCCGACGGTGAAGATGACTATGACAGCGAATCTGACGGGTACGATATCCATGATCCACGGACGCGTGAACATGAGGCATATAAGATCGCTCAGGAAAATGCAGGAAGGGCGGCGAGAAGGTTTAAGTATGGAGACGACGTGGACGCCGACGGAAATGACTATCATCCCCGTGAAGAAGACAATGGTGATTCAATGGAGCTGCGCCTTCAGAACGCTCGCGAAGCACGAGGTTGGGCTTTTGAGTAAGGACATGAACCCTTGGTCACTTCACCGAAAAGGCAGACTGTATTGACCAAGCCTCCCGAATAGTGAGGCTAGTCGACGATACGAGTGGAACGCAAGGTGGACAGGCGGTTGTCATGACGGGGTTGAAGAGGAAGCAGATAAGCGGATGGCGGATGTAGAGAGGTGGAATGGTGAAATTGAGAAGCTAGAGTGAGTAGACTAAGAGCACCATTCCGATAGAATCACTGAGAATCAGCAGGAGACACGTTGATCAAGCTCGCGATGCTCGTACACATAACCTGGACAACGATTCAGATTCGAGCTCAGATAAAGAAGAGAGTGCAGACGACAGCAATGAAGAGTATGAAAAGAATGTTCGTGATGCGCGTGAGGCTCGGGAAAGACGATATGACCATGATGATCATGAAGAGGAGCAGGGAGCGGGAGAATATAATGATGTTGATGACGATTTGGAACTCGACTCCGACTACGATTCGGAACTCGACTCCCACGATTGATTTGCCTACTTGATTCACGCTGTTTCGTTCTTTACGGATTGACTTGCCTTTTCATAAAATTTACCTACCGCAATAGCTCAAATTCTGGTATTTGAATGCAGATAATCTACCAAGGAACCCTGATATCTAATGTAGCTTCGAGTCGAATCAACATGGCTCCAAGAGAGCGCCGCTCACCCTAGGCCTAATACAAGGTGAGGGCAGGGCACATTTTTCATGGCTTGGCAGTGGTCTCGTGGTCACGGTGACGAGAGGGGAGAGTGTTGGGATTTGGCGAATAGTACAAAGAGAGATGAGGAATGGTATCTTGGTACACGAGGTAGAAGCTCGGCTGCTAGGTCATGTGCTTTCGTAAATCTTGCCATACGGTCAAGCCATTACCATGCATCTCCCCCCTCTGCTTCAGAAGCAATGACAGCCAGTAATGCAATCCCTGACCATATCTTTTCTGTCTTAACGAGATGTTTTCCGGCTCGCTGACCATGTTCCATGCCCATCCATTCACCACGACGCTTGTCCTGGGTCTCAATGCCGTCCTACTGAGTTCTTGCTTCCCCATCCTGCTCAACGTGGATATGGTCATCGGTCTGGAGGGTATGGACGGTGTCGTTGGGGAACTCAACACTGTTGGTAGATCAGCAATCACTGAAAGGTGGTATGAGTGTTCCGGACGTACGTGAAGCCTTTGATCAAGGTGAACTCGTGCTTGATGGTCCCGCCCTGCGATTTGGCGCTCTCCTTGGCTCTGAAAAGGTGTTAGCTGGTGGGAGCACGAGTGGCTACACCAGATCTTCTGTACTTGTCAATCTGCTCGGGAGAAGCGCCCTGCTTCAAGGTGATCTGTCGAGGCTCGTCATTAGCAAGGATGACTAGGCTGCAGCTGTTCGGCGTGACGAACATTGAACATGGTAGGCATCTTGAGGTTCTTTGTTGTAGCTGGTGCACAGAACGCTCTGCTGAGATTTGGTATGATAGTTTTGATGTTGCTTTGGAATGTTGGCTTGAATGATTGATTGATGTTGTGAGATGTGAAAAAGGGTGGGATGACGAATTTGAGGACCTTAAAGACGTGTGCAATGCGCATTGACCTACTTAAAGTACTTTACTTTATCTCACGGATAAACCCCCACAGGCCCACTCTGACGGATAAACACGCTAATGCAGGGTACCAGATGACGTACGCACGGCTAAACGTTTCGCCGATTTCCCCATGTCAATCAAAATAAAAAAAGTGAAGCGAGAGTTCTGCTTCGGAGGAGTAGTGGGCCTTTTACCATCACAGACATGGAGGACCAAGCAAATAGGCCCCACCGTAAGACGAAAGAGAAGAAGAAGCATACTGGAGACCGCAATCCAAAAGCATTTGGCTATGCAAATCCAGGTCGGCTTGCTAAGCAAGCTGTGCGCTCCCACGATATCAAAGAGAAACGCCTCCATGTCCCTCTCGTGGACCGCTTGCCGGAAGAAGCGCCTCCAATTATTGTTGCCGTCGTTGGTCCACCGGGGGTTGGAAAAACTACACTCATCAAGTCTCTGATCAAACGATACACAAAGCACAACCTCAGCTCTCCAAGTGGTCCTCTCACCGTCGTTACATCCAAGCGTCGGCGTCTCACCTTCATAGAATGCCCCGCAGATTCTCTCGCCAGTATGATTGATGTCTCAAAGATAGCTGACATTGTTCTCCTCATGATAGACGGCAATTTTGGCTTCGAGATGGAGACGATGGAGTTTTTGAATGTGCTGGCTTCTAGTGGTATGCCTGGCAATGTCTTCGGTATCCTGACCCACCTCGATCTTTTTCGAAAGCCAAGTACTCTGAAAGATGCGAAGAAGAGGTTGAAGCACAGGTTCTGGAGCGAACTATATCAAGGAGCAAAGCTGTTCTACTTGTCCGGGGTGATCAATGGGAGATATCCGGATCGAGAAGTGCACAACCTTTCCCGGTTTATCTCCGTGATGAAGCAACCGAGACCGCTGATCTGGCGCAACTCGCATCCTTACTGCTTGGCTGATCGTATGCTGGATGTCACGCCCCCTACGACAATAGAGGAGAATCCCAAATGTGACCGGACCATTGCACTCTATGGCTATCTCAGAGGAACCAATTTCCCTGCTGATGGAGCTCGAGTCCATATTCCAGGGGTTGGAGACCTGAGCGTTTCGGCAATCGAAGCTCTACCGGACCCTTGTCCCACACCTTTCATGGACCAAGCGATTGCCAAAGCATCAGGAAAAGCAGGGCGCCGACGCTTGGGCGAAAAGCAAAAAGTCCTTTTCGCACCAATGTCAGATGTGGGAGGTGTATTGGTGGACAAAGACGCTGTGTATATTGATGTCAAGACCTCGAACTTCGATAAGGATGCCGCCAAGGGTGAAGAGAGAGGTTTGGGAGAGCAGATGGTGGTGGGATTACAAAGCGAGAGAAGACTTTTGGGGGAGGCAGAGGATGGTGTAAGGCTGTTCACTGGTGGGGATATGCTCAAGGATGATACGAACGGGGCAACCGAGAACGATGCCGGCAGGAAGGAAAGGAGAAAAGCCAGGATCGTTGAGCAAGAGCCTAGCGACAAAGATCTTGAGCCGGAGGACGAGGGTTTCGTCAGTGGAGAAGAGGAGGAGGAGGAGGAGGAGGAGGAGGAGGAGGAGGAAGAAGACGACGCAGGCTCTATGGTAAAAGGGGACATATCTGCGGACAAGCTTGGCCGTGCATTCAAGCCCTCAAAAGATGGTTCGCCCAACGGTAGAGTCGATGGTGATTTAGCTTTTGCTGAGAGTGATTCTGAGATCGGCTCTGTCTCTAGTGAGGAGGATCAAGAACTGGAAAGTGGACCTGACGAATCGGAGTTTGAAGATGACGACGAAGAGGACGCTGCCTTGCGATGGAAGTCCAATCTAAAGGAGAATGCGCAAAAGCTACACAGCAAGCAGAGACAGTATCGAGTCTCGGACTTCGCTAAGATGTTATACGACAATTCACTATCACCAGCCGACGTTGTTTGCAAGTGGAGAGGAGAGAATGACAAATCCGTTCTGGGCAATGGCAATGCTTCGGAGTCAGAAGCGGAAGAGGACGATAATTTCTTCCGGAGGGCAAAGCGCGGTGATGGAGCGGAGGATCTTGAGGACCGGTCCATTCCGCAATACGACTATGATACTCTAGCCCAGAAATGGAGTGATCCGGACAACCTTGAAAATCTACGGCATCGTTTCGCTACGGCCAATCTTCTGAAAGAAAGGAATGGCGATGATGGAGGTGCTCTCGGAGGTTCCGCATATGAAGATGATGAGGGTGACGGTGACTTTCAAGACCTCGAAGCTGCGCCCAGCTCAAATACTGGTGATGTGCCAGAAAATGCGGAAACCTCGCTTGAAGCAGAGAGAGAGAAGAACGCTCGGCGAAAGGAGGAGCTCAAGCTTCGCTTCGAGGAAGAAGATCGAGAGGGTTTTGGGAAACAAGCAGAACGTGGAGATGGTGACGGGGATGCTGAGGGCGAGTTCGGAGAAGACGACTGGTATGATGCTCAAAAGGCTGATATACAAAAACAACTCACAATCAATCGCGCTGAGTTCGAGTCTTTGGATGTAAATTCGAGAGTACGGGTGGAAGGACACAAAGCTGGCACGTATGCCAGAGTTGTATTGGAAAAGGTGCCCTGTGAGTTTGCGGCGACTTTCAATCCAAGATATCCAGTCATTATCGGAGGCCTAGCTCCCACAGAAGATCGGTTTGGCTTTGTTCAAGTGAGAATCAAGAGACATCGATGGCACAAGAAAATCCTGAAGACTAATGATCCTCTCATTTTTTCGATGGGTTGGCGAAGATTCCAGACACTGCCGGTCTATAGCATCTCCGACTCCCGCACCCGGAATCGCATGTTGAAGTACACTCCTGAGCATATGCACTGCTTCGGTACTTTCTTCGGACCTCTCATCGCTCCCAATTCAGGCTTCTGCTGTGTCCAATCCTTCTCCAACAAGAATCCCGCCTTCCGAATTGCAGCTACAGGGGTAGTGCTCAACGTTGATGAGAGTACGGAGATTGTGAAGAAGCTAAAGCTCACCGGCCATCCATACAAAATCTTCAAAAATACTGCATTTATACGAGATATGTTCTCGACATCCCTTGAGATCGCCAAGTTCGAAGGTGCCTCGATTCGTACAGTGAGCGGGATTAGAGGACAAATAAAGCGAGCTCTCGCCAAGCCAGAGGGTCACTTCCGAGCTACATTCGAAGATAAACTACTCATGAGCGATATCGTCTTCCTTCGTGCATGGTATCCAGTCAAACCGCATCGATTCTACAACCCAGTGACAAATCTTTTGGAGAATGTTGCAGAAGAAACAAGAGATGAGATGGACGATACCGGCTGGAAAGGCATGCGCCTAACGGGCCAAGTCCGTGCCGATCAAAATCTTCCCACTCCCCAGCAAAAGAATAGCGCCTATCGGCCAATCGAGCGCCCAACTCGACACTTCAACCCTCTCCGCGTCCCTCGCGGACTCGCTGCTGAGCTCCCCTACAAATCCCAAATCGTACAAATGGCTCCTCAACGCAAACAGACCTATCTACAAAAGCGAGCGGTAGTACTAGGAGGCGAAGAGAAGAGGGCGAGGGATCTGATGCAGAAAATCATGACGCTTAGAAAAGAGAAGGTGGAGAAGAGAAGGGCGAAGCAGGAGGAGAGGAAGGAACCGTATCGGAGGAAAGTAAGGGAGAATGAAGAGAAAAAGGCGGAGAGAGAGAAGAGGGAGAGGGATGAATATTGGAGGAAGGAAGGAAAGAAAAGGCGGAACCAGGACGATGGAGGTGGGGGCAGAGGTGGGAAAAGAGTGAAGAGGTAGTCGGTGTCGTCTACGTGCAAAGGTCCGATATGTCCTCGTACCAAGGTCTGGAGCCTGGGCAAGTTCAGCGCCTCTTGTCCAGTATTTGGCTAAGAATATGGACTTGACCAAGTTCACCTATGTCGTATGCGAAAGCGAAGTTCTGCAGATGATCCCATCCTGGCCGCGAGAAGGTCGTAAGATGTTTGATAGGCATTGGAATTGGAGACCCTCCCTAGGTCTTTCAACAAATCTCAATCTCAGGGTGTGGGCGACCATGGGCTTGACCTGTGCTTAGGCGTTGGCTGCGGCATGAACTGAAAGAGGAGCGGATCGTCAGGCAAACACGCCGTGATACCTTGAGGACTGGCCTGAGGGCTTTATCGTAGCAGATGGGCAACCCTGTCGCTCACTGACAGAGCACGACAAACACAAATTCGACTCCTCTCTATTGTGTTTGTCAGGCAGTCTCTAATGTACGTCCTGTGTCTACTCTGATTTCTTCTTCATTCGCAACAACGGGAGTCGTCGCCTAGCAATTACCAAACATCTAAGAGCCACATTCTGTAACGTTCATTCAAAGCTATCGCTACCATTGACGGCATACTTTCTTAGCAGATTTGCCTCGTATCCGATGCGATGCTTTTCTGCCTCGATTTCAGCTGGATCCAACTTCATCCTCTCATCGAGCTCAACCAGGTGTTTCCATTTCTCCTCCAATCGTCTGGATGACCCAGTACTATACCTCGCAGTGTGCTCTTTTCCAGGTCTGGCGAACCTCGGGTCCAGAATGGCATTTCTCCACAAGTCCTGCACGCCCATGATTCTCATCACGTCATCCCATTCGGAAACTGTATCGTCCTCAGAGCCGTCTGGAAGGTTCCAGACGTGTCTCTTCGCCCATTCGATGGATTCTATGTTGACCTACTCTGCAAATTCGTACTCGCGGGCAAACGCACCAAAGGCTTCTAATGCGGCATTCTGGTGAAGGACGAGGTACTGAAGTGTTTCTAGGCTTTCGATCGTCTCGGGTACGCACTCTCTTATGTTAATGGTTCGGAGGCTATGTGCACAATGGTATCCACCCGTTGTCTACATCTACGTGGGCCGCAGGGAACTTGAGGCGGGCATAAACGGGAGGTAGACTAAGAAGCGTCGTGACTGATGCCATTTGAGGACACATTGGGATTCGATGTATGGTTGACTCGAGGCCTTAGACCTCATTGGGCAGGTTTGGCTAGCAGTGGCAAACATTATTGCAGTCTTAGGACCCATGACGTCCAGTCAAGCACACGGACGCGTCTAATGCTGTGTTTGAGCTTCTTCTCACCCTGACACGGTTTTCAAGCACATGCCAATCGACCTCACACCAGCCACGATAGACCCAATCGGAAGTCCATAGAGCACATATGCCTCCGATGCAGTCAGCGCAGTGTAGGAATACCCTGGACAGCACTTGCCAGATGCACCGCTTGCGAATACCCACCCTGCCGCTTGACCAGCTCGGCATGGAATACCATTGTTGAGCCTGTTTGGGGCAACACCAGTCGAAGTATCAAATGTCCTAACGACACTCGCATAATAATTCCTCAACAACTGTGCATTCTCCGCCGCCCAATCCACATCCCTTGACGTGGAATCCGCACTCGACCAAGTGTCGGAACTTGACCACGAGACACTGCTATCGTCCGACTCTGAATCTGACTCGGTCGATGCCTCCTCCTGGCACCAGCAGGCATTCTCGCAATCTTCCCGATACGCCTCATACAAGGCTTGCTCGAATAACACGTAGCCCCAGTTGAAACACAGCATCTCGGCGCCTTGGCAGTGGCAGCCTGCGCGGTCACAAAGGTCAGTCAAGCGGAAGAGCTGTTGCTGCTCGCCCCAGGCGTCGGAGAAGGAGAGGATTGTGCTGCCGTCGGGGTTGGTGCCTGAGGGGTGCATGTTGAGGGAGGGAGGGTAGGGGCCTGGTGGGAGTTCTGGGAGGCAACTCAGTTCCTGGAGCCCTTGTCAGAGAGTGCAGTGGAGGTGGATCACGAAACGGTACGTAGGTGCTGCGTTTGAAGAGGTGCTGGGTTGACGAGTGTGATGCAGACTGGAGGGGAGATGCTAAGATTATTATGGTCTGCAGTAGGAAGATCATGATGAACGTGAAGCACGACGCCATAGTGGAAGTTTAGCTCTGGAGCAGGTCTTCTTGACTGCAGATGTGCTAAGTCGATATCATCGTTGAAGGTGATTGAAAATGCCTTTATTGAGGCGAAATATTCTTGCGCCTTTATTCTCACTCAATCATGCTCCATGTCGCATATCGAAGCTTATCTCTCCTTGCGCTATGATCTAAGCCTGTAAATTCGTGAATCGGAGAAAAGAAGGACGCTGCAAATCGGTTGCACTGTCGCTATAACAGCTCAATCGCTAGACGTCACTGCCGATATGCGCGCCGCTCGCTCACCCCTAACTGGGTCTTGAGTAACCGCCGTCCTACGATTGTGCGGCCGGGACGGGATCGAAAGTGAAGCGTCCGTTTGCAGGTGAGCTGCTGCTTGATTCCCACTTCTAGCAGAGATCACAAAGTTTCTCTTTCACATCCAGGCGAGCAGCTCGTTAGTGAGGCGGGCCGGCTTCGACCTGAAGATTGTGATCGTCAAGATACAGCCGGCTTTTAATGCGTTGGATTACCAGGTGAGTAGAGTCTTGACCATTGGAACTAATGAAAATAGATCTACAGGTCAGATCACAAAAGTTGCAAGGTCTTTGTTTCTATCTGCGTTCTTTGATTCTGTATATATGCTCGTGGACTATGTGCCAATAAGTTGTTACTAGGATTAACCGCTGGCGACAAGCAAGAGACGTGGTTGAAACAGTCAATGGGAGTATTCTCACACCGACCATAAATCGCTGTCCTATCGGGGTGAATCCCTCCTTTTGCTGGCATACAACTAAATAAATCAAAAATAAATCAAAACCACTTGGGAGTTTGCGGAGGATGGGACTGTCGCTTGAGGAGAACAAGCCGGTAACCGGGTGATGAAATGTTGGGAGTTGGTGGCCGGTTGGGCCGGTCGGAGCTGGGCTGATGTGAGGGCTGGTCGGTGTGCTTGAAGTGAATGCTTAACCTGTGAGCTCCTCTAGAAGTGATGCACGAGCTTTGGCCAGTTGGGCCGGTCGGAGCTGGGCTGATGTGAGGGCTGGTCGGTGTGCTTGAAGTGAATGCTTAACCTGTGAGCTCTTCTAGAAGTGATGCACGAGCTTTGGCCAGTTGGGCCGGTCGGAGCTGGGCTGATGTGAGGGCTGGTCGGTGTGCTTGAAGTGAATGCTTAACCTGTGAGCTCTTCTAGAAGTGATGCACGAGCTCAGTACGTGACAGTCTTACAAGTATTCACGAAGTTCGCCGATTCACTCCCTAATCTTGCGATACAACGGTATCCGGACATATCTTCCAACGTTGACGTCTAAGATACTTTCCCAGCATTCAACTTTCCATCTCTCGGCGATACTATCCTCTTCTATGGAAGTCCTTTACTGATACTTGCCTACTAAATAACACCAGTATTATCAGCCAGGGAGCTTTTACATGCACACCAGCTATATCCATTGCAGTCAACCCCTAAATTTTCCTAGAGCTCACGGTGCGACGCCGGCATATTCGTTATCCTATTCTACCTGCGACACTGAATCTTATTCCGGTTCTACATATCCTCAAAGACCCGCCCGTAGCTATTCTGCGACAATACCACACTCAAACATACGGAACGCACCACCGACAATATGTCGAGTGTCCAAGCTCTGGCTAATATCGATACTAGCCTACTCGCGTTAGAAAATACTACTCAAATCCTCCAAGGACAGACTAAGCGGTTTGGAGAACAGCAAAGACTGAAGGCCAAGCAGGGAGATGAGAAAGTTGTTGACCAGGAAGATACCGCCGGCGATCTCGAAGCTCAGGCCTCTGCCGACACTGGCGAGCTCCGCAAGGAAGTATCCAAAGGGCAGAGAGCTGAGGCAGATGGCTTTACGATACAAAGCCTTCGAGAGCGTATCATACACTTAGAAGAAGAAGAGAAGACCAGGCTGGAAGCAGAGAAAGATATTGTGTGCGAATGGATCCAACTATGGTCCATCGAGCATGAAATGAGGCTATCATTGGAATCAACCGCCAACGTCGACGCCGCCAATCTGATCAGGAGCCAAAACGGGCAACTGAAGGACGCAAAAGCGAATATTCGCGCGCTTGAATGTGAGCTTCAGGCGTACAAAGATCGACATGGGTCTCTGGGGCGCCCATTATTTCGCGGACCATCTTGGGGGCCAAGCAGTTGGCTGCAACATACACCGCCGTCAACACCCTCAAGCTTGCATTTACACCAGCATCAGTTTCGACACATACGGCCCAAAGTCCGTCTACCTACCATTGGAGCAGGCCAGGGCACCAGCTTCGTCACTACTCCTGGCCAGTCACAAGAGGTCAATGGGTCACCAGCTCCCACTCCTCGCTTAGGTGGTGGGCCCTCTCAACCCAGCTCGAGCTTTGTACCTACTCTTAGCCACCCTCGAGTGGTCAACGAGGCTCCGGCTTCCGCCGATCGCCTGGGCCAAAAGGTTCTCAACCCCCACTCGAGCATTGTTCCTAGTCCTAGCCAATCTCCAGTGGTCGACAAGACAGCGATGTCAACTGCTCCGTCGGGTCATGGGGTCTTCGAGCCCAACCTTCCGCGCAATCCAGTCAGTCAGCGTCTTCGCATGCAAGATCAGTCTCAGCGACGTGCTACAGTCCTCCCACATTTGAGGCATCTACAAATGGCACCGCAGCCAGCTGGTACTACTCACATACAACCTGAATTGCCAAGGCCACAGCCAGACACGCCTTCAAGATCAAGAGACGCGCAGGATACAGAGTCCTGGGTCCAGACACAGGTGAACCATACTTTCTACAACTGGATTGATGGGATGTGGCAGGCAGAGGACTCCTGAGGGCATGGCAGAGGTGGGCATGAGTGGCTTGGGATATGACATGGAATGCTTGGATGTCAAGAGGGTGTGCGGTTCGTGAATGTGGACCAGGGAAGGATACATTAATGGAAATGGTTTACACGGCTTAACGATGCGTTTTCTGGATGTGCCATCAGCGTGGTAAAATAAGGATCGTGCACTTCGGCGGCATCGTACTCTTGACATTTCGAATCCTTTAGATCCACGACATCCCAAAATTTCCTTCGATCCGGCTCTATCTCTTGTTTTTCGAAAAACGAGGAGACCTGAAGATTTATTCATCTATCAATTATCGACCAACAGACGTCCATTTCGATGAATATTCTGTAGAGACACTAGAGCCGCCAAGAAGCTAGTTGAACCTTGCTCGTTTCCAACTTCAGTCTTTCCTTTGTATGACAGTAGTGGTCCTGTAACAACCTGTATAGCCTCTGCGTCTGCCCTTTCCCAGAAGTGGCAAGTATACGGGAGTATTGATACCAAAGTCTGAGCCTTTTTCACGGTCAAACAAGGCAACCCTGGACCCACTACCCATGCCACCCACGCAGTAGCAAATTGAATAGGAATGTGAAACATGACGATGATGAGACCAAATCAGTACGGCATCTTGGTTGAATTATTGCATTGGTGATTTTGATTCTGATCCTAGTACAAGGACTTCCACCAACGCCATGATCCTCGAACGAAGACTTGATCACTCTGTGAATGAACATGAAAAGGCCCTGACACTCCAACCTCTAGCCATCGGAGACTTCATCATCCGAGTATACTGTGCCACTTTGAAGCTCTACCCTTCATTCTTTCGACATCGGAGATTTAATCATCCGAGTACCTCCGTGCTGCGTTCGTCCCTACCGCTGGACCCTTTAGTGGCCACTTCCTTGGCTCGACTGTCCATTATCCCAAGTCATTCCCCCTCTTCCCCCTCCTCCTCCACCACCTCTGCCACCTATCCAACCGAAACGTGCACCATCATTCCAGCCACCACCGCCACCACGTCGTCTTTTCCAGCCATTGCCACGGCCAGGACCGCGGAATGGGCGATCACCCAGCCGGGACGGGGCTTCTTCCAAAGGAACGTAGTCCGGATGCGATGGAGTCCGGATGCTTCCATCAGCTCTCCTGTTTGCCCGCGGGATTCGTGGTTTCCCGTTCTTCCCCATTTTTGGGCCAGGAGATTCGTTGTCAAGTGCAGGAGTATCATCATCCTGCTCTATCGCGCCTGTCTTCTCATCATCGTCTAAACCCGCCTCTGCCATGGCTTGCTCGCCCTCCGAGCTCTCCACAGGGAGGTCAACGACTCCGTCCTGGCTTCCAGCTACCGCCTCCTCTGGCATCACATCAGATTCCGGCTGGCCGCCACCCAACGGATCTTTAGTCGTGGTGTTTTCCGCTGCAACTGCGTGATCTGAGTTCCCCAGATTCTGTGCAAGTATTTTTTGCGTGTCGAGCATCTGCCTTAGGTTGTCCATCTCCCTCTGTTGCTCAGCGAATTTGTCAGCATGCTCCGCCTTCAGTGTTTCAAGTGCGCTCTTGAGCAACAAGTTCTCGCTCTTTCGCTCTCGGTACATGCTGATCAGAGTGGTTCGCCACAGGAGGTTCAACTTTGCGTTCTCCGCATCAATATCGCTGGTTGGGTTTGCCAGAATCCCCTCTTTGTTGTCGCGTTTTTGGCACGAGAATCTGCTCACAATCTTGCGTACAAGATAGCTGAGCATAAGGAGGCACATGGTGCCGAGAATGAGCCAAAGCAATAGCTTCAACCAATTTGAGCTTCTGGAGGCCTTTGGTTCTTCGAAGGACCAAGACCAAGTCGACCTCGAACCCGAATCGCCAAATGTCAGTGACTCTAACTTTGCGAACTTCTCATATCCAGCTTCCCATGCCGAGTAGTCCTGCCCAGCTAGCTTTTTTCCCACGATGAAGGGTTCACCAGTCTCCGAGGATCCGTACAAGTAGTCCTGGTGGGGAATCAGAACTCCATTGTGGAAAGCAAACTCCCCTATTTCTTGCGGTATGACCTCGATTGCTGGACTTGCAAACATTCGAGGACCGTAGTTGGCGGCAACACCCAATAGTGCAGCCGCAATAGGCATCGCCACGTGCATGGGGCTGAGGTGCCGCATCAGGATTTCTGGACTCATGAGAAGTGCCATGGTTGTGGTGTATGTGGCCGTGGATGTTGTGGTATCTTGCCGGCGAAAGTGTGGGTCGAGGTGGAAATGTCGTGACGGAAAGCGGAAAGAATGTTGCTGGAGGCGAAATGCTCTCTGTGGGTTGCCGATATGGCCGACGCGAGAGAGCGATTTCAGTGAAAGGGCAGTCGATGTAGCAGATTGTTTGCCTTCTTTGTTGTGAGAGTATTGCTCTTGAGCACTGTCGAGGGATTTGACGGCGTGTCAAAGATTTGACGGCGGCACTGCAAGCAAAAGACCTTGTGTTTGGTGCCGATTTGGTAAACTCCACAGACGACCGGAAAGATGGTGAAGGAGTAGTCGGTGCGTGAGGGTTTTCGCCGTCTGTTGCTCGAAAGCTTTGGCTCCCGAAAGCTGTGCCAGCAAGAGGCCCAACGCCGCTGCTGTACTTGTGGTGATGGGTGGGAGGGTTGAGTACCAGTCAAGAGGTACAGGAACGTATCGAAGCTTCGTCGATGTTGAGGTGTCTGATGGTATGATAAGAGACCTCGATGGTAGGAGATGTCTGATGATGATGGAAAGAGGTGGGACAGAAGAAGTTTGTGGGTGCGATGGTGTGCGATTTTCCGGAGGAATATTGGTCCGTCTGCGCCTGTGTTGACGAGTGTTGAAAAAACGAGGAGGTTGGTCGTTTCCGTTCCCAAAGCGGAAACCTTCAGAATTTGACTATGCTGACAGGCGTGGGAATATTCCCTGGGCAATTTCTACGGTGTCTAGTATGAAGCTCTGGTTTTTATACACTAACTCATTGGGAAGGCTCGTTACCGATGGTGAGGGACTTGATATCAACGGTTGTGACTAATGTAGTCGCAGAAAAAGGCGGCCCTGAACTGCAGCACTTGCGTGCGGAGCAGGATGGCCAAAAATTGAGACATTGCGACAACCTGTATGGGTTACAGTGAACCTATGAAGAAGCTCTCATTTCCTTGGATCTTAGGTCTGACATGGGGTCGACCGTCGTGTTGTCGTAACACTTGCGCGCAACCACAGACTTGCTCGCATGCTTCGACGATCAATTCCTCCCACAGACGCGCGCTCTCCTCTGAGGTCGGATGGTGCCCATTATTCTGAGCCTCCTCGAGTTGACGGATGGTTAGGTGAACTATTCCATCCCTCAGCGTATTGGCTGCTGATTGCGCGGACCGTCCTGTTACACTTCCATTAGTTTCTGGAACGATGACTGACTGTGGGAGCATGCCTTTGCTCCGGCAGTAACCGCAGACGTTGGCGGCCTTGAGATTTTCTGCCGACTTTGGAGGGAGGTGGAGAGCCGATTGGTCAGTGGAAGAATCGTGCTGTGTGAAGTCTCCCTCCGGACTCTCGACATCTTTGGGTCTTCACGAAATCAGTTCGGGGCTTTTTCAACCTCTTTGCTTGCTCCTTCGGCTGCGGCTCTCTTTGCAGCCCTATTTTTGGCATTCTGTCTTGTCTTTATATATTGTCTTCTTTCCTTCTCCCACAACGTGACTTGCGCTTGGAGCGCCCCGACGACCTTTTCTCCCCTGGCCTTCGCACCGCTGCTGCCCTTCAAGGCTCCGTGCCTTTCTGCTGTCACATCCTCGAAGCTCTTGATCGGGTTCTACTTACCTTTCCTCGTGTTGGCATGAGCTTCGAGCTCAGCGGTATCCTTCACGAAATCGGCCACTTCTCTTTTCAGCTCAGTGATCTTTCTTCTTGTCCTTGCCAGCTTAGATCCTTGCGTCCCGGACTTTTGTTGTGTGACCTCTTGTTCGAGATCCTCGCAAATACTCTGGTATTCCTCCACGGTTTTTTCACAGTCTGCCGCTGAAGACTCTAGTTCTCCGAAATCGATTTTGAGAAAGTCATGAGCCTTTTGGAGAGCTTTCGTTGCATCGGCGGCCTCTTTATCGTCCTGAGACTCAAGATCCTCGGTACGCTTGTCCTGTGCTTCTTCAGTAGCGGTAGCATCCGATAAGGCCTTTACGGTTTCAGCCAGTTCGGCCCACTTCCAAGTCAATGATGACTCAAGGTCTTGGTTGTCCGTCTTCAATTGGCCAATTTTGATCTGAAGATCGTCTCGGGCGGTGATCTCTGGCCATCTCGCTCCACTCATTGCGGCCGTCTTCCAGTTCGTTGAGCCCGGAAGGGGCACCGGCCAAACCGGTAGAACAAGATAAGCTTGAGCAAGCTGTGAGAGCTGTGAGAGCTTTCTGACGGACGGTATCCCAGTTATTACTTGGCAGGTAAAGCCGTACAGCGGCCGGCCTAGGTGTAGGAGAATGGCATGACTGGTCTGGTAGATGATGCGAGAATATCATTCGAAAGGGAAGAGAGCTCGGAGAATAAACCATGACACTGTGAGTGTCTTGGCACGAGACTTCAGAAAGACCCCATTGAGGTGCTTGAGGAGAGACGGTCTCTGATAAGTATATATATGTAGATCTCTGATTCAAACCAGGCTGCACGGATCATTTGTAAAAATTTGGAAGACAGTCAAAAAGACATATACACTGATTGCAAGGGTGGTTAATAGAAACCAGGTTATAGAGATGCTGATTTATAGTGGGTAGATTGAATACATAGGAGATATGTTGTCGATGCGTATGTCGGAGAGAGGAGAAGGTTGGGAGGTCTGGGGGGTTTAAATACTCCAGGATGCCACAGGGAATAACACACAAACAGGTGAATTCACACTGTGAATTCTCCAAACCTTCATCGTTCAGTAGGTGAAGCCGATTCTTCACTGACTTAGTCGTATCCGCCTATCACACGCAAGAGTAATATATAGTGACAGACTTGTGTTGTGTTTACATGTGGGGTGATGAGTTGAGCAAGAGCTGATGTTGTGAATTTTTTTCGAGCGGCAGGGGTATGGTCACTTTCCAGCAGTAGATGATTAGATGTGAGTATTGGTATTTAGGTCGGGAAACAGTTGCAGTTGCTACAGAAGGCATCACTGGGTAGAAGCTAGGCGTACTTTCAGATCGGATGGCTTTTCAATTTGTCAACATGGGTATCCTTCTATGAGTTGCACATACCCTAATTTAGACTCTCCTCAGACTTTCTGCACGAGTACACTGAATGAATCGTCGCCATCTGTTAACAGTGTAGATTCCTCCATCAACAATTTCTTTTCGGGTTTTACCGTCGACTCGACCCCTTTCTGTCTTGACCTGCGTTGGACAGCCACTCAGAGTGACGACTCATTATCGCCAGGAGTAAGAAAAAGAGAAAGAGAACACCCATGGAGACAGGTTTGGAGGGCATCTCGGAACCTTGTGGTGATGCTGGCGACGGACGCTTTTCTTTGGGAGTCGCGGTCTGGCTTGCCTCGCCAGGGCCCTTCGCCTGACGCTCCTGCCTTTTTCCAATTGGCACAGAAGGCTGTTCTCCTTGGTGAGAATGTCTCTCGGTCTTTTGGTGGGCTTCGCCAATAGCCAGTTGTTGCCATGCCTGATATGATTCCATTTCCTCCTCCGTATACGGATTTGGTGTGTCCAGAACATCCAACCAGAGTCGTCTTTTTCGGCCCGATAGATACTTGATGTTTGTGCGACGGATCTCGCTTTTGACTTCGGTGTTTGGGTTTCTTTGCATTTGGTCTGTTTCGGTTGCACTCTCAGCGTGGATTGCGTTATCGTGCTGCCATTCTGTCACTTGAGGCGCTGGGTCGCTGGCTTTGGTGTCGGTTTGAACGTGGTTGTCCGGGTCTTCGGAGTCGAGCAGGGACCTTCGATCATCTTCAGTATCTGTGGGGGCATCGTGTGTTACGCGTATAGAGGGTCTGGACGATGGAGAATCCGTGGCCTGGTGGTCGGACTGTGTTTCCGGCTGAGTACCAGAGAATTCTTCACTACCATGTCCTAACAGGATTTGGCCCTCCTCCTGATCTGTTTCAGAGTTTGATTGGGGGCCACTGGGATTTTCGCTTTGCGGCCCCAGGAATGAAGACTGATTGGTCCGATTTGGCTCTGGTTCACGTACGGCGAACATGTGGTCATTTTCTGATATTTCTGCCTGCGCAATGTCTTCGACTTCGTCTTGTGGTGCCTCAGGCGGAGCCTGGGTTGAGCCTCGAGTAGATGGGTCCATGTCGCTGTGATCAGATGCTGTTTCCCACCCTATGTCGTTTTCATCTCCGTCTAGGGGATATCGCAACTGCTGCTGGTTCGCGGCGAGTTGGATCTGAACTTCAACGTAGCGCTCATCACCCTCTTTTAGTTCTGGTGCGCGTGAGTCAATGTCCGTGGTCTCTAGTTCAATGCAGCGCGTGTCATATGGAACGTCCTCATTGTCTTTGCCCCTTGCAAAATCGCCATTGATGAAACAAGCATATTGAATTCTCCAAACGTCCTCAGGAGCCTGTGGACGTATCAACCAGTGAGATGCATTCACAAACTCTACCAAGCCTTTCCGCATGCCACTCAAGAAATATAGGAGATTGACGTATAACATCTCTTCGCCAACTCGCATGCACAGGCTGACTGTTCTGAGGCTGTTGAGGCGTCTCAGAGGACAGTAGTGAGGAATATCGAGAGTCTCGAAAGTCATCGCCTCGAGTTCTTGCCGCGTGTTGTAGACGCCTAGCATGTCAGTCGGATCGGAGAATATGTCGTCAATCTGCTTCTCAGTAAACAAGGGTAGGTAAGCAACAAGACCCTTTAGACATAATGCAGTGATAGTATTACACCGGAAGGTTGTTCGCCAGGGAACTTCAACGTAGTGAAAGAAGTGCTCCAACTCTTGAGCATCCGCCAGATAGTAAGATTTGGAGGCAAAGAACACGGGGCGTGACTCAATGTAAATCTGACGGCAAGTTCGTGTGACCTGATGCCACGATGCCTTGATATGCACGAACTTCTTTGGTGCTGGTGCTGTTGGAGACATCTCGGGCTTCGGGGGGCTGGTAACGAAGTCATGGCCAGCATATGACGGTGGAGTAGCGAGCAATTCGATGAAGACCTTTTCCCGTATTTCTGGGGGCAGCTTCCCGAAGGAAGTCTGGAAAAATGGCTTAAGGACTGGACCATCGGCGCTTCGTGTGATCCTAGTTTTGTAGTGGTCCTTGGCGTCTTTCAGAACGCTTGCTTGCTCTGTTGAGTCTGCTGTATCTGAATGTACAGATGTTTTGACCCGCAAATCTGGCCAGTGGCCTTGAAATGCAGCATCTCGTTGCCCTAGAAGATTCTCATCTCCGTCTAAATTATTGTCGATACTGAAGTCCATGAGATGGATGTTCTCGATACTCTGGTCCCTTGGCTTTTGGTCATGATCATCTGGGGGATGAGGTGCCATGGTGTTGGCAAAGGTTGAGTGCAGGTAGATGATAACGAGGATTCAGAACTTTTGAAAGAATGTCTGGGGGTGGGTGTCATGCCCGCTTGCATTCCATGTGTTCATAGCTGCTGGGATGTAAGCTTGACTTTTCCATTGGCACTAGTAAAATTTTCGTGTTGGTGTACGTGATATTGATTTATACGAAGCCATGTGAAACAAGGCATCATGTTGTTTTGCCAAGACGCTACTATCCTTCTCCTAACACATCCGACACTTGGAGATGCATGGAGAAAAGTCAGAGTGTTGAGGCCCGCCTTCCAAAGCTTTTGAGCTAAGTCATGATTGTATGTGTCACTCATGGAAGAAGACCTTTATGAATACTGTTCAAAACGTGGTAGTATTATTGAATAACTATCTAGTCATTCGAGGGGTCTAAGTACATATCTACAAAGCGTGCTCTGTCCAAACATAACATATACCCCCATCATGCAACCGCTGTAGACGGGAGGTCCAGCAGTCAGTCGCTCTCTGACCACAGGGCTACGAAGAATAGTAGAACAAACAGAAGCAGAGCGAGTAGTTGTCCCAATGTGTTCTCCAGCTTTGCGTACAGAACCACGTACAATAGAGCCAGAGCAAGCATGAGCGCAGCCACTCGAATGCATCCGTTCAAAGAAGGTTTTGGGTGCGGAGTCGGCAGAGATTGGCGCTTTGCCTTTGGAGTCGAACTCTTGTCCACGTTTGCGATGTGCGTCTTTGATTTCTCAGGGATTGCAGAATTGCCGGGGTCCGGGGATGACTGCAGCAGAATCGGAGACTTCTTGATCTTCTGAAGCGGCTTCGCAGACTTTTCCGAGTTATGGGCCTTCTCGATTGGCTTTGATCTCGGCTGGATATGTCCATCTTGTAATCTTGGCCGGTACACTGCACGTTTACCTGAAGTCACATCATTCTGAGAAGGAACAGTAGCCATTTGGCTTTCACCTCGCAAGACTTCTGCAAAATCCACTGGCTTTGTTTGAGTCCCAGCATTGCAATGTTCAGTATGCACTGGCACTGTCTGAGTCTGAGCATCGTAGTGATTTCGGTATTGAAATACTGAATAGTGCTCTGTCGTCACTTGCGTCCTCTCTTCTGGCCGGGCTTCGAGACTGTCTTTGTCTCCCACTTTTGAAACGATCGCTGGGGGTTGGAGAGAGCCCGTTCCCGCCTGCACGTAGGCGAATTTGCCGTCCACCAACTCTCCAGAATCTTCCAGTCCTTGCTGTGATTCGGTTGCTGTCGAAGGACTATGAATTTTTATGTTGAGGGGACTTTGAAGACCCTCCAACTCCTCCTTTGGTACAATCTCAGTTGAGGCACCGGTGTGGTCTTCGCTAGACGGTTCTTGCAATAACCCCGACTCCCAATTTGCATCAGATTCGGCTTGGGAATTGTGTTCATCTCCGTCTGCAATCTTTTGTGGATAGCCAGACTCTTGACCTGGCTCATCATCCATTTTCGCGCCATCGTTCTTCCCATCTGGCTGTTCTCGCAGGTCCATCGGCTCCTGATCTTGCTCAATATCCAGTTGGACACCATCTTCCACCCCATCTGGCTGTCTTTGCAAGTCCTCAGATTCTTGATCTTGCTCATTGTCTATTTGGATCGTATCTTTCTCCCCATCTGGCTGTCCTCGTAAATACCCAGATTCCCGATCTGGCTCATTGTCCGTTTGCGTACCATCTTTCCCCCAATCCACCGATCCTTGCAGGTTCTCAGACCCATGATCTGACCCATTGTCCGACGAAAGATCAACGGTTTGTCCGCCTCGTAGTGCTTGTTGGTTTTCCGACACCTGACCTGGAACGACATCTGGTGGGTCCCAGTCTGGTACCCCTTCCTCAAAGTCGCGCGACCCGATATTAACCTCAACCCAACGTTCATCATCTGCCACTAGATCCGAAGCGCGGGAGTCAATTTTCAAAATCTCTCCCTGAATTGAGACATCGTGATAATCCAATAGTTCAAAGTTCTTCCCTCTTTTGTAAAAAGTGTTGGGGAAGGCAGCGTACTGGATGTTCCAATCGTCTCCCAACACGTTCTGCGAACTTATGGTCCAATGGAAGTCATCCACAAACCTCATCACTCCGCGCCTCAATCCCCCTATGTTGAACAGAAATTCAAGATGTTCCCACTCTTGGCCAACACGCATGCAGAGACAGATCTTGCGAAGACTTATCATGTCCTCCAAGTCTACAAGGACGTGGTCGAAGTCTATTTCGTTAGTCCGTGCCGCTTCGAGCTGCTCGCGATTAAAGGTAGAACATCGGGACATCAGTTCCTCAATCTGCTGGGGGTTCCACTTTTGCCTGTTTATGACAAGATCCTTGAGACACAATGAGGTGATTGTATCGACCTGGAATAGCCGAGGCCCTACTTGCAAACCGCGACCAAGCTTGCAGAATGTTGCTAAGTCTTGGAAGTTGGCTAGATAGTAGGATTTGCAAGCGTAGAAGATCGGAAAGGCTTCTAGGTAGATCTGACGACAGGCCTCCAGGACCGTGAGACATGAAGCCTTGAGGTCGACGAAGGTTGCGAGCGATATTGGAGGTCTTTCGAGGGTAATGGTGCTCAGGGCACGGTAGTCCCAGCCGGCAAATGGAGAAGGTCCAGCCAATAAGTTGCGGTAGACTTGCTGGCGTGTCTCAGGAGCCAATCCGCCAAGGCTGGTTTTGAGGAAAGGTCGCAGTATCGCTTGTTTTGAGGCCTCATACAAGCTTTGTATCTGGGCTGCCGTTATTTGAGGGTCTGGCCAGTAATGCGCCACAAGTTCCCTAAAATTACGATTAGATTGGGAAAGACAACGACAGGATTTGATATGAAGGCTCACCAGCACTGTTGCGGAGTTTTCTTCGACGATTGAAAGACTGGATGCACATGCTTTGAGTCCGACAAGTATTGATTGACATAGTCGCCAACCTTGATCAGCTCGTCTTGTAGAAGCTGCTCGCGAGCGTGATTGTCCGGCACTCGCTCTGCCGTAGCATTGCGAAGAGCATCCAGGCTCGATCCAACATGAGAGAAGAATTGGCCCTTCATCCAATGAGTTGTGTCATCGGCAGAGAACTTTTCATTGCCATGGCGTTTGCCTTCGGGCGAAGAGTTTGAGTGGATTCGTTTCGTACCCCTAGGAAATTGACGATTTGGTGCCATGGCTTCCAGCACTACCGAAAGACTCTCGCAACCTATCCTAGAGTCAAGAGGTTATGGTCAGGGACAAAGAGCCAATTCTAAGAATCAAAGTGGTGTGATGAAGGAGGAAGGTGGAAGTCCGAGGGGAGAGTGCGCAGATATATGATTTTATCCCCTCTCTCGGAAAATTGTGTTGTCAACAAATCTGCGTTATGGTTGTTCCCTGTGTTCTGTAGTGTCAATCTACTCGTGAACGCCACGAACAGATAGACGGAATGTGACGATCCAAACCACACCGTTCCACCAGTATCAAGTCTGAAAAGAAAAGATGGCTGGAATGATAGTAACAGTCTTGATCGAGCGTACTTAGATGCCTGTGGGATTCTTGGCATTGGGCCTGGTTGCGCAACGCACTGATCCACTTTGCCAACTCTACAATCATGACTCGGACAGTAATCATTTCTATGTGCGTTTCAAGACTCTTTATCACTACGATTTCAAGGCCGCTAATATACCCAAATCTATACAAGAAGTGAAGATCCCTGGAGTCACGAAACAATAAGTGACATTCGGGTGAGTAATCTTCTCAGAACCTTCAGCTTGTTCGACTTACTGTGTGGCACTGCATGTCAATTTAGTTCTGCCAGTCTATGAACCGCCAGCGCTTCAACTGTTCTCTGCGACTTTACTGTTGGTCAGGGCACCAGCGTCCGTCCCGACGTTTCGTCACGGCCATGCCCATCGCACAACCCTGATCCTATGCTGAGAGCACCGAACTTGTCCACCATGGCTAGCATCTTCCAATGCATACGTTTCTCCAATGGCGCATTAATGTCCACCTCCACGAAGCGTTCTTGTCCTTGTTCCAGCCCTGGAGCCTGAGTATCATTCATCAAGATCCGTCGTTGGATATCAATCTCGTCGAAACTGAGCTCCACATCTCCTTTTCCCTTTTTCCAACCGTCTCCTAAAAAACAAGCATGCTGAACTTTCCATTCTTCTTCAGGATTTTGTAAACGCAGCACCCAGTGAGACTCATCTAGAAAATCGATAACTCCTCGGTTCATGCGCGGTAGACGAAATAGTAACTCTACATACCCGAGCTCTTCACCGACGCGCATGCAGATATAAAGCTTTCGCAGACTCTCCAATTCTGCTAGCCTGTAACAGCCCAACACTGTGACAAACGAAATTAGGGAGAATTGTGGCTGATGCAAGCTTTTTGACTGACAGACAAGGTTTTTTACACATAGAGAAGTAATCGTGCTGCTCCGAAGTGGTGAGTCGAAAAGGTAGCCGAGTCTCATGAATAGTGAGAACTCTTTGATGTTGTCAGTGTAGTAGGACGTACGTGCATAGAACAACGGATAAGCTTCGACATAGATTCGACGACATGTTTCCAGAATGTCAAGGCACGAAGCTTGAAGATGGGTGAACGTTGTTGTTGGTGGACCCGGCCCATTTGCGTTCTTGGGCTCAGCACGAATGCCTTGTGCAGTCAGTTCTTGGCCTGCGTGCGTGGGTGGAGTGGCCACTAGTTCGTGATACATTCTTAACCGAAGTTCTGGAGGTAGCTTTCCTAGAAGAGTCTGGTGGAAAAGTCGTGGTTGATACAGCTCCGCGTTGACGTCAACCTCCACCAATATTTCACGTCCCATGGGTCTCCCAGATGAAAGAAGCTCACGATAAGCTCGCAGAGTGTAAACGAACTCTGGTCGCGCGGCGTCGAGGCGTAGCTCTCTTCGTCGTTGAACGTACCAACAATGGGACCCAAAGCATCGCAGGTAAGTGTGCTGTCGATTGAAAAAGGTCCGTAGGATGGCAACATGCATACGTTCCTCACCCTGACTCATATCCATATAGATTCTGCGAAGATTTTTGCAATCCGTCAATAGGTTGAAAGCGCCCGTGACCTCCGGATCCGTCCTTCCGCGACGGCAGGAGATGTAGCCTTCGCTGTGAAGGTAAAACACGCCGGTATCATAATGGTAATGTGGTACTTCTTGCTCTTGGAATGGTTCTTGTAATAAGAGGCTTCCAACACGAAAAGCTTCGAGATTCGAGCGGCCAGTTGGCCCAATGCCGACGAGAAAGCGAGAAAGCTCTTGTGCATTTGCAAAGTAGGGTAAGGCGCTACCATAGAAGGTGGGAGAAGCTTCGAGGTTGATCTGGCGACAGGTTCGTAAGATTGAGAGACCAGAGCCTTTCAAGTGAATGAAGCGTGGAGAGGCAGTTGATGAGGATCCGTCTAGAAGTGCCTTCTCAGTAGCAAGTGGAACCTTCCGAAATTCGTTGTCTGCTCGGGATTGTGGTCCCACCAGCAGCTGCTGATAGATTTTGACACGAAGCTCGGGAGGTAGCTTGCCCAGAGCGGTACGAAGGAAGGGTTGCGCTTCGTGTCTTTTCTGGACTTCTAGGAGGCGAGCAAGTGTAAATAGCTTCTTTTGTTCCGCTTCCGGACCACGATCCTTACGGTTCAAGAGTTTCTGTTTCCTAGAGAGTTTGACTTGACGCTGAGGCGCCATGGTTTGAACGTTGACAGGTCACAGAGAGAGAAACTAAAGTCGTGGATGTGAAAGCGCCTTTGTTTTCAAGCAATGGTGAAGATGCAGCCCAAAGCTCTTCAGAATTGTCTCAGCATCGCCAGAAGTCCAAGTATTCGTACTGCATAATGATCTGAGGAAGGAAGAGTTGATACGTAAAGATGGAGGCAGGATGGGTTGTGGGGTTGTTGTACAAGTCCCGAAGTTGTAGGTGTTGACGACCGTTCAAGGTCAGCCCAACCTCTGCTCCCGCGATAGCGATAGCGCGTTCCGGAACTTTCATCCACCGAGGTAGATGACTCATGACTACTGGAGTGTTGAAGGCATTCCCAAATGCTAACGCTGCAATTTTACTGCTCATTTGCAAAACGCACACTCGCCTTCCTTACTTACATTCCCATCATTGACAATCCTCATCCACCAACTACCCACCAAGACCTTGTTTTCATCACAAAATACATACTCTTTCGACCGCACGACCTTACCTCTCTAGCAGCTACAATCATGTCACTATCTAGAGTAGGCATTCGCGTGCTCGAAGCCATGAGATCCGCAATCGGATGGGCTGCACGCAGGAAGATGGAACCGTTCTCTGCGCCAGACATGGAGCGGATTCCAGCCTTCCGAGAGAAAGACCGTGTCACAAGCACTTCATCTCACTGGATGGTCGAAAACAACGACACCGACATGTGGGCTGAACGGTTCAGAGTTGCCCTCGCTGCTCCCCACTGTATCACTCCAGACCACTCTGGTATGTACCCTTGGAAACACAGTATCCATATTTCGGTCTACTTCTCTCCTTTTAAGATGTGTTTCCGGTAGTAAACAGCTGTCTACCCTTTCGGGCTATCTTCTTGCCAAGTTTGATATCTTGACGAAGCGTTGCTGACTACGAGAATTCGTAGCTCGTGACCAAGCCTCCAATACCGAATCAGTCGAAAGCACATCTGCGAATACTGAAGACATACAAATGGTCCCACTTGTGCCAAAAAACGCCATGGAAGAAGCTATTCGTCTTGAGGCCGACCCCAAAGGCCTGTATAGCCGTGATTTGATAGACACTGCTGGTCTCGTTAAAAACATCAGAAAGCGACACAGAGACGCCATTGAGGAACATAGAAAGGACAAAGACGTCATGCGGATAGAGAAAGAAAACCTGCAGCACAGGTTTGATGATGAGAAAGAGCGTTTGTGTGGCATCATTCGCGGTCAAAATGAGGCGCTGAAATCGAGAAATGAACAACGGCAACAGATTTGCGACAACAACTGCGAGCTCCAATTCAAACATCAAGACTTGCTCGACGACAACAAAGCCAAGGATAGCCGTATCATTGAGCTGAAAGAGAAGGTGGAGGCAACGATTGAAACATGCAATAGAGTCACACAAGGCTCGGTGGTCTCTTTGAAGATCGCAGATAAACAGATGGAGCATCGGATTACCCGCATAAAAATCAAACATCAAGAAGAAATAGCAGAAATTCGCGGGTGGAATTCGACACTACAAGAGCGAATGAAGATTGCTCGCAGATTGCAGCCAGTCATCGTGCTTCACAGGGATCAGGTGGGTACTGTGTGTAAACTGCATGAAAGTTTAGTCCAGATGAAGATAGCGAAGACGGAGGAACTGGCTGCGAAGGAAAACGAGAACGAGGAACTCCGTGCCCGCAATGACCGCCAAGAGCGGGAGATTCGTGATCTAAAGATCGTAGCCAAGGCAGATGGGGAGGTCCTCCAGAAAACCGATAAGTTGCTAAGCGACACACGGAAGGCCCTCAGCGAAGCCAAAGGCAAGATCGAGAACCACCAACGCGAGGTTACAACTTTGAACCAGTGGGGAAAGGTGTGGGAGAATGGTTACCGTTCTAGAGGCAAAGAATACACGACGCTCGAGAGTGAGATGAACACTCTAAGGGCAAATCAGCGCATGGAACTTATCAGAGCTGAGGCTAAGAATGAAGGTCTGCAAACAAGGGTTGATTCTCTTCAGATAGCCAAGGATAGAATGGATAAAGACTTGGAATGCTGGGAGAACGGGCACGGTGGCAGTCCGAGGTCGTCCAAGCCATATCATAAAGACAAACAACCAGGAGAAGACGCAGAATCCTTGGCAAAGGGGTTGAAGGCTGAGAACGCTAGAGCAGATGCACTTCAAAACAGTGTTAATGCCCTGCAAGCAGAGAAAGATGTCTTGGAGAGACAGCTAGGAATTGCGGCGAATGCATACAATCCGCAAATCCAGGAGCAAGTGAAGCGCCTACAGAGCGAAAACCAGAGATTGGGCAAGACGGCAGAGGAAGCAGCACTGCTGAAGATAGAACTGGAGGCGGAATTCGCAGCTGCCGAGAAGGAGCGCGAAGATCGACTCACTAATAGGACGAAAGAGCTCGAACTCGGCTTCGAGAACTTTGACAAGCTCCGTGACCAATTGCTTTTGCACAAGCGAGGCCTGGAGGAAGAACACGATAGGGAGGTTGTTGCTGACAATCTCCGGTGTCAGATCGAACGCCAAAAGCTAGAAGCCCAACTGAAGGCAGTCTCGGAGGAAAAAGAGAAGGAGATACTGCGCGAAAAGGAAGACTTGCAGAGCCAGAAAGCTGAGCTGGCAACGCAAGTGAGAAACCTTATTTCCAACGGCCAAAACCTCGTCAAGATGAAGGCTCGAGCCCATAAAGCCGAGAAAGAGGTACTCGAACTTCAGGTGGCCGAGGCCAATAACCGAAACCATCGAGACTCGATTCAACGAAATCTGGAGAATGAACTTCAGAGCCAGAGACGAGACGCACAGCGTCACTTGGACCTCCTCAACGAAGAAATATACACGATGGCGGAAGATCCAAGACTACTGGATCTTCACAACGAACTCCAGAGAGCAAATTGTAGCATGAATATTTTCAACTACAATGTGACATATGTTGGGGTGAACAGCGAGGCTTTAGGCCAAAATATGTTCGGTGCGGACTTCTGTGATTCGGATGTGCGTCTCCTCCAAGATGCAGGACGACCTGTGCTTCTCGCACAACTCCAAGCGGCGAAGCGGACATTGAATGAATTGGGACGTCTCCTGGCCGAGAATCCTGAGGTCGACATGGACAAGGCTCTCTCACTCGTTAGGGCACCGCGAGGTGACGAGGATGCCGCTCAACCAGTCGATGATATCTTCGACCTATGGAACGAAACTGAACAACCTGCGCCTCAATCAAACCCGCGGAAGCGCTCCGGAGCGCCTTTAGGCCACCCAACATATGGCGACCATCAGGACAACCCCGCTTTCGATGACTGGGGAGTCAAAGACCACGAGGTTTCAATGGGCGCTAGACTCTCTACGCCGGAGGACATTTCGAAGCGACACAAAATTCTACCAAAGTCTCGTCTCAACGGAGGACCAACCTTCGTTCCTCTCGAGAATATAGACCCAGCAATTCGCGACCAGTGATTACTCAATATCTTCTCATTGAACAGCACGCTTCATCTTCCCACCTAAGCTTTGCATCAGCATTGCTTTGTGGGGGGCTTGCGATAGATTTACCCTAGGACTCGACGGCATTTTTCAACGATATGTGTCTAGGCTATGATTCAAGGTCGTGCTGACATTTGTTACCATTCTTCATTCTATTGTAATAACTCCGTCCCACATTCTTCAGCTGTGCTGAAGCGGTCAGCTGGGCTGACGCGGTGGGCAACGGAGCGATCCACCTGGCTGTTTCGAGATATCGAAGCGGTAGGCTATGGGTCTGATACTTTCTAATAGTGCTCGCGAGGGTTCATTTTAGGGGCAGTATTTGAGACTAGGTGGAGGTTTGGTGTCTTGTGACTTGAAAAGATCTGGATTGATGGATGGCGGAAATACATCTTCATACGAAGAGGCCTGGATGAAGCAACTCCAGAATGGTCTGAAGGAATGAATGACAGAGATGTTGCGTTCTTTTACAGATAGGATAGAGGCGTTGGCGTTTGTGGTCGATAGCAACAGAAATAAATCGACAGATTCTTGTCCGGAAGACTTCTCCATTGTTTCTCTAGTTGCACGTTCTCGTCTCTTCGACCTAGCGGCGCAGAAGTGATCGAGATTAAAGATTCCGTTGAGTAAAGCAAGTAATGATATGATTGGTTGAAGTCACTATGATGTGAGGTACCGCCTGATTGCGCCAAGACGCTGACCCGCTCTGCGTAGAGTACATGTCAGTATGAGGAGCGTGTATTTGGCTAGCGGGCTTGTTGCAGAACAGTGCTCCCACATAACTACATCTGTTCAACAGACTTGGGCTCAGCTCTTGCTGTATCCTTGCAACAATCAAGATCCTCAATCAGGAGCTGTGATTCCAATGGCATGGCTTTATGTGTTGCTATGTCCAATGCTTCTCGTCGCGCTCTTTTACACGTCATACCCAGTGGGAACTACAGCGTATTTGTAAATTTCCTTGTACTTTGCTCAATCCCAGATATCATTGATAGAAACTTGATATACCCCAGCTCTTCGTCTGCACGCATGCACAAACTTGTTTTTCGAAGACCACTCGAAACCTTCAGGACTGAGTGAGCACGGGATGCTGCAAACCCCCCCGCGAGGAGAGTCTTGCGTAACATGCATGGGAACAATATAGGTGCTAACATCATCCCCAGTTTGAGCGAGGGCAGACGCCAACAAGGATGTTGATACAGAGGCAAGTGACCACTTGCTGCGGACTGACTGCGGGTCGAAAAAGACACCATAGTCTCTAAGTCGAAAATGAATTTAACGGCAGTCCATTGGATGGTAGGACAAGAGTTTTTCAGATGTGTGATCGATGGACTACTGATGGAGCTGATATCGCGGGTAGCAAATCTGTGAACTAAACATGGTGATAGGGCTGCTGGCAGTTCATGGTGACTTGGATACGAAGCTCCAAAGCTAGCTTTCCTAGGATCCTTCCAAACAAATGTCATGGTTAGAGCTTTCCTTGGGCATTCAAGAAACGAGCAAACGTGGAATGATTCTTTTGGTTTGATTTGACCCCGGGTATCTGCGCCTCAAGAGCTCGCGGTCTTAAGGAGCATATTTTGAGATTGGAGTCTTGTGCTTTTGGAGGACAAAGAGGTGGGTTGGAGGTGTGCATGAAAAGCTCTTTGTTGTCAAGCTGGCACTTCTAGAGTGGCTCCTTTTCATTCTTGATTCCATCTACCCTAGAAAACAGCAGCCACCGATAGCATAGAATGGTGAAGCTAAGATTGTGGGTGATGGGGAGGAAAGGTTCTTACGCTAGCAGCTGAGGTCTCGCAAGTGTTGAAAAATTGCTCCAGCGGTGGCGAAGCAGTAAGTTCTTTGTTCATAGCAAATCCAAGAGCGATGAGTCAGCTCGAGGTGTACTTTGGCCGCGCGGAACGTATCTGGTGTTGAGGAGATTTCCCATGACAACGCTTAAACACCGACCTTTATTTTTTCTACAACAACGCTCACGCCTTCAACTTTCCACAACCTACAGCATACACATACCTCAACCACACCCAAGATCCCATGTTCACAATTAGTCCTGTATCGCTCATAACTTTTCCATAAAAGTGTTTGACGCACATTGTTGGCAGCTACCCATCCAGGTCACGCAACTCCCACTGATGACTGGCAACATGGCAGACCTATTGGTTCTAATTTTGTCCATTCTCGTCATATTGTTACTCATCACCGCCTGGGACCATATCCTTACCCTCCCATTCATAAACCCATCGAGGCGTGAAGTGCGGGATCTCCTCGTTGCAATCGAAGACCTGTTGTTGCCGATGGGGTCGTTTCCAAGCAAGCTCTTGCAACCTTGGGCCCCAACAGTCAAGAAGTGCCGGTCACATTCCACGGCATTAACACTGTCCCACAACCCAACACCTGCCGAGGAAGGGTCAGAGCCCAGTACTCCTGCTTCGACCGAGCCTACACCCGGCGAGAGCGGGTCAAACCCCACCGCAGTGCCCCCATCGACCGAACCAACATCTGTCGTCGGTGGACCAAATCCAACCATGTTGCCCCTTTCGACGGAACCGGCACCTGGCCACGGCAAATCAAAGCTCATCACAATACCCCCTCCACCGGTGCCAGTGCCTGTCGTTGCCGGGTTTGATACTACTACATTACCACCTCTCGCCGAGCCAACACCTGTCAAAGGTCAGTCTTTTGGCCCAGAAGACGATCCAGACGAACCGTTCTTCGACTCGCCTGAGTGTCAGCAGTTATCAGGCGATGACATCCAGATGGCGTTTAATGTACCACTTCCGGAGCAGCAAGGTACCGAGATCGACTCTCTTAGTAGCGGTTCTACCCTTGCTGGTGAGGAGGTAGAGAATGAAGAGCAGGAGCAGGAGCAGGAGGTGGAAGATAGCACTGCTGTAGTGGAGAAGGAACCCACGGAAACCGAAGTTTTCGAAAAGGAGATTCGTGGCTTGGTCGATCCCGAGGGAAGATACGGCCCGGATCTTCGGAAAACGATCGAACTCGTCGCCGGCACCGTCGAGCGTCAAGCAAAGGCCGAGGAGGGCCTAAAATCCGAGACCGTGCGCTTCCAGAGAGCGGAAGATGATCTTAGACACGGGCGGGAAGACTCGAGGGAGGTGTTCGAACGCATCATCAGCGGGCAGAATGCGATGTTGCGGTTGACACGGGATGAGAATCATGAGCTTGTTGAAGAGAGTCAGACACTACTCAGCAAGAATGCTGGCTCGAAGGAAAAGTATCAGCGCATGCTAGACCAATACAACAACCACCTCAACTCGCTGAACGTGGCAAAGGAATCCGCCGAACAAGCCGCAGAAACGGCAATAGCTGGGGTGAATGGCCGCATTGACGCGGTGAAAGAGAGCTATGAGCAGAAGAAGTCAGCTGCAGAGCTCAACAATAGGCAAGAGCGGAACACGCTCAACTTCTCAAAGAAAATGGTTGAGAACAACCTCGCGGAGGCTCGCCGTCAGGTGATTGCGGGTGAGCAGCAGCATGATGCTGCAATGAAGGAAAGAGACAGTACCATCAAGGAGCTCAAAGTAGCGATGGGGCGACTGAGATCAACAGTGACGACGTCGGAAGAGCTTGCAGCTTCCGCCGAGCGGGGTCTACAGAAGCAGCTGGATGACCAATGCAAGGAGAAAGACCGTGAAATCGGCACCCTCAAAGATCAGCTTCGCGAACTGGAGGATAGGGTTAAAGCACTGGGCGGCTGGAAGGACAAGGCGGAGGCAGAGCAGCGAAACCACCAACGCACCTCGAGTCAATTGAACGATGAAATGACGGCCCTTCGCGAGGACAAGAACCATTTAGTGCATGGGCTGAAGCTTGAGATCGGAGGTCTTCAGAGGAGTATTAAAGAGGAAGAAGATACAATAGCTGACCTTCGGCGGAAGGTTACTAGCCTGAAGTCAGGCCAAGAGGTCAAAGACCTCAAGTCTCAGCTTGGAGAAGCCAAGAAGCAGCAGCAACTATCAGTGAAGGAAACGCAAGATCTGAGACAGCAGCTGCAGGATTGCCAGCATGGGCTGGAGAAGCTCCGAGATACTGTCAAGGCTCGAGACAAGAAGATCGAGAAAGATGCGGAGATCTCATCGAAGAAGAAGGAAGATCTCGAGAAGCGGCTAGAGCAGGCTACATGCGCCCAAGACAGAGGCTTTGAGGAAGCAGCTCGAAAGGTAGAGGAGCAAAAGAAGGAGCTATCACGCGAGCTCAAGGACGCCCAGGAGGCGGAACAGAAGGCTGGCGCTGACTTGCAACGCCTCGAGGATACGAGGAAGCGGACGACGATAGAACACCAGAATGCTATGAAGGAGAAAGACGAGGAGATCAATCGCCTTGGCCAAACGATTCAAGATGCGAGGGCGGCCGCCGCCGCAAAGGCAAATGAAGCCGGGAAGGAGGCCACTGAGATTGGTGCTGGTGAAGAAGGACAGAATGAGATGGAAAAGAGAGAGACAGTCGAAATTGCGCTCAAGAAGGCTGCCGAAAATGCAAAAGACAAAGATCGACAGCACGAGGAGGATAAAAAGGAAGCTGTTGAGAAGGCTGTCAGAGAGGCCGCAGAAGATGCAATTAAAAAACAGCGACAGTATGAGGAGGAGAAGAAACGGGCCGTCGAAGTCGCAGTCCGAAAGGCCGAGGAAGATGCAAACAAGGAAGTTCGACAGCATGAAAAGGACAAGAAAGAAGCTGTCGAAAAAGCTGCAAAAGACGCAGACGATAAAGAACGACAGCATGTGATGGAGAAGAAAGAAGCGGCAGAGGAAGCTGTCAAAGAAGCTGCAGAAGGTGCGAGGCAGAAACATCAGAAACAACTAGACGACGAGAGAGAATCATCTCGCCAAGCGCAGAACAAGGCCATTGAGACCGAGACCAATCTGCGAACTGAAATCAGTGGTCTCCAGTCGCAAGTCGGGAAGGTTGTTGAGTCCAAGAGCGTGGATCCCGCCAACTCTCAACCTGGTAGAGACGCGAAAGAATTGACAGTGATAGCCAGAGAGGCGACCGAGGCGCACGAACTTCTTCTGGAGATTGAGGGAAACGGCGTCATCCAAGGTTCAGTCGAACACACTGTGCTCCGCCAGCTCAACAACGCAAAACTTGCGCTGTATTGGATTAAGTGTGACCTTCGAAAGCCGCGTTTTGCTGCTGACAAGCACCATTTCCGCGATATGACGTACGGCGTCGAGGTAAAAGAGGAGGACATCCAGCAATTGAACATGGCCACACACGGAAAGCTGGTCCAACAAGGCAAAGTGGCGAATGCGAGGATGCAGAACTTGCGGTACATCTTGGACACAAACAATGATGTCCAGAAAGATGCCATGCTTGAAGCCATATTGACGCCGAACCCAATCAAGCGAGAGACGAAGAAAGCGCGAGGCCTGAAGCGGCATACGCAACCAGGCCCTGGCATGCTCGCCTCAGGTCCTTCAACAGTCGTTCAAGCCGAACATTCAACCGGTCACTCCCAGCAGAGGAATGGAAATCCGGAACCACAATACGATCCGTGTCTGTTCAATCCGCCCCAGAACGTGCAGCCGCAATTATCAGCAGCCACGTCACAGGACCAGAACCAGGGATTTTTGCCAACTCCCTTTGACGGAGCCGCAAGTGGATTTTCTTTTCAACTTCAAACCAAGGCTACGCCTGACTTTACGTCAGCTCAGGGTGTGCCAGGATCCACAGATGATTGCAGCTCATCTTTAACGGCACAAAGCCAAGGAGACCAGCAAACGGGTGCGCTGGGCTTCGACTTTGGTGCTATAGATGAATCTCATCCCGTTTGGAAGGGCATCAGCTTCGGTAAGCAGAAAGAAGCCTCAGAGGAGGCCGGTGCAGCACAGAGCACCACCGTGCTTCAAGCAAGCGCGAACGCCGAGCCTTCGTCAGCACAATATACGCCCTCCACAGGCTTTCAGTTCGGTAAAACCGCTCTTCTCCAGCCCTTGACAATAGCTGAGGTTTTCACAGATGTTGTATCGACGCCAATGAACAACGAACAGAGTGGAGGACCCATGGATCGGTCAACGGGGGTCAAGAAAGACCACAACGCCAAGCCTTCCTCAGCGCAATATACGCCCACTACTGGCTTTCAATTCGGTAAACTCTCTCTCCTCCAGCCCTTGATAATAGCTGACGCATTCGCAGATAATCCATCAATGCCAATGAACAATGCACAGAATGGCGGATTAATAGATCGATCAACAGCGGCCAAGAAAGACCACCGTCAACCTTTCGCAGACATTATGGCTTTGTTGAAATTACCAACATCGTCTGAGAAAGCAACTATAGCCGCCGTCCCAGAGCCGGTTCCCAAAAACAACAGAACTTCAACTACTGGACCTACAGATATAGCAGCAGAGACTTCGCGCACGTATTCTGTTGTTAAACAGTCATCCCTTCCAGGCCTCCAAGACGACGACGGGATTGCTGGGCCAGTCTCCGAACCCACGTCCCAGCGACCTAAAAACAACATCCGAGGCCGAGGTCGTTTCAATGCATCCAAAGGTCGCCTGCTTGCGCATCAAGCGTTCGCTACGCGGCAAACTGTACCTTCGCCAGAGTCGACCCAAGCACAGCAACCAGACCCACAAGAGCAGGGCTCCGTCATCCAGCAAGGAGGTTCAGGGGCTTCCGTTCAGCATGATCATAACTCTGACAAGCCCATAGGCTGGACAGACCTGATGACGAACGCTGTGATGGATGAGTTGCGACGCAACAATGACGTTGGCCTCGACTTCCTCCGCGAGTTCCTCAGATTTAACTACGATTTGGAGACGGATGACATCAAAGGTCTGAACAAGTTCCTAGAGATGCTAAGACAGGAGGTCAAACCCGGACATGGCTCTCGCTCTGACCAGCCCAAGGGTTGGACAGCGGGAATGACGAGTTTCGTCGAAGTTCTATTGAACAAGGGCCATACAAGCGCTGACCGAATTATCACGTTGCTCAACCGCGAGTATGGTAACGTCTCCGCCATTGAAGGAGTGGGAAAATACGTGGAGAGATTGAAGACCAACCACAAAACCGGGATCCCTGAAATGCCCACTGGATGGACGAAGGAGCATACGGCGAAAGTGAGGGGTATGCTGCGGGACGGAGACGAAATTGACTTCATCGAGGAAATTATGAACATGGAGCTTGATTTACCGACGGATGACACAGGTTGTTGGGAAAATTGGCTGAAGAAGCTACAGTCGGATTACCAAGCCGAAGCGGAGGACCCAATGCTGCAGGACTAGACCCAATCCCCGCAAACTTCCCGCCGAATTCCTGATATCCGTATACAACGATCCGGAATGGCTTGAGATGCTTCTGGTGTTGACTGAATGCGATGTGTGATGTCCGCTGGTTGTGCTATCATGCTTCTAGCGTTGACTGATCGCGATGTATGATGTCTGCTAGTTGAGCTCTCTTGCCCATGGTACTGGATGACTGCGAAGCATGATGTCTGCTGGTCGAGCTTCATTGCTTCTAGTACTGACTGATTGCGACGCATGATTTCCAACACACTCCCTATCATCGGCCAACCCTGTACAGCTGTACCCGGAGATTCGAAAGGTGGATGAAGGATATTGATTGTTGTATATCGGTTGTACCAAGGAAGGCTGCGCAGAGACTGTTTGTTTCATGATGTTATGAGGTTCCGCTGAGAATGGACGGTGGATGGTCGCATGATTTCAAGGAACGGGCTTGCGCGTTGGATCCGGAAGCGAGAAGTTCTTCTTGCGTTGGCTATGTGTTTTTCTCTCTTTGTACGAGCTGTTGTCACAAGGCTTTCCATGTCCGGCGTGGCACAGCCTTCTCATAGCAATTGAAACATCCAAACCATTCCCGACTGCTCTTGATCATCAATGTGATCGCTCTGAAAGCGATGAAGCTTCTCGCTCATTCCTTACTCTTTACGTTCTCCCTGTACCTTCAGCAGCCTCTTCCCAGGCCGGAGTACAGTACAATGTAGTCGCACGAAGAAGCTACAATGGCATGTCGTCGAAGCTTGCTTTCTGTGCCGCAATGCCAAGACTGATGCCAAGATCAGCGCCAAGCGATCAGAATACTTGTACTGTCCACGAGTGAGATAATTGATAGAACGAGGACACCAATGAATCGTTCCATTTAGCCGGATGTCGCTTGATCTATTGGTGTCCTCGATTTACTAAGTATCTCACTTCTGGACAGCGCGAGTACGAAGATCACGAGTCACGACAGAAGTAATATGTTGCTGGCCAAGTCACACCCGGCCTCTCAGGCTCTCTCAACTTCGTCTTCTTACCACAAAGTTGATACCTTTCCTACCCTCTGGCATCCAGTCAATATCCTCCTCCTCCATACCCCACTCTCTTAAATCGACAAGTTTGACTTCCAGATCCCATTTGCTTTTCGTTTCCAACTCCACTCTTTGCCAAAGCTTTCGAAACGTTTCGTCATCATGGAAAAACATGTTCCCCCACGGTCTCTCGAGCTCCCTCGGAGGCACCTGCGCACGTTGATACCCGATGAGAATAGTTCCGGACTTTGAAAGCTCAACCACCCTCTTCATTATCGATGCCTGCCCTTCCCAGTCGAACAGGTGGAAGAATTGATTTGCGATGATAATATCGAACATTCCCTTCCACTGCTCTAGACCAGAGCCGGTATCACAGATATTCGTCTGTAGGAAATTTGCCACCATCTTGTTTCGGTCGTTGAACAGTTCAAAACCCAGATCCCACAGCTCCCTGCTGATGTCGCTTGCATACATGTTCCGTGGGGATGTTCCATCCGCGGCCAAGAGCCGCAAGTCCTGCCCCAGACCACAGCCCAAATCCAGGACGGTGTCTCCAGCCAGTGCTCGTGCTAGGACTTCGGGATACTCGGGAAAACTTGAGATACTCGGCAGTAGGAAGACCCATTCTCCGATGCATGGGTAGCCACCGTGCAGCCATGCTCTGTCTCGCTAGTAGGCTTGTTAAGATAGCAACGACAGAGGTGCAAATCTCGTCGGGGTACTCACTATTCGATGCAGATGGGGAATAAGCTCACTGTCCGTAATTCCAGCCCAAGTCTCATACACTTTTCTTATCTTTGGCTTCAAGCGAGTACCGATGTTGGCTTTGTACCATTGACACGCTACTCTAATCATCATTAGTCACAAGTACGTATAGGCATGGGATGGGAAGATCTGCTGTTGGACTTGGTTGATGAAATAGTACTCAGAAACATGCATTGCAACATCTAACGTGGGAGTAAACAATGTTACTCACGCCTGGTTTCCCCGCTTGCTTTTTTCCCTACACAGACCACCCTTGGCATGGACAAGGCAGCTCCACTCAAGACCTCTTGGCCCACGTCTTGAATAAGGCTAAAAATCTTTGTCGCCTCCTCTCTGTGGTCTGTTTTTGCAAGACTTGATGCGAACTCCTCCATCGTCAATAAGTGCTGCTCGCCATTCGCCCTTGCTAATTCTGGTGGGTCCTGGAAATGATAGATCATGGTATCCAGCAGGCCTTGCCCCGCGAAAAAATCGGGCAATTGTAACGTCCAATCATTTCTGCCCCGCGAATACACCATCTCTCGCAGCTCATGCAAGGCTGGAGTGTGTAAGGAACTGTTGCTAGTTCTGACATGTGTACCAGGGTAGTTGAGTTCATCCCATTGGATGTACCCGCCGGGTTTGAGCATTCGAAGAAGATTACGAAGAATGTGTCTTGGGTCACTATTCTGCACGACAAGTACAAGTAATCGGACGTGAACAACGTCATAGACGCCTATCATGGACTCTGGTACAGGGTCGAAAACGTTCCATGTCTTCAATGTGAAATTTGGAGACAGCCATTGTTGAGGTGGCGCTTGGGATGTATTGATATCGAAGCCATCTAGCTTCGCTGTCGAATACTCACGGGCAACGTCTATAAGCCAAATTGCTGTTCCTGTTGCGACGTCGGCAATACGGGCATCTGTCGGAATGGATATGGAAGGATGGAGGCTGAAATGGAGTGATTCTTTCCAGAGATAATGCTGGAAATTCAGGCGCGAGGCAGCAGCATAGCTCCTGCCTAGCATATATCCACGCCCATCTGCTAGATTGAAGTCGGGACTCACGTTGCTCAACGCCATTATCGAAATGTGATGGGAAATATGGTCTTTCAGGCAGCGCAGCGGTCAGAAGACTTGGAATGAGAAGATAATCTGCAAGGCTCTGAAATTGGTAGTGGACTGGGGTGCAAAGGATGCCAGAGAAGTATTACTCGCGTCGCCGATGCAGTTGTCGCACTAGCCATGCACCCGTGCATCATGCAGAATGCAGTGAGATCTGACTTGTGGGTACAATAGTGGTACCAAGCATTGCATCGCATGAGTTTCCTCTTTTACTCTAGCCGATGCCTATCCTTGTTCGCGCCTCTGCATCGAAGAAAATACTTTTCTTCAAAGCAGTCGGATCGGTTTTCTGACCGAGGAAATCGGATCCGTTTTCTGACCCAGGATGTCGGATCTATTTTCTGCAGGATTGCCTCGAAAGACAGCAAATTTGACCTGCATGAAAGAGTGCTCTTCATTCCCTTAATGATTGAAGTAGTCGGATGCGTCACTCGGCTGCAGTATTGGTTCGAAACAGCAACTCTAATCTGCATAAAAGGCTCATCTTTACACCCTTCACTGTTAAAGCAGTAAAATCCATTTCCTGCAAAATTGTCTCAAAGCACAACAAATTTGACCTGCATTGTAGAATTCTTTTCACACCCTTGAATACTGAAGTAGTGGGAACCTTTATACCCAGACTTCGCTTCAAACAAGGCAACATTAACCTGCATCAAAAGAGTGCCTCGCACCTTCGCATGTGCCCTCGAAGTTATCCTCGCCAAACAAAAGAAAGCAAATAAGTGTGGACCAGTCCAGGGCTTTGGACCGACCGACCGAACCATTGAGAAGTTTGTCAAGACCTACTATCAAAGTGTCCTGGCTTCGAGTACCTTCTACATGCAAGACTATCGAATGCAAAAGTCTTGTTGCAAACAACAATGATACCAAAGACCGACATCCTGGAGGTAGGCGTTGCGGTTGGCCGAGGTACAGGCCCAGAATTAGCCGATGTGTTCGTCAAAGTACTCAATCAGCTTGCCCGTCATTTCAGCGTTCAGGTAAAAGTCTACCAATCGTCGCGAATCTATCATTCCTATCACTCGCTTTTCTCAGCTGGATATGACCTTCAGCACATTCGCGATGAGACAGCGCTGGACGCAACGCATTATGAAGACTTCTGTAGAAAGCAGGCTGCGCAGGGTACCAATGTCATTTTTCGAACGGCTTTCACCGCGCAATCATTGTATTTGGTCAGACAGCATTTGGAAGCTGTTAAAGTTGAACATTTCCACAAGCAATCGGCAGAAATCCTTCTCATCCGTGATCAAGCTCAGGGCTTCTATACTGGGTCGAATACTTACTCCTTGGACGCGGTAGCAGTTTCGCGCTCATGTCAATTCGACAAGGCCATATTCAATCGCATCGTTACTTACTCTCTATCCCGGGCCCGTAGATGCTGGGGCGAGAACACCAAGATCGACTCTTTAACATTGGTTTACAAGCATCATCTCTTTGACGGTATTTTCGACGTCTGGGCCCGAGAGTGGTCACAGGAGCATGGTTTGCCTATCCAATTCATCCAGCCGGACACGATGAACAGAAACATCCTCGCATTCGGGGTTCAAGGGCATCAGTTGATCATCGCCGGCAACGAATACGCAGACATCATGGAAGTACTGTTCCTTGACATGTTCGGACAGGGTGTTCAAGAGACCAGCTATTCCGAGAACGTCTACCTATCGCCTGCAACGAGCGAGTTGGTGGAGTACCAAACCGTTCACGGTTCCGCGGACGACCTTACCGGCAAGGGAATTGTAAATCCATCCGCAACCCTGAAAGCAGCTGCTACGATCCTCGAACGTCACGGTCGATGCAAAGGCGTAGAATCCAACATGAATAACGCCATCGAAACAATGGCCCAACAGAAAAACTGCACACCAGACCAAGGCGGCACCTCCACCACCGCTGCCTACGTCTCAGCTATCCTCCATCACCTCGCGAACCTATACAGCCAACCAACCACTCTCTCCCTCGCCCCACGACCCTCACCCATACCCACCACGCCCGAAGTCCTACCACCAAACCCCCACCTCCCCACCCTCGGCTTGAAGACAGCCCTCCTAATCATCGACTTCCAACAAGACTTCGCCGCCTCCATCAACGCCTCCTCTCCATCCCTCCCCACCATCACCAACAACATATCCCGTCTGCTCTCCCACATCCGCACCGCACAGACCCAAGCACTTCCCTCCCCGTCTCCAAACCCCACTTCGACCTCCTCCCCCTCAATCAAAGACATAGAACCAATCCACATCCGCTTCCTCAGCCCCCCCTCGCACCACCCCACCCCCTGGACCACCCGCTCCGCCCGCCCCGCCAACTGCGTCCCCGGCACCCCCGGCGCCGCCTTCATCCCCCCCATCGCCCCCCTCCCCACCGAGCGCGTCTTCGACAAACACGCCCTCTTCGACCCTTTCCTGCTCCCGGCCTTCGAACGCCACCTCCGCGCCCGCGGCATCCGGCACCTGATCCTGGCCGGGCTGTACGGCGACGTGTGCGTGGACGCGACTGCGAGGTCGGGCTTCCAGAAGGGCTTCTGGATCAGCGTCATGAAGGGATGCGTGGGGACTTTGCGGGCGGGGGTGGCGGAGTGGGAGAGCTTTGCGGAGGAGGTGTATGGGGCGAGGATGGTTTCGGTGGAGGAGTTGGGGGTGGGTGCGGGGGGGAGGGGGGAGGGCGAAGCTTTAGCTCGTTTCGGTGACTGGGCAACGTTAGGGGTGAGATTGGAAGTGGGTGGGTGGGGAAAGAGGAGGGACTGTCACTTTCTAAAAATTGATCATTTCCTTAGTCGGGAGAATGCGACAAATGTCCACTGTGTAGAACGGTTGATGCAGGATTGGCTGTCCACTAGAAACCATGAACTCGTTTACTTCCCTCGTCAGCAGTTACTCGACTTATATCGTCACAGGCACGGCTGAATATGGGTATATATGACTGGGCCGGCTCAGCGCGAGGGCTAGTAGCGCCTGGATAGGCATCGATCGTACTCCAACACCAAGAGGTATCCCGTGTCTGTGCGAAGTAGACCTGGTGTAGAAACAATAGTTATGTATAGGCGTCGGCAGGCGGGACGAAAGAATGCCATGGCTCTGAAAGAGACGGTATCGGAAGACGAGTCATACGCTGGTAGAGGGCGAGTGTATGAATTTATGTGAAAATTCATATTGATATGTAGAGCCTGCTGCTGACACGTGTCTCACGTTCCCCCTCCACCATGCAGACCGCGGCACACGAACCCACAATCCCACCGTGGCGATTCCTCCCGAGACCTCGTCTCCGCCCCTCACGTTCCCAACTTCAAAAACCCCTCCACGAACGCGTCCACCGCCCCAGCCGTCTCGTCCGCCTTCTTCAAAAACGGAGCGTTGTGACTCCCCGCCATCTCCCTCACGGCCCACTCCACCCCGGTCCCCTGCATCATGGCCTCCTGGCCGAACTTGGGTATCGCTTCGTCTTCCGTGCACACGAGGTAGGCCAGCCTCCGCTCGAAGCCCGGGCCCGTCCACGCGGGCGCCGGGGCGGGGGACTTGAAGGCCAGCAGCGCGTGCGGGACGAGCCGGGAGGCGTTGGCCGCCGCGACGGGGGGGTCGATGTCGGCGGAGAGGATGGCGAGGGGGTTTGCGGGCATGGTGAGGCCGGGGGATGGCTGTGAAGGTGAGCGGGAGTGGGGATTGCGGGCGGAGAGACGATGAGATGGAGGGGAGGGATGATGGTGGTAGCGAGCTAGCTAGAAGAGACGGTGGACGGGACCTCGTTTTGTTTCACCCATCCGGGCAGTTCGCCCCCTTGTCCGTCCGCCACGCTCGCCCCGCCGGGCAAGACGAACCCGGAAATGTGTACCAGGCCCACAACCCCTCCCTTTTTCCCCTCGCCACTCCGCTGCACCTTGCTTAATCCCCGCGCCGCACCGCTTCCGGGCACGCCGCCGTAGGAGTGCATCACGATGACGACGTCCTTGCCTTCGGTCTCGATCAGGGGGAGGAGAGAGCGCTTGAGGACGGTTTCGGTGTCGGCGGCTGCGTCGGCGGATGCGGGGTGGGAGGGGTTCAGGGAGGGATAGGAAGCGTATGCGGTGGGGAAGGAGAGGTGTTGGAGGCGGGAGAGGAAAGCATCGTAGGTTGAGGGGTGGAACCAGGCGCCGGGGATGAGGAGGATGGTCGGCTTTGTTGCGGCCATGCTTGGAAGGGTACGGAGGGATTGAAATTGATGCGGATACGAGATGGATATATATATTGGAACTCCTGTTCGATAGCTGTTCTCCAGACCGACCTGAAACCTTGGAGTCAGGCATAAGAAATGAGGAGAACATGTTGACTGCTGTGATAAAATACTCGCATGCACAGCTTAGGCATACGGACAAGGCTACGCGCTTTCAGCGAGCAGAAAGTCGTATCGAGATCCCTCGATCGCGTCTTCTCTTTCCACGTTTTTCACATCACACATGGCAACATCCAACAGAATGTTCCCAATGCTCAGTAGGTCCGAGTGAAGAGTGCCTGCTCCCATCCCGTGATGGTGTATGGGGATAATTTTATCTCGTCTCTTGGCAGGTAGTAGGATTCAGGGGCTGCCGACTTTCACTACGGCACCACTCAATAATAAAGCGACCTGCAGCAAGATTTCAGCGTCGCGATTCTTTTTTAAGCAGATCTGGAGTTTCATAGGTCGCGCGAAGTTCTATCGTGCGTTTTGTTAGCTAGAAGCTAATGCGTTGCAAGGACAGTAATGTTTGGATGTTCTGCCAAGAGAAGGTACTTGTACTATTAAGTTGCTAAGATATGTTGTACGGATGGAATAGACTTGCTAAGCACGGTAGTAAGCATGGTAGGAACAGGTGCACCGGCGCCGACGATGCGTGAAGCTCCAATCTGCATCCATGGTCTTTCCACCTTTACATGTTGTGCACGGGTTTATACAGAGGTTACTAACCTCATGAAGCAGAGATCTCCGCCTCGTCGTCATCATCACATCCCAGCTCCCCCGCCTTTCTTCCATCCAGCAACAATCGGCCCCAATGTTGATAGTGACGGATGAGTGCATATGTATGCTATGAAATGCATGACACGACATATCTAGTGCTGACTATCGACTACCTATCGGCTCACGGAAATCAGTTCACGGCGCCGGGCGTCAAGTCGCAAGTCGCTGTGTGCCCCCACTTTCCAAGATATCTAGAGTAAACCCCTTTTCCCTTTCCAGGGTGTTCCATATGGCCCGCTTAGCTCTACGGAGTACTTGATTAAATGCACTCACGCGGAGAAGGGAGAAGGATGAGCTCGGGATTGCCCCTTTCCTCCCGAAGGTACGCCAAGCTATTTTTGGGCCCCACTTGGTCCCGGACGGCCGGAGACGCGAGAAGATAACATAGGTACAGTACACTACTTCCTCCACCAGTTCTGCTGGTTTTTGCGGCTGAATCACAGCAATTCTGGGCCAAAGAATCATCCGGAAGTCGATTGGCCTGGTCACTCTACCGAACATCCATAGCTCCGTCTTCCTCGGATCCTCTTGGATCCAGGATTGATCGTTGAGTCGAAGACTACCGTACATCGGCTCCGGACTTCTTAGGCTCGACATTTTTCCAGAAAGCCATAGAGACGGCGGCAGCGAGGTCCTGAATTGGCCCATCGAGGAACGATGGTACTACCACACAACAGTATGGGACCACGGTGCCACGTGTTAATCCTAGTATCCTAATGGTACCGTACCATCTCGTGGTAAGCAGGATAGACCTTGGCAAGGTCTTGGCACATTGGTCGATTTGGAAAGAGTTGGCGAACTTGGTCCCAGTGCGTAGCAAGTTGGCCAATTGAAGCCGACCAGAGGTTCTATTCGCGTCCGTACAAAGCCAAAGTGCCCACATCGCATGCAGTATCCCAACTATCTGAGTGTCACGGTGAAACAGGACGCGAAAGGCTGGGCCTCTATCGAATGAGAGGATGTGGTGAATGTGGATGCAGATAAATCAAAATAGGGGGGTTGCTTCGGTTCAGGTTGCCCAATCACTTCCTTCTCCTGCTGGTGAGCCCAACTGGGCTTAGTAAGAATGGGGAACGCCGAATCCCAAATATCCTGGACGTAACAGCAGCCTGTGTATGTAAGATCTGAAACTCGTCGAAGTGTCATACGCACCAGTCATTTGTTGGGGTTCGCGCATCTTAAACCCCTTCGGAGATATACTTTACATCTCAGCATGGAATGGCCCGGAATTTTCGTTCATTGACCACACCCACATGGACTCCATGACTTGCGTACATGGGCCGTGTAGCCTAGTCTGTTTCCGTGTGCAGAAGTCGTGGAGTTGAGGGTGGCTTGATCCTTCGCCCCTTTAATACAACAGTACAGGTCTACTCTAAATCTCGTGCTTGATGTTAGTAGCCGCTTATTCCTCTTTCTCCACGCTCGACCTTTTCCTTCTCTACCTCCATACTCTACAAGTATGACATCTCCACAGGAGAAAGCATATCTTTCAGAGAATCGTCAACCACAACTTTATGGCGCTTACATCTCTACTTACGCGCTTGCTGTATTAGCAGTTGGACTTCGTCTCTCTGCCCGGAAATACTTTTCCAAAGCCGGGGTATGGCTCGATGATTATGCCATTTGTGCATCTTTGGCTTGTGCGACTGGGAACTTTGTTGACATGATAACATGTAAGCAGATCATCACGCTTGCCATGTAATGAGACTGACAGGGGAACAATTCGGCCAGGGGTTCGTCGTGGAGTCGGGAGGCACATCGAATTATACGGACTCGAAGGCATCAAGCACTTTCATCTCAGCCTTCTTGTCTGCGAGGTTCTCTATACCTTAACGCTCTGCCTCACCAAGTTCTCAGTTTTGCTGTTCCTCATACGAATCTTTGGAAAGACAAGTATACGGATCCCGATAATGATTTTGGCCTCGATTGTTACGGGATGGGCCATCGCAGTGGTATGCCCTAAAGCCTTTCTACGCTCCAGCAAGATTTCGCTAAGCGTCGCTTGACTAGGTTCTTACAACAATCTTCCAATGCAGCCCCGTCCAAGGCCTTGTCAGTGGACCTATGCTTGTCACGTCTTCCTACTCAAGGCTATGTTCCGAAAGAGAGGCACTGACTGAACAATCTCTCAGTGAGATAAGTCTACGAATCCTACATGTGCCGTGAACGCCCATGCTTTGCCTATCGGCAATGCAGTGCCCAATATCGTCACAGATTGGGCTCTCCTATTTCTCCCGATCCCGTACATATGATGTCTTCATCGGCGAAGGGCGCCAAAAAGGGCTTTGTGCGGTGTTTCTGGACATGATGGTTGGTAAGCATCTACCCTCTTCGCACCTCCTTATCACACTAGTCTTGCTTCAATGAAAGACCGAATGCCATCAAGATACTGACATGTTCCCCGGTAGTATCTGCATTGTTTCGATCGTTCGTCTCTACATAATGGCCACCCAACTCTTGCACACGTCGTCGACAGACGTCACCTGGCCGTTCAGACGGCCGTGGAATTCAACATTGGCATCGTGTCAGGTAATTTTCCCCTTCCCTACTTCCCTCCTTCTGGCACGGCAAGATCTCGCGTCCTCTTCCTCTCTCTCGCCCCACAAGCCTCTCGGCCACCGACTTCCTCTCTGACAATATGTCCAGCGTGCCTCCCTTCCCTCTGACCCTTCTAGGTCGCCATCCTCGGCGACTCCGCATTCACCACCAGCCAACCACGCGATGGTAGCAACAAAAGAGTGCGCGACGGGCACCCAAGCGGGAGCGGGCATGGCGTTCGGACAAAAGCGTTCCAGGACTCCTACATGATGGTGAGAGGGGAAACACGCGACGGCGAGAGAGTCGACGTGGGAGTGAGCGATGTTCGGGAAGGCAGCCGGGACGTTCTGGTCACGCGTGATATATCCGTCGTGGGGGAGAAGCTGGGCGGTTGAATTGAGGCCAATGGTTGTGCGATTCCAGGTGCGAAGGCCTGGGCACTATGCTAGCGGGTTGGAATCTCCTCGTGTTGGCTTGAGTGCTCGACACGAGTGCTAGGTTATACATACTCACCAGCTTAAAAGTATGCCCTTTGTCCAGCCTTGTCCCTCCCAGCCCTAGTATATGTTAATGCGTCCGCTCGTCCTCCTCGTATCTACTACTCTACGAGTGCCGATGCCAGATTGTTCGCATCTGTCAACCTAGAAGTTTTTTCGCACTCAGACTCGGAGGCTTTGAACTACCGACGCGGGATTTCACGTGCCCTTTTTTGGTGTCGACCCTGTCTTCGTGCTATGTTTTTTGAGACTATGTTGTACCGGCCTTATTGTGACTCCTTGAGCGTTTCACTGTTTTTCTCCTTGTCCGTTTGGGAGGAACGAATACCGGAGAGGATCGTGGAGTAGTGTTCGTTCCACCTGGCGAGAAAATCCATAACAGCCGAGACGACCACGACGACGCTCGATGTTGGGTAGAAAAGATGGAGCGCGGGAATAAGCGAAGAGCTTTGGTCTCAGGGGAGGCGTTGATAGCCGGGTTGATATCGTTTGAGAGCGTGGAGTTGATGGAATGGTTGATATGATATGCACTTCTGGCAAGGGAAGGGGGAAGGGGGAGTGCAGAACGTGGAGGGCTACACATCGTATGATTGATTACCTTGTGGCTTGAATGCTCGTGCTCATTCTCTTAGGAAATATCGATCTCATCGTGCGAGCGGGCATGGTGATTTAGTACCCTGTACGCCCCGGGCGGGAACGATGACTGCGAAGAGGACTGACTGCAAAGTTGGATCGTTGCTAGATAAGTAGTCCAACCTGCCTACTACTGCTGCTATCATATTATCTGTCTACTTTAACCCGGCTACTGAAACGCTGGTGATTGGAGTTTGTCAGGACATCAAAGTCGGCACTTACGGCTTTGACAGCAACAAAGGGAAAATAGACAAGGAATGGCCAGAAAGCATTCTTTGTCCCCAAGTCGCGTAGCGTAAAAGGATCTGAATTTCTTCTTCCGGTCTCCTTCTCCTCGTCTTCAACCTCAGAGAGATAGTTAGGGTCGCTTGTCAAAGTTGATGATGGGCCATCACGACGTATGCAGCATGGGTTGTCGGCGAAAAACAAATCTTATGTTGGGTATACATATAAAGTGTTAACACTTTTTGCGCGGTAATGCTGCCTTTACCGAGGCTTATGACACACGCCGGAAATTCGATTGGCCGA